CAAGGCTGTCAAGAAAAATAAATTCTGATAATCCTTTAGGCCTATTCCTTTTTATATCGCCAATCCTTTTCTACCTAAAGTATAAGATTGACCATAAAGTACATTCTGAATAGATCGATTTCATGCCAGGGGCGGAACTACAGTGCCGCCAGACCCCGCAATGCGGGGGGGCCCACCCCATTTAGGGGCCCACGGCCGACCATAAAAAATTGTTTAAAAAAATGTTCTTGCATTTTTTATTTAATGTTTGTTTTGTAAAAAAGATTACCGTAGCTGCGGTTGGATTATCTTTATTCTATAGATACTACTCTACGCTCATTTTCCTTCGTTTTTAAACCACTGTGAAAACCGAGTCCTCTTTCTACTACAATGAAACTTATCAAAGATAGCAAACGTTCAAACCACTTCCATGACTTATTTCCCTTTTTTAAATAGTCAAACAGTGATGCTCATAAGCCTCTTTTTAATAGATTTGTACTAAACGAATTAAAAAGCAATTACTTCTCTTTAATATTATTTGTTTATAAATTACTTACTAAAGAATGACACGGTATAAAAAGAAAATGTATTCAAAATTAATAAAATAAATATGAAAAAACATAAAAATAAACATGACACGAGACACCATTATTTACAGAAAGCTTTCATGTTTTATATTCTTTTGACCAATATGAGGACTTACGGCAGAGATAATATTAAACTGATTCTCACAAAACAGACTAATGCACTTACACTCATGATGTGATGTTGTAATTTGTTTTAATAAAAAAAAAAAAAAACCCACGTATTTCTCATAACAGGAACAGGCCAGCATGAATAAGTATCCTATGTTCGTATGTTGTGTTTAAGTATATATGTATATATATATATATATATATATATATATATATATATATATATATATATATACATATATATATATATATATATATATATATATATATATATATATATATATATATATATATATATATATATATATATATATATATATATATATATATATATATATACATATATAGGCCTATATATTTATATGGGGGGGGGGCCTAAACATTATTTTTTGCGGGGTGGCCCCTTTTTTCTAGTTCCGCCACTGTTTCATGCAGTGAATTTATCGTCACCATTCATAAACATGATCGTATATCTTGTACAGTTGTGGATTAGCGCAGATCCACGATTCTCCCCACCCCTTGCTCAAATAATGGGCGATAACCGCCGAAATATTTGCACAGTGTACATAGCTAATCTCCCTTACATAGACAATTCCACGCTATGTGAACACTGGCCGGATCAATACACGAGAGAGAGACGCGAGTGTTGACATGAAAGGTTGCCACGAGAGCCACAACTTTCACATTGTTGTGGGGGCGCGAGATGGAATAGGTGGCGCAGTGTTGACGTTGGTAGGGTCGTGTGGGACAAACAGCTCGCACCGACGATGGATAACATTAACAATCAGTTGCGTCTAGACATCGACATGCTACCTTATGGGTTCAATAAACGTATATAAATGTCATTAAATGTACACAGTTAGAAACCATTATTCTAATGTCTTCAACAAAAGTTAGGAATGCTCTAATAATGTCTCCAACAAAAGTTAGGAAGGCTTAATAATTGTCATTAGTTTTTTTTAAACTTACAAAAGTTAGTAACCATTATTGTATTCAACAAGAGATAGGAATGCTAATCATAAATACAGGGCCTACACAGGAGCAACACAGATGTCTGTTTTGTTTAGATTTTAGCGCCCACCAACCTTTTATCACAGCGTCCTTTCCACCGCCGCAGTATACAATATCTTAAACGATTTGTCAAACACCAGTAGCCGTCGTCCATACGGGACGTCATGTAATCTATATATATAATTCTCTTCTTCGAGCCGTTAGAAAACAAGCTGCAAACGCTCTCCCTACCTCCCCACCCCTACATGCTTTTAGTGAGCTGTGTTCACTCTAAATGTTTACAAGCAGAGCCAACGATTTTAAACGTAGGGGGGGGGGGGGGGGGGAGGAGGGGGGAGGGAAGGAAGGGGGGGGGGGTTATGGTCCTTAACGAGCTACTTGTAGTGTTTTAAAGAAATATTTTCAGTGTCAGCGTTGGTACTGTCGAATTCACAAATTATGAATTATTGAAAATTAGAAACAACTAAATAGCGGCGTATGTTATGCCGCGGGCCGGCTCGTTAGCAATAATCTAAATCTTTTTTTCAACTTGAGGGGGGGGGGGTGTAATATACAGAAGAAAATGATTATGAAATGATTATTTCAACTTGTTGGTGGATTTTTATGACGACATTTGACCGTAAGGATTGGGTAAAATTAGCCAAAAACAAATTGCATGACGTTATTATCAACGGCTCCTATTTAAACCTTACAAAACGGAGTGCATTAATTAGTTTGCGCAAGTGATATGAATAATTATGTCTGGAGTCAGTGGCGTCCACAGGAAAGGGTGGGGGGAGGGGGTTGCGGTCCGCACCGGTGACAACATCTACGGGGTGACACCACGGCCAAAAATAATAAAAACATTACGGTCGAAACAATGTTTTATACAGTTTAAATAATAAAATAGTAGGGAGAAAGGGGGGTGACGCCATAATTCAAAATTGTTGAGGAGGGGGGGGGGGAAGAGAAGTGACAGTCTCATCTACTGCACCGGGTTACACCCGACCAAGTGACGCAACTGTCTGGAGTCAAGACTCAAATATACAAGTAGCAGGCTCTCATAACATAACTGTAGCATATGACCATTCAATAACCTTCTACCTCTACCCGTAATGAAATCTTTCCATAGATACTTCTCTTACCACCCCACCCCCCTCCCCCCACCCCTCCCAATCAGACCCAGGTACAGCATCACTTCAAAAATAACGAATGTTATCAGGATTTTGAAACATCCGTTTGTCTGGCTGGTCTCACGTTTAAATGGTCTCACGTTTGTCTGGCTGTCTCACGTTTAAATGGTCTCACGTTTGTCTGGCTGGTCTCACGTTTAAATGGTCTCACGTTTGTCTGGCTGTCTCACATTTAAATGGTCTCACGTTTGTCTGGCTGGTCTCACGTTTAAATGGTCTCACGTTTGTCTGGCTGGTCTCACGTTTTTCTGGCTGTTCTCACATCTGGTCTCACGTTTGTCTGGCTAGTCTCACATCTGATCTCACGTTTAAATGGTCTCACGTTTGTCTGGCTGGTCTCACATTTGTCTGGCTGGTCTCTCGTTTGTCTGGGTTTGTCTCACGTTTGTCTGGCTGGTCTCACTTTAAACTGGCTGGTCTCACGTTTGTCTGACTGGTCTCACGTTTGTCTGGCTGGTCTCACGTTTGTCTGGCTGGTCTCTCGTTAAACTGGCTGGTCTCACGTTTGTCTGGCTGGTCTCTCGTTAAACTGACTGGTCTCACGTTTGTCTGGCTGGTCTCACTTTAAACTGGCTGGTCTCACGTTTGTCTGACTGGTCTCACGTTTGTCTGGCTGGTCTCACGTTTGTCTGGCTGGTCTCACGTTTGTCTGGCTGGTCTCACGTTTGTCTGGCTGGTCTCGCATTTTTCTTGTTTTACCTTTAATTGAAACATGAGTTGGTCCAACGAATAATCTATTTTATTATAATTTTTATGACTAAAAAGATAAATTGATGCTAGAATTATCTGCTATCTAATGTACACTGTTACAAGTCATTAAGTAAACCAAATCTTTAGCTGAGCATAATACTAGGGTTCTGGTACACCAATTTATTATAACATAGTGAAAGGAACATTAAATCTTCAAAGAAAAAGTTGAGATACTAATAATGTGATTTTCTAAAACTTCAACACACAGAGAATAAAACAATAAGTGATAAAGAAAAATGTTCAGCCTAAATGATCAATATCAATGACTGGTGGTTATTGATTATTTATCTTGTGAGTGCCCAACTGGCGTGGGAGGGTTGAGTTAACATTTGTGGTGGAATGGCCGTGGCCACACACAAAAAGCCTAGACCTCTAGATAAAGATTTATTTACATCTTCAGGATTGTGCACTTAATACAAAATATGAATTTTTTTTTATTTACTATACCCTATAGGACATTGTATTACATTCTCATAGATCACCCCCACTCAGAGGCGTAGCGAGGGGGGCGGGCGGGGGGACATGTCCCCAGGCGCCGACCTTAGGTAGGGGGCGCCAAAATGGGTTGGAAAAATAAATTGAAAGCTTGGGGGGGGGGGTGCAAATCGAAAGTTTGAGGGGGGATGCAAATCTAAATGTTGAGGGGGGGTGCAAATCGAAAGCTTGAGAAGGGTGCAAATCGAAAGTTTGTCCACGGGAAGGGCTGCTACGCCTCTGCCCTACACTCAATCTTCCACGCACACAATTGGGTACAACTTATACTTAAGTTCATATTTTAATAATTTATTTCAATGTTTAATTATATTAAAAACTTATATTCATGATATATTATAATTAAAACATTTAATACTTAAGCCTAATTAATATTAATTTTTTAAAGTTTAGAGCCACATTCATTATTATTTTTTCAATTTTATTCAGAAGATATTATGACTCAGAAGATATTAAAGATTTTTTTAATAAAAAAAAATTATAGCCTAATTAATAATAACTTACTAGGCTCTAGATCTATTAAGTAGTATTAAGTAATTAAATTAGGAATCAATTATTGAATTTGAAATTTATATTATAGAAATGAAAAGTTCAATTTTACTAAATCATTACTGATGATAAATCAAAATTGGATCTTTTGACAAATGTAATAGGCCCATATAATATTATATTATTACTAAATTACATTAGTAAGACTCAAAAGATCTGATTTTTAATTTTAATACAGATCTATTTATTTTTATTATATTAAAAAAAACGTAGTGCATGTGATACTAAAACTCACCATTAGTGAAAGTAGTGTGTAGTGTGAAGTAAGAAGTATTGAGTGGATCAGTAATAAATAAACACGCAAAAAGGTCCTACAAGAAATAAACGATTTCAAAATGGTTAGTCTTCTTACCTATGTTCTTCAAAGCATTAAAAATAATATTATCAATATGACTCGAACTCTATCATTCCATTTAGCGTAAATTACACTGCCTATCCAAAGATCAGTTCAAAACAAGTCCGCCATTTTGAACAGCGTTGGCTGTTGTTTAGGGAACCCCTGTCACGTGATATAAACATAGCGGACGCGGTACAGTTCAACTAGTTAAAATTAACTTTTTACTTTCTCGTATATACGAAGTATAGAGAAAGTCTTGTAATCGTGCAAAAAAAAAAAATCGAGATTTTTGCAAATCTCGACGTTTTGCATCTCACTGATACGGAAAAACATAATTTTGCAATCTTGTCCGTATGTCTGTGTGTCTGTGTGTGTGTCTGTGTGTGTGTGTGTCCGTGTGTAAACACGATAACTTGAGTACCGTTACAGCTAGGTTGATGAAATTTCATATATAAGTATTTTATCAAAATCGTAGATCCGTATCAACTTTTGAGCGATTTCCGACAACCGGAAGTGGTACTTTTTCTACTTTGAATTTTTCAAAAGCCTGTAACTTGAGTACTATTTCAGATAGATAAATTAAATTTCACATGTAAGTAAAAGATCTAATTCTCTACCTTCTGTTAAATTTTGAGTAATTTCCGTTGACCGGAAGTAGTAATTTACGCTACTTCCGATTTCTCAAAAAACTAATGTAAATTTTTAAAGTACTAATAATATTGCGCACTATTATGCGCTTTTTTATTCGCGTTCACTTGGTGTGCAATTAATTTGTCTACGAGATTTTATTCTATTTTTAAAACTTTAAGTATTTAAAATGGATTAAAAATCATGTCTAGAAGTCTATAGCCCGAGTTCCCATCCCCTGTTATTTTATATAAGAATATTCGAGAAAGTTTAGGGGAGATCACTACCGGTTTATTTTTAATAATGCTGTTTTAGTTTAATTAAATAGCATTTTAGTGTGTAATGAATCGAACTGAATTCTGTAAAAATGAGAGGCATGTTCTTGTAATGAATTTTTGTCAAAGAAAATACTAGTCTAAATCAAATAATCTTAAACATAATTAATTAATAATTAGGCCTACATTCCTACATCAAGAAAGGCGCCAGAAAAGGTGCGAATCTGCCGGGTGTCACCATTAGGAGGGGTTGACACAAAGGCAAATAAACCGGGAGTGATCTCCCCTAAACTTTCTCGAATATTTTTATATAAAATAACAGGGGATGGGAACTCGGGCTATAGACATGATTTTAATCCATTTTAAATACTTAAAGTTTTAAAAATAGAATAAAATCTCGTAGACAAATTAATTGCACACCAAGTGAACGCGAAATAAAAAAGCGCATAATAGTGCGCAATATTATTAGTACTTTTAAAATTTACATTAGTTTTTTGAGAAATCGGAAGTAGCGTAAATTACTACTTCCGGTCAACGGAAATTACTCAAAATTTAACAGAAGGTAGAGAATTAGATCTTTTACTTACATGTGAAATTTCATTTATCTATCTGAAATAGTACTCAAGTTATATAGGCTTTTGAAAAATTCAAAGTAGAAAAAGTACCACTTCCGGTTGTCGGAAATCGCTCAAAAGTTGATACGGATCTACGATTTTGATATAATACTTATATATGAAATTTCATCAACCTAGCTGTAACGGTACTCAAGTTATCGTGTTTACACACGGACACACACACAGACACACACACACACAGACATACGGACAAGATTGCAAAATAATGTTTTTCCGTATCAGTGAGGTGTAAAACGTCGAGATTTGTAAAAATCTCGATTTTTTTTTTTGCACGATTACAATACTTTCTCTATACTACGTATATACGAGAAAGTAAAAAAAAAGTCAAATAGAATTTTAAGTAGACTCTACAAATCAACGATCCAGACAAGAGGGTGGGGGGGGGGGGCACACACCACGACGTAAACTTGCCAACTATAGAGAAAACAAAGCTACAGACAGCTGTATTTCTAACCGACTATTGAGTCACTATTGTCTATATAGATAAAAATTGCTACTAATAGTATTAGTAATACAATTAAGTCTTAAGTGTGCACAGACTAAAGCTATGATCCGGGGGAGGTGACACCAACTGCAAAATTTACAGAGGGAAAGTTAAGTTAAATATTTCTAATGGCTGATAGCCTACATCACTTAACAGCCGGTTGAGGGTGACACCACATTTAATAATCATTTACTATGAACACGATTGTTTTTTATTACCTTAAATTAATAGGTGGATTAATATTATAATATGTGAACAAATTGACATCATTAGGCAAAATGGAGGTAGGAGGTGATACCAATTGCTACTTTCACAGACACAATACACTTGCAAGCAAAAGTTATTTACAACCACTTGACTTGCACATTTTCAGCTTTTTAATCCTATTGAATTATCCCCCCCCCCCCCCAACAGGGAACTCGTTTCTAGAATTTAAATTATCTGGGTCAAATTTAGGACAATTTAGTTTTAGGTTGATCTATACATCTAATTATATTATTCCATTTTTATTACAATTTACAAAGTCTCTAAAAATGGAAACATTTGCAACAGTTGCTTAAAAGTGTTTAAAAAGCAATTTTTAAGTGAATTTTTAACTTTTGTTTTTAGATTAATTTTTTTGGTTAATTAATCTTTGCAAACTCAAGTGATTTAGATTAGTGGTGTGATCAGAGTTGGATAAGGTGTCGTCCATAAATGACATCACACTTTTTAAAATATTTGTTACCTCTCCCCCTCCCTTCCATCACAAAAAGCCAGCCCCCCCCCCCCCCCTAAACTGTTTGGCACCTCAGCCTATCACACACCATCAAAATTGCAGGTAATTTTTTTTAGACATCGATTTCTCTTTCAAATATTACATGACTGAACTCATTTAACATAGAGTTGTTTAATCAATTTCTATTACAATTTACAAATAACGGTTTTAAAACTCAAAGTAACAGCTAAAATTCAGTTAACATTATTTTTTTAAATGCAAAGTGTGACGTCACACTATCTGAACCCACCCCCCATTGTCACAAAATTACTGACCTCCCTTATTTAAGGATGACTTATTCTACCTGAATTAGCTTCTGATTCACAGACCTTAAACTTTTCTGAGTATACATATTGAGCAATGGTTGGTAACTGCTTATCTATCCAACAAGGCAAGTCTATGATTTTTTTTATAGCTTTGTTTTGCATTGGTCTCAGGTATTTTATGCCCAAAAACAATCCACTTTTCTAGTTTTATTTTAGGCTATTTTATTTTAATTATTTGTATTTTTTGTACAGTTCAAATCTCTGTTCTAAAAAAATAAATTATGATTTTAATTTTGTTTTCTACAACTGCGTCAATGCCAACATTTAACAACACCAAAAAAAAACCCACATACAGTGTAATTTACATCTCTAAGATTTAAAAACATTCTGTAACATAGCTAAACCTTTTTCAATAAAATACTAGTCTATATAATAACCAAAAATACTAGTAATACACATCAATAAACAAAAGACAAGAATTCCTATTTGCTTTAGTTTATTTCGCACTCAAAATTTGTAGAAAATTTGGCACAAATAAACACAAATATTGGTATTTGAAAAAAATTGCTTCAGGCCTAATACAAATGAGTCGTTGTTTCAAATATACAAGTTTTGAAATATTTTTTTAAAAATCATGAAACGAATGAGCATTTAAATTAGTTATTAGATGGTTGAGTGAAAGATGTTAAAATGGCAAAAAAAAAAATCTTGAGGTTAAATCTTAATTTGGGTGCAAGAAAAAAAGTATGTATTTAAATTATTGTTTACCATTACATAAGATTTTTAATGCAAAGTGCCAAATGTATTTGAATGTTAAAAGTTACCCCAGTAAAAAGGTTCAATTACTGGTTTTACTTTAACAAGATATCATAATGTAAACATAGGACAGAAAAACAAAATCTGCAAGACAACTGCAAAGTGACAATAACATCTGCTGAGATTGCAGAAAGGCACATTTTTTTATGATGTCATCTTTTGCATAAATGAATTGCTACTGCTGCTGGAAAGCTAATGCATTCATTGGAAACAAAAACAGATTGCTGCATAAGAAAACAATTATTTCAATAATAATTTAGAAATACATTTAGATATGTGTTTATTCAAAAGAATACTGATAGATTATGTGGTGTCAACAATAAAAAATGGAAGCAAATAGAGAACATCTTCAACACTGTGTTTTAGGTTCAAGCCAAAACATTTCTGTATAGATTTCATATGACGGTAAAGAAGACTAATGTAATATGTTCACTTTTTTGTGAAATCAATGTACATTTGCAATAATACAAACTACCAATACACATATTAAATGTCTGAAAATGAAAATGCAAGTATTTTTGAAATGTTATAACATTACATTTTCGCACGAATTTAACATGGATATGAGATTAACTCTTTTTCTCATGATGTATTTTGGGCATACTGCATTTGTCTTCTATAGAGTCATTATCTTTTAAATTATTTCAACATTTGGCACAGATTAAGATGAGGTGAAACTATGTTTTATTAGTTTTAGCTGCTAAAACCATGCAATTTATGACTTACATCTAATGCTATAAAATGTATTGCTTGTTTGTTCAACTTTGCTATCTATTTAATATGTAGCATGAATTAAGAATTTAAGTAAATATATAGAATAAGTAATTGCTTTTAATTTAATCTTAACAAAACTGAATGTTTTTAAAGTAAAACAAATATGAAATCTGAAGTTATAGTATTATCAGCAGTGATGTGAATACTTCAATAAGTTTGTCCCTGCCAAAGTCAACAGAGTTGGTAGTGAGAGTTACTCATTCAGAATAAGCCATGTGCAAGTACCCTGTGTGACATATGTACTCTGCTTCAATAACAAAATGCAATGCTGGAATAGCCAGGCATTGGTTTCTTATGTTGGGAATGTCTTCAGTGAATTAAAATCAGATTCTCTAACATTTTATATCAAAACAAAGTGTGCAACAGAATGTGAGAGGAATAAAATAGGCCCAAGTATAAATTCTTAACAAAAAGTGACAGCTTTAGGTTAATTATATAAATATATATATATAAAATGAAATAAAAAGGAATACAAAATGAATACCTTTAAAATAACAGAACCCAATTGCCACACTGCATTTCTAAGAGGTTATAGACAGTTAAATTATTGTGAGATCAAGTTGATTATATTTGATGTGTGGTAACAGTAAGTTGGCAGTTGAAATTTTGATGGAAGCTGTTGGATTAGAGCTGTAGTAGTGGTTTATGCAGTGCATAGCCCACAAACAAAAAACTGGACTTAGGAACATGAAACAAATCAACATTATCTTAAACCGCATGTTATTCTTGGATTTTCAGGACAAATCTAATATTATTATAAAATCTTCGAAACCAGGTTTCATTTGGGTTATTTTTCAGTATCAATATATTTATAGAGTTGTAAGCTATGTCAAATAATGCAAATGATGACTAAGAACATGAAATTATTATCCCAAATTATTTGACAATGACAGTAAAATGAACTATTATGCATTTTAAGGCTTTATCAGGACACTTAGAGTATTGTATTAAGGTGTTTTTTTTTTGCTGGTATTACTGTGAAGGTTTACCTCTTAAATGTGAAATAAGCTAATAGTTTATTTTTTGAAAATATTTGTGGAAAAAACTGATAGAGAAATATTTTTGAAATCAGTTTTAGTAAAATAGTGTTTTAGAAACTCATTTATGATAGTAATAAAGACAATTTAAAAAAAAAATTTATAACTTAGAGGAAAATAATTTAAAAAATAACTCATTTAATAAACCCTAGTCATATTTTCCTTTTAGTCAAGAATAAAATAGGTTATTAGTATATGTTTTAAGAAAATATTGCTTTTCAAGAAAAAAACTTGGTAAGAAATTCTCATAATTAAGAAAAAGGTAAAATATATTTTTACTCATGGATGGTAAAGATTAACCAAACTATGTCAAAAGATTAAATGAGCAATATCTAAATTTGTCAAAAGACATTTAAATGGTTTATATCTAAGGTAAAAATTTTAAAAGTTATGCCTATTATTGCATAGACCATTATTTTTAATATATTCATAGAGGCATTTTCTAAAAAGTTATGGAATTGTTAGCCATATCCAAAACTAGCTTTTACTTCTGTTTTAAACCAGGTCCTCTCTTAGGCCCACAGCTACTTCTAGCTGAGATAAGTAATGGCTTAACAGAGGAAGATTGAAGCGCTTCTCCACACCTAGATTATCACACTGTGGAAAATAAGTTCATTTATTTACAGAGATAGTAGAACATTTACTGGTATGTAATGTATTACATTTTAAAGAAATTGAAATTTAAAAAACTTACTTCAAAACAAAGGATAAAAATTCAACGTGATTTGTCAAGTTATATTTCTATGTATCAACACATAAAGTGTAAACAGAAAGTAATTTTATAAATGATTATAATATGGCTTATATTCAGAGTTATTTTTAATCAAAATATTCAAAATACATTTTCTTATTTTTAAGATATTTAAAATACATTATCTTGTTTTTAAGATTCTGCTAAGGTCCCCATTATAAGATTAAAAAAAAAGGATAAATATGTTAACTTACATTAGAAACATTGACTCTATTGTCTGTTATCACAGGCTGGTCATTGGCTAGTGTTGTTGGTAGTTCAAGATTTTCCTCAACTGTTTTTCTAGCTGGGCGAGTAATTTTTTTTTTACTAGGACCTGTCCATTCCTCCCATGGTTTCTGGTGGAATTTCATATCTAAAGGAACAATATGACCTTCTGTGGTGAACAGGTAGCGAGAAAACTCTTTATTCACTGGATTATCAATGTCAAATAACTGAAAAAAGTTGAGAGCAGTAAAAATAATTTATTTCTTCTCAATAAAATATGATTTACCTTATTAAAACCAGAAACTAGCTGGAGAAATATTTAAACTAATAATGAGTAACAGTAAAATTATTACCACAGTAAATAAATTAAATAAAGATAGTAAAAAAACAATTATCTAGTAACAGAATTATATTTATCCATATTATTTTAATAGAAACAAGGCATTTAATTTTTCATCTATTTGATACTATACTGAGGTTAGAATAAAAACGTGAGAAATTAAATTACACTAAATGTTTAAAAAATTATAACTATAAACATGCATCAGCATGAATTTTTAAATACATTAAAAAAAATTGATCAACCCACACTGTCTAAAATATTACTGAAAATAAAACAAACTCTTATTTTGATGCATTAAAATGTGTGAACTTACTAAATATAAATATTTACAAGTTTCACTAAGGAAAAAACTCTCCATTCTGTCCTCTAGTTCTTTTGTGTGGACATCGTGTATTGTGCAGTAACCGCACCTGTGCATCAGAATATCAAAACAGAAAAGATACTTGAAACAACTTAATGAATTACTGATCAGCATTAATAAAATGAATAGTTATATAAAAACAAACTGTTCGAAATGAACAAAAACAATGGCTAAATTAGCAGAAGCAATAACAAGGTACAATTGTAGCATTAATTATTGTTGTGTGAAGTGTTCTAGAACCCATTTATAATTTTCATAACAGTTGTTTATTATATATAAATTATATATATATACATACATATATATATATTTTTTTTTTAATTTATTTATTTATACACACACTTTTGTATGAAAATTGTTTACCTTTCTTTAGTATGGGCATTTATACTTTCTAAAATGTCCTTGCCAACATGTAGATAAAATGGATTTTTAGTAGCTTGATATAAAAAATAGGTTGACTCTACTAGTTCAGGACGCAATGGATAAAACCTCACATCAGGAGCCTTGAGCTGCCAATTATAGCGTTCTGGAAGTGCATTGTATCGTCTCCAAATAGCATAATATAGAGCATGTGAACAGATAGCTTCTTCCATATCACCATTTAATACCTGGTGAAATAAACAGACCTTTCATTTTTTTATTCATATTTTTAAAATTGATAATTACAATAGATAAGGAATAAGGAAAAAAAAAACAAAACAGTCAATCCCTCAACATGTTAAAGAATACTGTGTGTTACAATATAATTAATATAAATAGATTAAATAATTGTATAAAAGAAAGTCAAAGAATGTTAATATTTGTAGCTTTGGTGTCTCTGTTAAAATACCAACCTGTACAGCTGACCAAGCTGCCTGCAAGGCATCTATCCAGGTATTAACAAGTTCTCCTGTCTTCATATTGACATTGACATATAAAGGCACATTTCCTGAACCATAATTACACTTCGGTCTTCTAACATGTGGAAAAGACATAATTATTTCAAATAAAAATCCATTGTTAAATTATTATTTTAATCCATATAAAAATATATAAAAGGCAAGACAAAGACTCTTAGTTTTAATTTATTTATTGCCTTAAACAGTATTTATTACTTGATTATTTACAACATTGTTATTATTTAAAATTCAGATTAGCCTTACCCCCTTCTCATATGAAATTTAATAGTTTCATATGATTCATTAAACATTTTGAGATCTTTTTCATCTCCAAAAAGTATGTATGCCTGCAACAGAGGCCAGAAAACATATTTTTTTTACATTTTTATTAACAAAAAGACATACAATGGAGGACATAATATTCTAGGGAGATAACATTAGTTTAACAAACTTAAATGTATTGAATATAAGGAAATCAAATAAATGATGGACAACAATACCTTTAATAAATATTCAAAAAATGAATCAATTCCTGCACCTAGACCACTCATGGGACCAACCCATTCGCCAGTCTGAATGTTGATAACATTGCCTAAAAAAAAAGTTTGTACAATCATTTTGAGGTAAGGCTTATTATTATGAGAATTATGGCTATAAAAATCCTCAATAATAAGCTGACCTAATAATCCTGTAACATTTGAACGCAGCTTCCATAAAGTTGCTACTGCTCTTCTGGATAGTGAGTCATACACTGGATCATTCAGCAAACGGGAAAGAATTCCAAACTCTAAAACCAGTGTTCCTGCTCCAGATGTACATGTTTCATTGATACAGTTGACTGGCACCCCTCCTGTCAAGGAGATCTGTAGATTACATACACTGATTATGTAGCTTCAAGGATAGATGGAATACTATTTGCCCTAACTGTCAACTGGTCTGAAAATAGATTTTCTCCTGTTCCCTGCTTTCAGTACCAGTATTCTCAAATATAAACTATTTAAATTACCCTGGGGTATGGTATGCCTGTGGCCGTGTTACTAAAAGCTGGAAGCAAACGGGTAGCCAGATCATGAGCTAAATCAAGAAGTTCATTCTCATAGCCTGGAATAGACATGTTCCCCAGAGGCTGACGTGGATCAACAATGATAAGGTGTGCTGATAAAAGAGAACCAAGCACCCTGAGAATAATATAAAAGTTATTGAAAAAAGGCATTTAACAGCAATAACAAAATAATGAACTGGCTAATATAGGTTCATATATGCAAAAATTCTGTTAAAAATTATTTTTAAAATGTAAAAGTATGATGTATCAATTTCTGAACCCCAACTTTTCTTATTTGATGCACATTCTCACAAAATCATAACATGTAAATAAACAAAATATTATAGGAATGCAAATAACAAACCTTATGGTTGCCTCAAAGACTTGAACTGTGTTATTTTTATTGAAAGACACATACTCCATCACAAGCTTAACTGCCTTCTTGAACTCTGAACTGTTTCCCATAACCTAAAAATAACAATTTTATTTTTAAAATCTTATGCAACAGCAGATTCAGAAGTATTTTTGCCAACAACAAAAAACTTCTTGATAAAAGACAACTAATGATTTAGATTACAAAGTCAACATTTCTTATTTATATAGACCAATTTAAGAATAACATTTTAATTTTAAAAATGTTCTAAAAACCAAGGCAACCACTGTTACATTGACCAAAGCATTTCTTCCCAAACCCTAAGCCATTTATAAAACCAATTTAAAAAATAGCTTATTATTTTAGTATATTAATTTTAAAACAGTTGATAATAAAACTATACCAACCGCCAGTGTGTCAAGAGATTCAACCAGTGTTAAAGAATAGTCTCCCAAAACATCATTGATGTTGATATTATCCCTAAAAAAGATATGAATGTATTCTGAGTACTAACTCATATTTATCTAGAATATTTTATATACAGTACAGTATATGCCAATATGCCTACTAACCAATAGGATTGATAACCATACGCCTGCTGTATAAAATGAAATTATGATTAAATATTAGACTGATTAGGCCCTATTAATAATTAACTTCTAGAAAACTATGCCAATGACAGTTTAAATCTGTAAAGGCTTTATGATGTTATTTATTATTTTCATTAGGCCCTACCCTTAGGCTGTTAGTAAAATGTGAGATGCGAATCAGTGAGGCAGTTAAGTTCATATGGACACAAAAACTGCCAGTTACAATTACATGACATTTTAGTATCACTTTTTAACCCGTACAAAAATGGTAGGCTGAGTTGGGGTTAAAAAAAAAATGTCTGTGAATTTCAACTGACAATAAACTTTTACGCAAACTAAAAACACTGTTGAGTTGATATTTAACTAAATTTTAACATATCTAATGATAATGAAGGGAGATAGTTTGTTTTGGTTAAGGCACGACACACAACACTGTGCGTGTGTGGTATGTGGCCTGACCGACTGAAAGGAGATTGTTTATATTATTGTTTTGAGTTTATATTTAACTCAATGCAACAAGCCCTCTGGTTGGTGGAGGCCACACCAGGGGGACAATCGGCCTGGGATTCAAAGGCTCAATTCTTAATATCATCCCATTAGACTTAGACTAGACGCAAGGGAGAAGGTATTCGAGAGGCCCATTAATTAATTTAAAAATCATGCACAGCGTAGTTACAATTAATATGGTTATAAACTCCTGTCTGTCTGGTTTTTTCGGACTTTACTAAAGATTGGATGTATTTGATGTTTTTAATATTTTCGGTAACTAAATAAAAATAAAAAGGAAAAGGCAATTTGGTTTTCACGTGTAATGTCGACATAAACAATGGCATCCTGCTATTCGATGGCTGCCATAAATTTTTTTGTACACTTTGTAAGCTAAAAAAATATAAACTGGGAGTGATCTCCCCTAAACTTTCTCGAATATTCTTATATAAAATAACAGGGGATGGGACATGATTTTTAATCCATTTTAAATACTTAAAGTTTTAAAAATAGAATAAAATCTCGTAGACAAATTAATTGCACACCAAGTGAACGCCAAATAAAAAAGCGCATAATAGTGCGCAATATTATTAGTACTTTTAAAATTTACATTAGTTTTTTGAGAAATCGGAAGTAGCGTAAATTACTACTTCCGGTCAACGGAAATTACTCAAAATTTAACAGAAGGTAGAGAATTAGATCTTTTACTTACATGTGAAATTTCATTTATCTATCTGAAATAGTACTCAAGTTATAGGCTTTTGAAAAATTCAAAGTAGGAAAAGTACCACTTCCGGTTATCGGAAATCGCTCAAAAGTTGATACGGATCTACGATTTTGATAAAATACTTATATATGAAATTTCATTAACCTAGCTGTAACGGTACTCAAGTTATCGTGTTTACACACGGACAGACAGACAGACAGACACACAGACAGACACACAGACAAGATTGCAAAATTATGTTTTTCCGTATCAGTGAGGTGTAAAACGTCGAGATTTGTAAAAATCTCGATTTTTTTTTTTGCACGATTACAAGACTTTCTCTATACTTCGTATATACGAGAAAGTAAAAAAAACTAGGTCATGTGGTTTAAATTTGCATTATTATTTAAAAACTTCATCTGCAAAGTTTTGTAAACAAATAATTATCGATCATGGAGTTCCTGTACAGCCAATCGATATGTGTCTTACAAAAGTCACTCAAAAGTTAAACATCCTGTTATAACTTAGGCTTGATGAAAATAAATAGAAATGTTTAATGTAGCCTTAAACTTCAACTCTTAAACTCAACAAATTATTTTCAAGTTCTCTGGATTTGCAACTTTTAAAGCATTTATTCTAAAAATATAAAATTTCTAAATTAATTTTAGGCTTAAGATTGTATTTTTTATTATTTTTACAGTCTAAATCTAAAAAAGAACGTTTTTATTCCATGTCAACAATATGATGTATGTAATGATTGTAATGTAACTTATGTAAGGATTCTCATCAACTCACTCGCCTCCATTCAGTTAAATTTTTAATTTCTAGGCATTTAAAAAAAAAAATCATTTTTGGGGGACTTACGGATTATCATAGTCTGGACCACGTCCTTGGCAGTGAATAGGGTCCAGTTCATCCTCAGGGAATGCATACCTCATGTAGTTGTCATATCCAAATTGAAACATTTTCCTAGATGCGTCCAGCATTTCAAGCCGCTCTTTATTACTGAAGTGGGAATATTTGTTGTGAAAAGGATCCCATTCGTGTCGATAACTGTAAGTCCAACATATTTGTGGAAATATTAAGAAAACAATAAACACTGGAATATAGCAGGGACGTTTCATTATTTAATTGATGGAACCATGACAAAATGTGAAGTATGACTGCGTTAAAGATAGTAGAGCACTATTTTAGTTAGCACATCTACTGTTCAACTGTTGACAACTTGACACACTGACGACTTGTCTACTTCCACATTTTTAACTCTTCAATCCTCAATGATCACAAAGTGTGGCCCATGTAAGTGGTCTTCGGTAATTTAACCGCTTGTAAATTATATCCTAGGTAGTCTATTTTATGTTTTCAATTTTAAATATGTGTGCAATGTTTATTACATGAATCCAAGATTAGTAAATGATGTTTAAAATAAATCACTTTATTATAACTATTTACCTATTGAAATTTTTCGTTATTTGCTGTTCGTCCATAAATGCATCCTTAGTACTAGTTTTGTAATTATTTATCAGTCACAGAAACAAGGAAGGCAGATGGTTTTTAAATGTCATAGTAAAGACTAGACACAAAAAAAGGCTGGCACAATCATGGTCTTAATAGTGAAACAAAGTCTTGTCTGAAAAGCATGATATCCAAGTGAAGAAATGTGTTAAAAAATGCTTGCCCAATGTAGTGGTGTTGGTGATGTGGTGTTGGTGGGAATACATGAAAGAAAACTGTTTGCTCAAAACCATTGGGTGCATTAACGTCAAATCTTAGTTGAATCACATTTCTGTTTAACCAGTCTTCAAACACAACATTAAAACAGACTTTGGCGTGATAGCTGTATATTATTGCCATTAGTTTAATAATGTAACTAATTCCCATAAACAAAAGAAAACGAAAGATTAAGAACTATTCGGAAAACTAATTCCCTGGTCAAGATAAGTTAGGATCCCAGGCCAGTGTACGTACTTGACTAGCATTAGTGAAAGTAAAGATGGCAGAGCATAGTGCTGACCACACCATACCTTTACATGCCGGATGTTTTGAGTAGTTCTGTAACAGTTTAGGAGAGTAGCCATTTAAAGACAAATGCATTTTTTTCAAAATAACATTCTCTAGATTAGCGTTTTTTCTTTGATACTTAAACTTAGTATCAAATTAAAGGTAAACATAGGTTTCAATAGGCTTGTGTCCATGAAATCATCTTTTACCATACATGCCCAAGACACATGATGCAGATGAAGAAGGGTTCATCTGCTTCAGATACCTCGGCAAATGAAGGGATAGTGTGGTCAGCACTATGCCCAGCCGCCTTTTGTTTACCCTAGCTGGAGTTAGGTACCCATCACAGCTGGGTGGACTCCGGGACATTCTACTGACTTGAACCCAGATTCTATACTTTCAGAATAGAAGTCTACCTCTCTACTGTGCATGAAATGCCATCGCATTATTGTTAATCTTTATTGTGTAAATAAAACAGCAGTTTAAATAAAAATACTGATTTAATACAATAATGAGAACCCAAAAGAAATAAACAAAGTTATTTTTATAAATAAAGATATTTAATGCCAAATAGAAATGAAAATGATTAAACACCATATTATGATACACATATATACTGCTATAAGTGTTACTTGCCATATGTAAGCTATAACGCCATAGACCAAAAGTACACTGAGTAACAAAGAATCACCAAGCAGAAGTATCAACAATTGGATATGACATGCAGAAACTGGTGAACACACCTATGATGATGCTGAGACATTCAGGTATCTATATATATATATATAATTCTCTTCGTGGAGACATAGAAAAAACCACGCAGCTTAGCCACCACCCTCATCCCCACCTGTTAGGTGAGCTGTGGTTCACCCCGAATGTTTACAATAGCAGATTAAAATAAGTGACCGCTATTAGGGCAGATAAATTAGTTTTTAAACTATTTGAAACTAAGGGGAGATAATTTCTGCTTGATATTTTCATTGTCATCTGTAAACAGCTGCTTTCACTGGGGGGTGGGGGGGGGGGGGGGGGGGGGGTGGTTAGTGTCAAATTCACAATTTATGAATTGTTGATAGGTAAAAAATTTCTTCAGTAGTTAGACCAGTAACACCTGATAAAAAATAATTTTAATGTAAAAATCAATCCTTCCTTCTAAGGACTATATATTAAGTTGCTACTAGCACAAATTATTTTACTATTATTTTTTAATACCAATCAATGCATTTGTGGTGTTCTAACTTTGGATTTTTGCTTAATTTCCTTAGATGATGAACAGATAATTACATTTAACATAAAAAAAGATCAGTATAAGTATAAACAATTATGCTTTCAACAAGCTGCATTAAACTTATACTTCATTTTTTTTAGACCAAAATGTATAGTAAATCATATCATAAAAATGCTATGACCTCCTTTAAACCATTAATCTTAGGGCTAACAAAAACAATAATACATCAAAACTTAATGAACTTATACAGACACCTTAATAAAATGAACTGCTGAGTTTTTCATTTAGTATGATAGTCTAGACTTTTTTATTTTTACTATCTTATTATCACTTAAGTAATAAGAAAACATTCAAATGAGCACGAGATTCAATCCTCAGCAAAAACTCAACACTTCACTAACTCAAAGCTCAATTGAATGAGTAAGCTGATCAAAATAAAAGAAACTTCTATTCCCAAAAAAAAAACTTTTCAGCAAGAAATGCTGGAGAAATAGGCAAACAAGAAATAAGAAAAGCACTTAATACTGAAACATATCTAAACAAAGGAAAGATAAGTTAAATAAATATTTACACCAATGACAACTTGATGAATGATATGAGCTTTGCTGCCTGCATTTGGTTTGATTTTTATTCCCATCATCTGTGACAGTCATCAAACACATTTTATATAACTGCTTACATGGGCTGGAAAAATACTGAAAAAACTTGACACCAAGAATTGAAATTTTAATAAAACCTTACACAATGCAAACTATCATTTTCCTGAGATCGATGAATAACTATAAATGACTTTTTGGACTTGCTATACTGGAACACTATATAGGAAATCAAGAATTTTTTCTCTAAAAATAAAAGTAGTTTATTTTTATAGCAGTTGGCTTTACTTAAAAAATAATAATCCACATTTAAGAAAATTGAGAGCTCAAGTGTTATTAGAAAAAGTGTAATTATTTAGTGGCTAGAAAAGGTACACTTGTAGTCACAGGGATATTCAACAGAAGTGATACAACATCAAGGGAAATGTTTGGTGACATTCATTAATTCAAGACATCAACAGAAAGTTTTCATAACAAATATAAATGCAGATATTGCCACACTAAATGGTCTAAATTCTTCAAAAGTATAGCTTGAACAGAAAATATATACCCTTTAACTCAAAGATAATATTCAAGCGGGATAAAACTTTATAGCATTCACAAAAGTGTTCACAAGAAATTCAGTTAACTGTTTGATGCAACCAAGTTGCTTTAAAACATGAATCCTATCTACAATAAAGTCAACACAATTAATTTTCTGTGTTTAAGTCATAGATTTGCGGGCAGAAGTAGCATCTCTTGATAAAATGTGGTATAATTCAGTCATTCAGAGAGGGATAGCACAAAAAACTAGAAAAGGTAAAGATAAAGAAAACAAAGTAGACAATATATCTGCAAAAAATAATAGTGCAGATACTTCAAATAAGCTTGGCTGAAATACCCAAACATGCAAAACAACAAATTTATGCTAATTTTTACCATTAATAGTGATACAAATGATTTTTAAAATTGTTTAAATTTCTTGCACAAAAAGTGATGAACACAATATAAAAAAGAATAAACCAATTCAAACTTTTTTGTATAGATTAATGACTCATCTTTTGTCAAATTGACTTTATTTTCAAATCAATAGCCAAAAATTATTTGAGAATCCTTCCCTTTTTAAATTAGTGTTATCATGCTCATATTGTAGCTCTATTTGGCTTTAGCAATCAATACGAATCCCACTAGTTGAATGGTTAAATGCATTACAATATAAAACTGCTAAATGTTGTGATAAAAAAGGAAAACAAATGTTTATAAAAAGCTGATGATTAAACCAACATTAATATGTGCAGCTTTATTTAAGTGTGTATTTATATATTTACAATGCACAGAGAAAAAAGAAAATATTTAACATTAGGAAGGGAATACATTTTTTGTACAACATTGCTAAATGAATTTAGATCTATCACTACGATTGTTTTAATGCCGGAAGTGAATTAGACAAAATTATTTTACAGATCATCAAATGGTACTGTTCGAGCAATATTTAGAGCATCCTTGAGCATGAAATCCCTGAGTGCCCACAATGCACTAGCAATGCTACCATGACAACCAGCTCCATGAGCTAGCCACTGACCAGGAAGATTAGATTCAGGCACAGCTGGTGTGTTTTCCTGAGTTGCCATCAGAGCCTTATCCCAATTAGAAATCATTGGATTATCTGACTTGAGATTTTCAATATACCTGTTTAAAATGGAATGATAATTTTTAATTGAATATAAATATAATTTAAAAGGAAATATTTTAGGGCATCAAACCAAGTTATCCAAATTTTTTAAAGATAGGTACATTAAAAAAAACCTTATATTTTACAGCAATCTGCATTGAAATAAAAATAAAAAACCTGATGTAAGTTTCTGAGTGCATTAACTTCTGGGTTCTTGGTGGCACAGATACAAACATTGGCGAGGGAGGGCACTGTTGTGGAACTGTAGTTTGACCCACTGAAATACAGATTTAGAACCTTGTCAACAAAAACAATAATACATTGATAACCTTGTTTTGTTTTAATTTTGAAAAAGTCACACCCATGGAATCATCATGCTAGATTTTAAATAACATTACCAATTCTATGTTTACATTGAGATTGCATAAAGTTTACATTTAGATTGCATATGGCGACCTCAAACAATTTTTGACAGAAAATACATATTGTGTTAACAATTTTTTTTAAAAATGCCCATTGAATCTGTTGACATGTCAAGGACAGACAGTCCAAGAACATGGCTCAAGCAAGAATTAACTAGTGATAGATAACAGAAACATTTGTTGGATGAAATGTTTTTCTTGCATGCTTGTAGCACAAGTTAACAGAAATAGCATTAAATTTGAACATTTCTCATTCAACTAACAAATTGTTTATGATCTTTGTCTTATATTGATACTAGACACTCATGTTATCAGAAACATATTGGTAAAGGCCCACGTGTTATCAAAAACATTGGCAATGGCCCATTTGACCATTTGTCATCAAAAATAAAAGTTGATTTAATTGGTAATTATTGTGTGGATGTTAAAGCACATAAAATCAATAACACGTCTGGAGAAACAAGCAGTAATAAATTCAAGCATATAATTATAATAGAAAGACATAATTTACTAATAAAATTAGTGTGATACACTGTTTTAGGAAATACTTTTATTGCACTCTTTAAAAAAGAAAAGAAATAAGTTGTGTAGTTTTAATGCAATAAAAAAAGAAATACTATTAGAGCAGTAAAATATAATTATAAAATTTTCATTTGTTAATTTAAATGATTCAGCAGATCATATAGATTTGTACTATTAATTAAAGCCCATTAATTGTTAACCATTAATTGTAAGAAGCGTTCAAATATACTAGTACATATTATTTAATAAACTAAATAAAAGTAATTTGCCCATGAATACTAGTTTGTCTTAATATATGGATAACTCAATGATGAATCAGAGATAGAAGAAACTTAACCATGCAGAAACCTAAATATTTTGAATGAAATATCATTTTGAAAAAGATTGTTACAAAAAATTCATTCTAACATGCATATGGATGACGAACATGTTTGCTATACACAAGCATAAACATCTTTAAAATGTACATTTATATAGATTCAAGAACATGTTACTTTGTAACCGTTTATTTTTTTTGTTGTATAGAATATCCATTAAGTTAAAAGGCTGGTATTGATAAATTATTAAAACAAGTGTTTAAATAACATTTTGCTAAAGCACTAAAATATTTCCTTTGTTAGTTTTTTTATACTACTAAGCAATTTATTTTTAAGTCTTTAGTGATTTATAAATTTTAGAAAAAATCACTGCATCTTTAGTATTAATGAATAGAAGACAAAAATATATAAGCATTCTGCTATGCTGTAAAGAGACCCAGGGATATTAGTATAGCATGAATATTAGCAGCCTAGCACCAATTAGTTTGAATTAGAGGTGCTCAGAGATACCATACCATGCTGGGTAATATTGTGGGTTAAAAAGTTTGGTTATATAGGGCTAGATGCAGTACAGAGAGTATAAGATGAAAGCTGACCCATGAGGTAAGGGTTATGCCCATTATATGGCATGGGAGGGTATCCTTGTGGTGAGTATGCGATCCCATTAGCCATACCCAGAGGCTGCATGGGACTTCCATTGTTTAAGCCTGAAACATTATTCATGCTATATTAACAGAATGCTGCAACAAAAATGCTGAAAATACGGAGTGCCATTAGAACATAAAAGCTATGTTAGTAACAACATAACAGATATTTTTGCTTGATAAATTAAAGGGTTCAATCCAATTTAGTTGTACGTTAAAAAATTATGTCATATAATTAGTTTAACTGTTTTTTTTACTATTACATGAAGCAAGACCATGGTAACATAAAAAATAATTAACATAATAACACAACAGAGTTACATTAAAATGCAAAAAACCTAGAAAAGCTTATTTTAAAAGGCAAAACAACAGCAAATATAAAACATGGGCAGTCTAAACAGCTAACTTATGGCTTTATGATTTATTTATTTTTAGCTTGATATTGTCACAATAGAATAGGAATATCCAAGAGATATATCTTTTAATTTAAGCCCACCCAGCTTTAGAAATTTCTTGAACCAGACCTAGGGTTGACACTAAGCTAAAAAAAAACAACTTATAATTATAATACACTGGACCTGTCATCTATAAATAGCACTAAATAATCAAACTGTTCATTTCCCATGAGCAGTACAATCATTGCTAGTCTATATCTGTTCAGTGTCAAAGCCTCAGATCACATCACCAACACAACCTTACTATCCCTTTTTTTAAAATTTCATTGTTCATGCAAGTCCTTTAAGTCTGAAACTCTTTGCATTTTTCTAAAGTTCTCACCTCTTAGCTTTACACTGTTAACTATCTATCAGTGAACTGAGTTTCTCACCTGTTGGGGTCACGTGACCCTGGATAAACCCGGTAAAGCCTATATTGTTAGCCTGTTGGTTGGAATGTGCAGGGGTGGCCGGAAAAGCTACAAAACAATAAGAAGTTTGGAAAAGAAAACTAAACAAAAAATGAAACAAACCTGATGGAAATAAAAAAGTAAGCAAACAAAATAAACAGTTACCAACAACAAAATAAAAATGTAATTATAAATAGAAACAACCATGCCCGAAGCATAAAAATGTAAACAAACTAAAGGCTAAAAAAACACTTAAGCAATACTTTAGGAAACACTTTTCATCGAATTTTATCTTAGCTTTGAGTCTCATCATTTGATTTTTAAAAAATAACAAGTGACATTTTGTTCTTAACAGCCTTTTGTTAAATGTGCATTTTTTTTCCTTAATTTAGCCAGAAAAACTCAAATTCAAGCTCAAATAAATATTAACTGACACATACAATCATTGCATTAGAATGAGTTAAAATGTATAAAAGAACTTATAAAATTATTTATTTAAAAAAGTTCTTTTATCCATGTGATAAAATGTGTTGAGCAAGTTTTGGACCAATAGACCAAACCCATAAAAAAATTCTTACTTCCAAAGTCTGACCAGGGACTCTGGGAGCGCATAGAATCATTCATTGTCTTATCTGCTTCAGGAAGCTTGGCATTGAATTCTTCTACAGCTTTACGCGCCCTTTCTTCAAACACATCTTTTTCTGCTTTACTTAGGGCTCTCCACTGAAGTCAAATAAATTAGTTCTCATTTAAAACTTTACTAAAAAAATACTTTCAGCAAAAATTATATTTAAAAAAAAAGAGTATTAGAACTGTTGCCATTTTTTCTACTAGAGTAATGATTGGTTGGCAGTATCATTTTATTAATGGCTTCAATATTTGCTAGGGTTGGTGGTATCACTGAGAATCTATGGAGAAACAGTTTTAACTAAATCCAGCCCTAAATCTAAAAAATGTATACATTATAATATAACATCAACAACCTTAGTGCCAACTATCTTGCTAATGTCTCCGAAAGAACAGCTGGGATTGTCCTGAGAGATTTGTTTTCGTATCTCCCCGGCAAATACAATATAACCACTTGGTTGTCTGCGAGGATTAATTGGTTTCTGCAAATTGAAAAATAATGCATGTGAATATAACTATTATCATAACAATTTAAAAAGCTTTAAGTTAGAGCAGTATAGTAAGTACAGGATGTTCAAGCATCTGATGTGTGGGACAAACCTTTTTGTGAGATTTGGTTGGTGCTGGGCTGGGGACATCCATGCTGACAGACATGCCATCATTGCTGGCATCAGGCTCTACTCCCAGTGAATCCTCTGTGTCAATGAACAGACTATCATCTGCACTTTGCTTCATAAGAAGTGGTGATGGCTCCTAGATATACAAATAACAGTTTTAATTTTCTGTACTTTGAATAATGATACTGTTTTGAAAACTGCATAAAATTGAGGACTATTGCTGATGATGCTTTATAAACAAGGCCCTAAAACAACACTGCACATATAAATTAGGCTGTACTAAATATTTTATTTTTTTACCTTTCCTAAGACTATTGTCTTCCTAAAGAAGTAGATTTCATCATCAACAACTTTGGGTGACAATGTATATTTCTGAAATAAATAAGTAAATACATTCAGTATAACACTAATAGATATTTATTAATAAAAAAATAATCCCATAAAATCTGAAGGAAATAATTTTTGTAAACCACTCTCAGTGACATGCACTAGAATGTGGGTATCTAATATCAACACTTAAGAATTACTGTAAAATTTTACAACTCTCAAAACAGCCCACTACAAAAACAAGATTAAGCTATGTAATTGAGGGTGGCAAGCTTTCACTATTTTTCTTATGGAAAATAAACTGAATTATCTTTAGCATAGCTCATTGATTTATTTATAGATTTCCAGCAGTTGAAATGAGAGATTTGAGCTTTACTTTTAGTATTTTCTGCCTCTTGATGGATTTATCAGCCTCCAGGTACTTTGATTCATTGATGTAAATATCATGCTCAGAAATTTCAGTTGGTCGACCTACAAGTACATCCAAAATAAATGAGGCAAATTCTCAACACAAAACAAAAATTATAGCATTGGAATAAATCTCAAAACAAAATTTCTAAGCAAATTTAAACTAATTCTAAGAAAAATTTCTCTCAACATCTGTAATACATGCTGATGTCAAGAAATCAAAACTAAAAGTAAAGAAGTGAAGCATATACAAATAAATAACTCACTAGAGCAATAATCCTTCATATGAAGAACACAACATTTTCCAACTATATTTTTGATGAGGGCACAATCTTCTAGAGAAGACTGGAAAACTTCTTTTTTATAGAAAAGTCGAGTAGGTGCATGCTCAACCTCAGAGGGACGCAGGAAAAACGAGTAATGAAAAAAAGCTTCTCCCCTGTTGATATTACACATTTGAATCAGAATTGCCAGTGAGAGTAAAAAAACACTTTATAATTGATATTTAACCTGCTGAATTAAAAAAATTACTATAACTGAATCCAAATTCATACAGCAGTGCAATTGACCACCAGATTAAAATTATAAATTTCAAAGAAATATCAAAATTTTACTTATAACTTAAATCACTTTTAATACTCTTATCAAAATTTTGTTCAAAGACAAAAATAGAATTTTCTTTTTTTAAAAAAAATGTTTGTTAATCTATTTTTATTATAACCATAGTTTGCATAATCTGTATTTAAAAATGCTTAAAGGAATAAAATTGAAATATCAAAGATATTTACAAATTATCCGTCCATATTTTATCAATCCTGGCAATGACAGGCTGCCCCCCTGGATTATTGATGTAAACACCATCTCCTGGAAATAAACAAGTTCTGGTTTATATTTTTTAAAAACAAACCATGATAACACTGGGAAAAAATATTTCAATACAGGTTAATTTATTCTTTTTAAAAAAGATCACATATATTTAAAAAATAATTCTATGACATACAATTCACTTTTATGTTTAAAATCATTTTTGTCATATATAAATATTAACATAAATAGAACAATTGACTGACAAAGTGATGAGAACTATAGCAGCTAGAGATGGATGATTTATGATTACTGCACTAACCTAATTTGAAACAACCCATGTCACACACATACTGGTCATAGTAAATATTTCCATCTTCATTTTCCACTTCTGAAGGAACAGACTAAAACAAAACAAAAGCATTTTATAGTTAGAATCCTATACAAACAAACATGTAGAAAAATATCTTTTTAAATATACATTTATAATGTTTAAAACTATTTGATAAACCATCTTAATTTATTAACATTAGCCAATTTAGCAACCTACAAAACAAATGTTTGAAACTAAAGCTACCTCTCTTTTTTTATCAATTATAGTGTCACTGTCATCTAAAGTACAATCACTGCTTGATTTGTCAGCAAACACAGATGCCACTCTCACTGGCATCAAGGGAATTTCACGAGGAACAAAATTGAGATTCTTGCTCACAGGAATATGCCAGTACTAAAACAAAAGAAAATTTAAACTTCATTTAAATCTATACCAATAAAAATCCTTAAGTTAATTGGTAAGTTAATTTTTATTTATATTCTTACACCATCAGCATAAGCTAAAATATAGAACAGTGTTACTCAATTTAATAGATACAATACAATCCTGACCTTTATTTTTTTGAAACACCGGTTTCGAACACTGTATCGTGATTCACAAACATAGACGTCTTTGTCTGGGATATTCTACAATTCCAAAATTTAAAGTCAATTGTTTCAAAAGTTATAAGTTCATAGCACAAAACATTTTAGAAATATAGAAACATTTACAATTAATATAAAATCTGTGTGATATTTTATTAGTCATTAAATATTTAAAATATTAAAGTCACACTTAAAACTTAAGTCTAATTATTGCTACTCATATAAGAAGATATAAACTCTGTATACAAGATTAATGTTGGAATGAAACAAAAACTTGCTTTTAAAGCTAAATGAATATTTAGTAAATGTTAAGTAGTAAGCTTCAACCTAAATTTGGGATGGTATTATAGTCAAAGAAATAGTCAACTTTTTACTTTTGCAGATTAGTTAAGCTTGTAAAATTTATAAAATGAATAGTACCTCAGGTTTACTTTTAAAGTAGTCCTTGACAAACATGACACAGCAGCGACCGACTATCTCAGAGAGAGGTGTTCCATGGCTTGTGTCACTCTTAAATACTTCCTGTGTGGTTTTTAAGATATAAAAAACATCAATCATCAAATGCATATGAGACAAAATGACAGAAGATTTTTTTTTTTTTTTGGAACATTTCTTTATTTAAATCTCTAGGCAGTTAGAACCGCCATTTAAAGTAGCATTTAAAAACCTTTTGTAAAAACTTTCGAGTTGCTAAGTGGTATGTTTCCTCTGGTCTGTAAAACCAATTGCCTTTGATGACTTTCTGCCCTGTGTTGTCTACACCAAAGCTTTCTATAGCCATGATATGAGGATCTGGAGTGTCCCTGTAAATCACATTATTTCATCACTTTACACAAATATCTTATAAAATACTTAGTTTTTAAAACTATGATGAAACCATGGTGATGAAAAAAACCATTCACCGTACCTTGAGTCAATGTAAACAAAATCTCCTTTAGCATAAATCTGACCCTTGTATTCACTTTCTTCATCAGTAGTAGCCCCTTCAGGATCCTGAGACTAATTGAAGGAAAAGATTTTTTCAAGTGTATTTAAACAAAGAAAATGAAAATTGAGTTGAAGAATTATTGTTAAATGATAGGATGAGAGCATTAGCTACAGCATACCTTTTCTTCCTCCATTTTTTCTTCAGAAACCTTCTTTTTTTCCTCATCTTCAAGCTTTTCCTGCTCTTGTTTTTCCTTCTGTTCCAACTCTAAAGCTAATGAAAGGTGGCGTTCTGTGTAACTAAGGGCAGGTGTTAAAAGCATTTCACCATTCTTACACAATTCATCCCTAGTCTTGATAAAGAAGATTTGCATCTCAACTGCATCTTCATACAACTGTAAGACAAATGATTAAAAGTTGTATTTCAGTATTAAATGTGTTGTTTTGTAAAATACAATATTAAAGGATGAGTATATTTTAAAACAAAAATTTCTAACATTCAGTATAAAATGCTTGTTTTATAAGAGAATATTAAAGCACGTGTATGTTTAAAAACAATAACTAACTTTTAAATTTAGTTTTACCTATATATATATATGACTATTTACATCTAACAAAAATTAGAACAAATACTCATTACTGATGTTGCTGAACTGTAAGTACCAAAATAAAATACCTGTGAATCAGTTCTGCTGTTCTTTCTTGCACGTTCAAAAACCTTAAACATGTCTTCCTGAAATCTGTCAACTCTTCTATACCGACCCTTAAAAATAAAATATAAAACATGGTTTTATTTAAGCCCTAAAAATGGAACTGAAAACCCCTTTTATATGTTTTCTTTGTTTTGTCTAATCATTCTTGGTTTGAATTATATAGGTTACAAATTTGAGCTTAAAAAAAATGTAAATTCAAACTGGCTTAATTTTTTAATCTCACCTCCTTAGTTTTTAGACTATTTTTTCAAAATATCTATAATTTAAAACAAATGCAAAAAATGTAAATTATCAAATTATGTTAAACTTCTCACCTTATCAAGATTTCTTTTGATCTGGTCAAAAGTTAATGGACGTCTGTCAGAAAATAAAAATCAAACAGAAATTAACAGGTAATACTATATATATCATATACCTGTGGCAAATTTTAAAGCAACAGCCAATAGAGAAAAATATCAAGGCCCCCTAAATGGGATGGATTAGACACACGTTAAGAAGAGAAAAAGAAAACATCGCAAAACATGCTATGGACTGGAATCCCCAGGGACAAAGGAAAGTGGGCCGGCCAAAGAAAACATGGAAAAGAACGGTTAAAGAAGAGGCGAAAACAGCTGGGCTCACATGGGCACAGATTAAGGGAGCAGCCCAAAACCGAGTCTGCTGGAAATGTGTAGTTGCACCCCTTTGTGGCCCCTGGTGATGATGACTATATATATATATATATATATATATATATATATATATATATAAATATATATATATGAAAAACAAATTATAAAATAAGTTAAACTTACTCAGCTAGTTCTCCACTTAATTGCAGACTTTTATCTTTTTCAATGAGTTCAGCAAAAGAATCTGTATAGCATCGTCCCTCATCATCCTTCCAAGGTAAAAAGAATTAGACTTTAGAGTGCTTTTTATTTTCAAACAAGTTTTTAAAAATTTCTATTATAGCAACTGCTCTGCTATTTTCATGTGATGTTAGCAAATATACTTTTGTTAAAAAAAAAACCAACCTCATGGCTAACTGTAGATATAAACAGATTTTTCATCAGCTCTTGAGTTAGTGCCTTAACATCTGGGACATTATTCATACAATCAGACATCAGCTCCAGTTTTTTCTGGAAACACACTCTCTGAAGAGCTAGGGCATCCTTTAAAGATGTTTAAAAGTTGTTTTTTTTTTAAATCATAAATATGCATTTTAATAAATAATTACAAATTTTTGTGAACAAAGTATGAAGAATTTTTATAAAAAGGGAGGCCTACTTTATAAATAACGGAGTCTGGCTCATTGTATTTGCAGGCATTGTCAAACATTTGAACAAAGTCAGCCACCATGTCTTCAACACTTTCATACTGCGATGACATCATCTTTTGCTGAATCCTCAACATATCAATAGGACGCTTGATGACCTCATAGTAGTCAGGGTAATCCTTTCAACCAAAACCATAGTTTAAGCCAAAAAATGTACACAATTATAAACTTGGATTTTTTTTTAAATGTGTTGTATTTGTTGGCTATTGTTTAATTGTTTTATAAAATATTCAAATAACAAGTCTAATGTTCAACTAAATGTCTTTTTGTAACTCCTTACATTTTTATTGGGAAGTTTAATAAATGGAGAAGATAAAGCACGCCCGGCCCTGTCTTGATAATCTCTTACACTTTCATACAGTTCCTGAAGTTTTTCTGATAGTGGGTTGCATTCAGAGAACTTGGAGCTAAACAATACAAAAAATTATTATTCGATTGCTTTTACTATCTCAAATTTGCATTAGGTAAAACTAACAGTAAATAAGAATAGTAGGATGAAGAATAATATTCATGTAGGTTCCTATGTTATATCAGGATCAGGGAAATAATAAATATGATGCTGTTCACTTACCGTCTGCCACTGCCTGTTTTTGCTGCCAACTGTTTCCATTTTGTTCTCAATGCCCTATCCAATGTGTTAGCATCTTGATATACCTGTGATCCTTCCTCATTGTAATGTCTAGCATTGTTGAACATAAGCTCAAAATCTGACAATAGTGTCTGTTCATTGGGGTACTTTAGGTAAAGCAAGAAAGGTAAAATATAAGATTTGATAAGTATATTTTGTATTAATCATTAGCTGGTTAAGTTTAGTATAAGAATTTTTAAGTGAAGAAGATTACAAAAACTGATGTCTTTTTTGAGAAGCTGAATGTTCAAAACTAATGTTAAGTTGAAAATTTTAAAGTAACAAACAAACCTTATCTGCTTTAAGTTTTGAGTCAATCATTGTCAAATCTATTGGCTCCATGATCACTTGATAATAGTCTGGGTAATCTTTACGAGATGGGAGAACCATAAAAATTGGTCGCAAAAGACGGCCATTTACATCCTGGGAAAAAGTTAAATAAAGAAATACATTTTTGTTCAATTAGTGATTTTAAAAAAGCCGCTCTTTTAGCCTTTTAATAATGAATATTTTGATTGGTGAATTACTATTAAACTTTTATGGGAACATTTATTTGATTCAGAGCGCAACAAGTATCAAATCTTACACTGTAATCATAAACTGTTGAGAAAAGTGTTTTCAGTCTTTTCTTTAAGTTGTCATCTGTTCCTCGCTTGTGTGACTTCTTTTTGTCGCTATCTGGTGTGCTATTGATAGCAAGACTTGACTTACGGCCTCTGCCACGCCCAACTGTTGTGGGTGTCTCCAATGTTAAATCCTCATCATCTTTCTGCAACACCAAAGTCTGGATCATTATTAACATCACACACTCAAATATAATTAATGCCTTAAACCAGTTCAGAATATTCAAAATATTTAGAATAGTAACATTTAAAAGAACTAATTTCATAGCTGAACCATAAACATATGAAATTTTTTTAGATATTAAAATAAGATTGATAAAGCAAAAAATATCATATGAAGTACAATAAATCCTGAAAATAATAGCTTTAAAATTAATCTTAATAGTGTTTTAGCTAAGCAGTACTAATTAACAAATAAATTATTTTTAAGAAGCTGTGTATAATGTTATGTAAAAAGCAAATATATCCATAGCAAGATGAATATATTTGGTCATGTAGGACATCTACATTTTGATTGTCACTCAGATTTATTTCATGCAAAATTATATTCAACCTTTTAGTTGCTTAATAAACAATTTTTATCACATAATTTTGCTTTTGCAAATGACAGTCATGTTAATTCTATCAATGATCTGTAAATTGAAAATTATTTTTTTTCTTAGCTTATCTATATTCACAAATTAAAAATTGACTGTACATACAGCAATGTATTTGACCTTACTGATTTGACACTTGAAAAATCATTTTTACTTTATTTACAATATACAACAGAATATGAAATTAATTTTTTAAAGTACAAAGAGGTGCATCTTATAAGAAAGTTTGACATAGTTTTTAGAACTACACAGATAACTAAGATTTTTATATCCCAAGTTTTACATTGTATGTTTAAATACATTTTTCAATTAGGTGTTTTATTCTCATAGAAAATTGTTTTTTAATTATGAGGTTTATCAATGCACATTTTCTATTAACCTGAACTGGAAATAATGGTTAATTATACAAAACTAAAATGATCTCTTTTCAACAAATAATTTTATAAAAACTTAGTGAAAATAAAACAAAAGTTATAAAATTAATTTTTAGTTTCTTTTGCAATGCAAATTTAATATTATAAAGGGGCACACACTTTCAAAAAACCCTGACATTTAGTTACTGTATGTTTAGATGGTTAAGGCCTGTTAGTTTGTTAATATCTAAAACAACATACCAACTACACTGATGAAAGAAAGCAAATATAAAGCAGAAGATGCAGACAATGTTTAAATTGGAAATTTGGTACATGACTGACAACTGTACTCTTCAACTTGTACTTTACACTTGTATTCAAAATATAAGCCTACTATTTGATTCAAAAGAAAATAAATATTACTTTGAAAAGGACTGCTTTACTATTGTATCCAAAATTATCAATGAGACTACCACTTAATAAAAAATAATTCAATAAATGAGTGGGACACTGTAGATGCAAAAATTTTGCAAAAATCAAACTATGGCGAAACAAATTTATACAGGCAAAAATATTTCAATACAGATGGTAACTAACCCTTTAAATTTTAATTAAAGGCATGAAAGAAAATAACATTCTAATCTTTCACAGAGCATCTGAAGACAAACAATTCTGTGTTGTAAAAGTCAAATCCATAAAGTTTAATACTATAGGATTTATTTTTATTTGGCTGATTAAAAATGTTTGCTATTATTTTTAATTAAAAAATCCACTGATTCTGCTGTTTCTAAACTATTTATTAAAAGCTTAGTTATGAAAGAAAAAGTTAATATTCTTGATTAACTTTCTGAATTTTTGTTGATGTTGGCTCATGCTTACAACAGTATACAAAAACAAAGCAGCCAATGAGAAAAAGCATCCATCTAGTGCACAGTTTAATATAAAAAATGGCTGGGGCAAAGGATTGGGTAGGTAGGTAACTCACCCCTGTTATACTATTCTCTGCTTCTTCATCTTCCTCTTCAACATTAACCATATTTGCCATTTCTTCAATAAATTCTTCCTGAGTACCAAGAAGACAATCAGAGACCATCTTTTGACAATGTTATTTAAGTTCTGCTTACTTTTGTAGAAAAAAAGTAGCTAGAAGTAATACTATAATTATATGTTTAGTACTTAAAATATGGGTGAAAATTATATTGCAGCTACCTACAATGCTATGCTGTTATCTTTTGTAAAAATAAACTAAGCAAACTAAATTTTTAAAATTCAATTTCAAGGTAATATGTTGATCTGGTCAATATTTATGGATCTAAAGCTTATATAAATCAGTCATTCTTTTCAGGCAATCATTTTAATGGAAAACAGCCACTGATGGTTTGAAAATATGATACAAATAATTATATCTATGGCACTTTATGCATCTCACATTAAGTGTTTATTTATTTTTTAGTTTAAGCACCTTCACATATATTCTGTTTTGAAGAAGTTATTTTTAAAGACTATTTTGTATTAATACAAACATGGGTTTTTGGTTTAAAAAATACTAAGGTGATATCAAACTATGCAAGAACAAAGCTGATTGCAACCAAACAAATAAGAGATAAAATGTGCAATGATATTCCTCTACTTATTATTAACATATAATTTATCTTTGTTTTTTCTGTCTTGCCTCATTGGTTTTTACATGTCATTTCATATCTATTAACTCAGAAATGACTTAAGTGTGAATTGCATTGATAAATATAATATATTTATTGAGCTTATCGATATGTGAAGATGTATGGTCAAATACTGTAAGGTTTATGAAAATTGTACAAACAAAACCTCTAGGTCTTAAAAAATACTTTTATAATGATGGTACAATCTAAATTGTAATGTCTACCTGTATATTCAATAGTATCCTATTAGTTCAAATATTTTCCATTATAAAACAATGATATAACCCTCTTTAAAAAAATTAAACCGAATATGACATCTTAATCTGTCAATTATCAACATTTATTGCTGCTATCCTTCCCCATCGTGATTTGTACTAAATGTTTTTTGACTTAGGTGTAGGTATTTGAGGTACGTATAGCTGAAAGTTTGGTACACTGTTGGTGTGAATGAGTGGAATTTAGTGGTGAATGAGGTGATGCAGCTATTAAAGAGGTTTTTTTATGTTATTAAGAAATACAAACTAAAATGTCTTGCAATCATCCAATTGTAATTAAAGTAAAAATATAACAATGCAATAAAGGCATTTTTTTTTTTGGCTTTTAGGCACAAAATAAAAATAAATAAATAAATTACCATCAACTCTGGTTCTAATTCCTTGCATTTCTCAATCATCACCCTTTTAAGTTTAACAGCAAACTGTTAAGAGATAATTTTAAAGTAATGAATTAAAACTGTGACACATATTTTCTTTAAAATCTTTTGTAGATTTTATCAGCCTTTTTTTTTAATGTAGAAGTCATATATACTAACTTTATGAATCTGTGACTCATCCTGGTTATATTTCTTTGCATTCTCAAACATGAGATTAAAATCATGAGCCAAATCTAGAACAGTTTCATACATGTTCATCTGAAAGAAAATATCACAAATTTGATGGAAGATTACATTTTTCCTATTTGGTTTTAAATTTTGAATTTTTTTACAAGAGAATGTTTAAATACGTAAAAGAAAAGAGTGAAAAGATACAATTAATGCATAATTAATAAGAGGGTGGATAAATCATACCTCGATTTTGTATCGAATTTTTTGTAATGACATTGGTTTCTTTATTTCCTTATAGTAATCTGGATAAAATCTAGAAAAACATCAAATGTGTTCATGAGCAAGTTAAATTATTGAAATCTTGATTAACTACATGATCCAAATAAAGCTAAGATGAAAAAAAATGAGTGAGGTTAGAAAGCTTTCAGCAGGAGATCAGAGTATGATTCAATAGTAAGAAAAACTCACTTTTTGCTAGGAAGTTTAATGAATGGATCAGACAGTGTTTCCCCATTTGAATCTGTGTAGCTTTTTATATGGTTATAGAGTATCCACTGAGGGTCATCCTCTACTAGGTCATTACTACCACCTTCTGCTTCTGAATCAATTTCAAACTGACTGGAAGAAGCAGTCTCATCTTCCTCTTCTGAGGGGTATTTCAATGCTGCACATATGGCAGACATTTTCTGAATCACACATCGATCCTTAGTTCTGCTAAAGAATTACAAATTCAGTAAGTATCAAATACATGTAGAAATCAGTTTATTAATGGTTACATTTCTATTGTAATAAATCTAAACAGCAACCGCCAAATTCAATACATTGATTTGCAATAGTCATTTGCAATAAAAAAAAATAAAAGTAGACATACCTCAATCTCTCACTTGATTTGACATGACCAGATTTTTTATACTCCAGTTCTCTCTTCCTTTCAGTAATCACCCGTTTTAGTGTAACAGCATCCTAAAGAAAGATATAATAAATGTTTAACTTAAACACAATAATAATACTATTTTTACAGCATATAGCTCCAAACTTTGAATTGACTATATTTTATTATAAATTTACTAAATTTACCCTGTATATTAATGATTTTGGCTCATTAAAAGCTTTTGCATTTTTGACCATCAACAAAAGATCCTTTTCTAAAGCATCCAAACTGGTATATTTCATTTCTTGAATTTTTGTAGCAATGATTTTCAGATCAATGGGTTGCTTGATAACTTCATAATACTGTGGATATTTCTGTTGAAAAGTTAGAATACAATGGTTATTTTTAATACACTTCATTATATTACTAAATGTTTAAAGCTTTAAAAAATCAGTTTACAGTCTCATGCAAAAAAAAAATGATTAAAAATACTGATGTAGGCAAAAATTGCCAATTTAACCATTACAAATTTCTAGAAATAAATTCAAATTAGAAATACATTTATCAAGCCTCATAAAAAAAGTCAAAATATAGTTTTAAGAATTATGATATTAAAAAAAATATTTGCATACTGATCTCTGTGGTAGCAATTGAAATGCCTGACTAATATCTCTATCACCATCTTTGGTTGTTACGATGGCAGCAAAGAGTTGTTCAAGGTCATCAGCAAGCTCATCAGACATACTGAGGGTTCTTTCTCTGTATTTACTAGCACTGCTCACGTTTCTGGTATCCTCTTCTACTGCATCGTCTTCATCTTCATCATCCTCATCGTCATCACACTTAAGTAAAGTAAAACAATATTAAAATTAACTATCACTGCAAATTTCAGAAGCAAATATATGAATACATTTTAATAACTGTGTTCATGAATATGACAAAACACATTTTGTATGTAAATTACACAAATACTTATTCTTGCTACTTGATAAAAAAATCTTCTTAACTCTAACATTAAACATTATGTGAAAACTATACATTTTTCACTAACCTCTTCACTAGCATCATCCTGTACTATTTCAGAGACCTCCTTTGCTGCAGATCCCTTTCTTGGCAGTCTTTCTGTTTTGTCTCCAGTTCCAAACACAGCCTCAACCAAATCTGCTCTTGTTTCTTCATATAATTCTAAAAGATCACATGCATCTTTGTATTCCTGAGAAGTTTTCTGAGAACAAAAATCAAATACTTTTATCTGTATATAAATTAGAAACTAAACAGTAATAAGAAAAAACTAGTAAGTTAGCATAACAAATTTACAACATGAAAATAAGTCTAATACAATTCAGTTGAATACATGAAAAAGCTTTTAAAAAGCTCTTAAAAGCTAAACTATTATGTACCTTGTAGTAAGCTTTTGCATTATTGATCATTAGCAAAACGTCAGCACTAAGTTGATCTACATAGTCATAGCTGTCTGTTTTGACTTTTTGCTGAATTTTCAAAAGATCTATTGGGGTGCTAACAACATCATAGTAATCAGCTGCTGTTCTACGCTTTGGAACCCGTATAAATGCTTCACACAAAAGCCTTCCATCTTCAGATTTGTGATTGCGTATTGTATCATACAGCTCATGAATTATATCATGCTGATTTTGAAAAAAAAAAAGATTATTACGTTAGGTTTAAAGTGAGTTTTTAAAAACAAATTTGAACGTAACTATTTAAAGTATGAGAGATAACAACCAAGTAAAATAACATGAACTTTTAAACTTTGATAAAACTGCAAAAAGACTATTATTGGAATACAATAAATTACACATTTTGACCTTATCAGCAATAATTGAACAAATATTTTTTTAAAAAAAAAAATTGTACGCAAAAGCAAATATATACTATTTATCAGGACATTAAATCTGAACAATTAATTGTACTGTAAGAGATGTTTACTTACAGGGTCATAGTTTAAAACTTTTCTCTTTCTTTTCACTTGTGATGGACCTGGGGACTCTTCCCGGTCATCTTTAGTTTCAGTTCTCTGACGCTTGCGGGGCATTTTACATCAATAATAAAACCTGAACCAAAAAGTTCAATTTATTATGAAAGATGAAATCTAAGTATATTTTACTTTGGAAAAGATAAAATTTTAAACATTTCCACGAAGTAAACATTTTAACTTTTAATACTTTCAAATATGATGGGTTTAATCAGGAAATACAATATGAATGAAGACAGTACTAAGATTACTACTAATAAAGGGGGATTGTTAAATTCATTATTTGTAAAGTTTACTATGCTAGTTTTGATAAACAGCTTAATTTTAGTAGTTTTAGCTCAAATTTCTTTTAAAAAAAACTCTTACAATTTTGGCGGTTACAACATTATTGGTTTAACTATCGTTAATGCTATATTAATCTTAAACTATTTAGGAATTTTTGTTTGCTCTGCCAGCTTCAGCTCACAGGATCCTGACTTACTATGTACTAGTGGTGTTAGAGAGTCAACAGTGTATGTTAGTGAATTTATCGTATTTTCATCCATATTTTATTACTGAAAATGTATCTAAATATTCCTAGAATATTATGTTCTTTTTAAAAGGGTAAATAATTCAATTTAAAATATAGTGAGTCTGGCTACGATTATCAAAAACAATATTTTTTTGCAAAATAACTAAAATTCAATTTCTAGTTTCTGTTTTCTGTCTAGTATTAAAGAACCATAACATGTTGCTGCAATGATCACCTGCCCACATTTTTTGAAAAACTCATTTCAGTCTATTTCTAGAAGTAGGCCTCTATATTTAAAATTCAAGGCCTAAGCATTTTTAAAAATCAACAAAATTGATATTAATACTATGAAAAATCATAGGCGGTGGTAATAATATGGTGATGTTTAAAGGCAATATATCAGGAGGCTTTGGTATTCTAAACAAAAGAAAGAAATTGATATATCTTCCGCATGTCAAGCAACGGAAAAATAGTAATTTAAAACTTAAAACAATACAAACAAAACATCAAAATTCATTGTAAATGGGGTGTAGTATAATTTTTGCAGACATATTTGCATTTTATCCCCACCCAGCATAAGTATCAGATGGAGGTAAGATGCAACACAAAAATTATGTCACTGACCAGCGGTTTTCACACCCTTCTCAGATTTCTCCCAATTTTATTATGCACAATGGAGAAAAACTACGATTTGCCATCGCGGCGATGTTTTCGATGGTACTGCGCATGCGTGTGTTTACAACCTCAGAACCCTAATACCAACCCTAACCCTATCACTAAACCTATCCCCAACCCTATCCCTAATTCTAGCCCTAACTAAGTGGAGATGTTGGGGAGAAAAATCTTCTTCCGAGTAGTCACTTCGTTTTATTTACTCTACAGTCTACACTCTACTGCCTCACCATCTCGCAATTTAGTTACCAACACTCTTTATGATGGACACCCCTTATTTAGTGACTATTCACTAGAATATTGAATATAGATCTAGAATAGTAGGCTAAACCTAGATTTCTCTAGATCTAGTCTAGAAATCTTCAACTTTTTTCAGGATTTTTTCACTTCCATCTCACTTCTCACAGACAAAAGCTGAAAATGAAAAGCTGGAGTAGATCTAAATTTACTAAATTATGAAAGCCTCAATCAAATATTTTTAAAATTTTGGCATCATAAATAAATTAAAACAAATAACTAGATATAGAGTCTAGATAATGTATCAATTAAATTATTAACTATTCATTATTTTCTAAATATTACTCGTGTAAAAATGAAACGGGAAAAAATGAAGCATGAAATAGCGTCTCTTGTGAAATTGTTTTAAACACAGTAGTCCGCCATGATTAGACCTAAAGGGTGTTCTAAATACCGTCATGCAGTTGTCCTGAAAACATTACAGTATTACAGTACTTTAGGCAAAAGGCTTAGGACTTTAGACCTAGATTATTGTATTATTTAATTATAATTCTATCTTAGTATCCATAATCTATACTACACGCACGTATGCTGATGTGGGCAGCTTTCAGTCATTTAGAATTTAGACCGAGTCTGAAATGTTTTTTTTTAGCCAAAGTCTACAGTGACTACAGTTAAGGTTTAAAATTATTTTTAGTTTATTTGCCCAAGCCCAAATCGCTATCAAATGTTTTAGTTTTAATGTAAAAAAAATTCGATTAGATTTCGTATGAATGCTTTCAAACATGTAGGTATTATACATTATAAACTGTAGGGCCTATACAATACTAAATAATAAAAATAATAAATATTCGGAAATATTACCAGCCTTCTTACACAAATTCCTATAACTATAAATAATTCTATAATAAAAATACTAGATCTACCATCTATCTAATATCTATCATATATCTATAGATCTATATCGATGTTCTACAATTTCCCTTTGTTCATTAATGCTCATTTTTTTTAAACGAAGATATGTCTGTTTCTGTGTGTGTAAGGCAAAGGTTTTCTGTTTTTTCTAGAATCAAGTCTAGATCTAAGATAAAAGTAAAAATACATGTTCCGATGTTTAGACTTATATTGACCTAATTAGAATATTGCTTTGTTCATGCGACGAAGTTTAGATATAGACTTAACATTTTTTATTTAGATCTAGGTCGCGTTCCTAATAAATTATGATAATTATTATATTACCTAAGTCTCAACATGTAGGCCTATAAATATTTTATTGGTACTTTTAAGTACTCATTAATAAAAGCGTTCTTAAAATATAAAAATTTAATATAATCTAAACTTACGCTGGGTGGTGTTGATTCTAATTAAATAGTTAAAATAAATAGTCACAATAGTGAGTAGTTTAACATATAGGACTAGGCCCCTAATAACTAATATATATTTAATTAATATTAATAATATTAGGCCTATATATAAATATATTATATATATAAATAAATTATATATATATATATATATATATATAGCCTATATATTTAAATATATATATTCTAAGCGTGTGCCTATTTTAACATAATTTTTATTTTATTATCAAAAAGGGGGGGGGGATGTAGATTTTTTTTTTTTAAATCAAGCTGTACACAGTTAAATAAACCTTATATTCTTTTTTGAGCCTTTTCTGAACTCAGAGACTTACCTAACCCAGGCCCTTTTTAACAAATGTGTGTATTACAGTTACACAGCAGTCATCATTGTAGACCTACTACACATACTAAAACATACTGTTATTTTAAGCACCAATGGTAAAAAAAAGTAGTTACCATTTCAAACCAGGGGTAGATGAAGTAGAGTTTTGTGACATTTGCATATAAAGGGAAACTAGTGTGCACTATAGCCAGCCACCTTTGCTTTCCCTTAAAGAGTCAGGTACCCATCATGGCTGGGTTGACTCAGGAATATCCCGCGGAATCAAACATAGATCTTGAATCAAGACATGAGTTAGTAGTCGTGTGCCCTACCATCTGACCTTAGAGTCCCATAATAATAAATAGGTTTATATATATATAATATTTGTTAAAATTTGGGAGGAATTGAAATATGTACTGTTTGTCTTTGTAATTAGCATGATGAGAGATGCAACCTTTACTTGTGGGGATCTAAGTAATGGAATTGAAATTGTTCCCATTGTTGGGCCACTGTGTGAAGATACAATTGGTTTCAGTGTAAGTCATAGTCTAAAATAAAATAAAAACTATTTAAAATTACAAACTTTTAAGTACACAAAAAATAAAATATGCAATTTTCTATAAATAGAATAAAGGTATATTGGTCACTAAATTAAAAGGATTCTTTTGAGTGACACACATAACTAAGAAAAAAACAAGCCTTGACAATTAAAAGCTTGTAATTAGCTGTTCATGTTTAATCACTCAGAGTTGAAATATTTCCTTTTTCAGTACATAAAAACTAACATACCTGGTCCTGGTGTGAACCTACAAGATTTTGAAGAACAATATGCAGGTTGTAGTTGTAAAGGTATTTGTAACCCAGTCTCCTGTCAGTGTCTTCAATACTTTGGCATGGCATATGATTCATCAGGGAAACTAAAATCTAAGACTATCAAATATTCTAAGCCTGTTTTGGAATGTGGTAACCATTGCCAGTGTGATTCTAAACTCTGTGTGAACCGTGTTGTGCAGCATGGCATAACCAAAAAGTTAGAGGTATTTCACACAGAATCCAAAGGTTACGGCTTGAGGTTAAGGAATTGTTTACAAGAAAATATAATTTGTCATAGTTTTGTCTGTGAATATGCTGGTGAAGTAGTTGGTGAAAATGAAGCAAGGAGTCGAATGCAGAAGACAGAAACAACTGGGTCAGATAACTATCTTATTGTTTTAAAAGAATTTGTTTCAAATAAAACTTTGTTCACATACATTGATCCTCATAAAATTGGAAATATTGCTAGATTTATCAACCATTCCTGTGACCCCAATTTGATAATGGTACCTGTTCGTGTCAATCATTCTATACCAAGACTTGCGTTATTTGCATGCAGAGATATTACACTGAATGAAGAGTTGACATTTAACTATAGTGGAATAACATTAACATCAAAGACTTTAATCACACACGATGCTGAAGTAAACCCTTGTGATGAAAGAAGTATTTCTAAACAAATAAAAGAACAGAGCTGTTTTTTAGAAAAGAAGCAACGTAAACAATGTCATTGTGGGAGCAACAATTGTTCTGGTTTTTTACCCTTTGAAGAACAACTTTTATGTGTATGAATTTGTATTTGTGAATAAAAAAAACTCAATGGTTCTCCTTTTTTTATGAAAATGTAATATTAAAATAAAAAATTGTAACAGAAAATATTCTGACTGTAACTTTAAAACTGCATCATGTGTTCTGTTAAGTTTCATTAAGAGAGTAAGAACCAGTATTACTATTAGAGCTGCAAAAGTAAACTGATAGCTTCATCAAACTGAAACATTTTTCTTCTACAGCACCAGATCTATAACCATAATGCCACAGTTAACTTTTTTTGCCACTTCACTTTACTAAGCCAAACCATTTTACCTGCATGTATGATACATAGATTAACAACTGCATTAATTAAAATAAGTCAGGAAATAGCATTACTAAATTATTAACATTGTTTTAAATTTTTAAAATTATGAAATACAAAGGCTGAATTATAAAATAAATTATTTTAATTACCAAAATTTATTGCTTCAAATAATTACTTACATTCTCTTGTGTTTAGTAATACTTTATATATATATATATATATATATATATATATATATATATATATATATATATATATATATATATATATATATATATAAATAAACTTCATTGGGTAAATGTAAATGAACAGCAGTGTAGAAAAAAATGTATATTGCACAATGAGCAGTTATTATTACAAGAACATAACATTATAACTAATATAACAAACAGCTTTTGGTTAATACCAGGTATAGGCTTACAAAAAAGATTGTGTGTGGAATGTTTTTACAAAAAAACAATAACGGTGCCTAAAAAAACTGAAAGTAATGTTCCTAAGCTATTGTTATACTAAAATATATAGTAAGTAGTCTTAGCATTTTTCCTCCCAAAACCCAAGACGGCTTGTATTTGTAATGCAAACCAAGTGAAAATTAATAAATATTGTTACGACCACCTAGATTGACCAGAAAGTGAAAGACAGGGAGGTGTCCTAATGCAAAGATATGAACCTGGTCAAGGCCAGAGGCTGGTCATGCCAAGACAAGCAGCAAGCTGTGATAAATGGCTGAAGCATGTCATTGACTGGCGGCTGATTGTGGGGAAACTTGGGTGTGACCGTACCAGACTGTTTATTAGATCTGATACTTGCGGTTGTATCTCATTGCCCTGCACACGTAGTCTTGTGCATTGGCTACTGGGGGGTGGGGGGGGGGCAAATTCAGAATTCAGACATAAACTGATGGGAACATATCTCGTGAGTGGGTGGCGCCCACAGGATGTTTGTAGATTTAGATTAGAATGGACAGTGAGGGACAAGTATTTTTACGATAAGGAATTTGTATTTCAGTTATGTTGATGGTGTTTTGTTAAATAGTATTTTTTGTTTTGTTTTGTGATTGCGGTTGTCAGGTACTATAATTTTATCAAGGCATTAAAGTGTAATAAATAGTTGCTAGTTGTATTTGTTTCTTATTGCTCCTTACTCTTATTTACCACCCAAACTAGATTGAAAGAAGGAGTAAAGGGGTGTGTAACAATATATTATATATATATATATATATATATATATATATATTTATATATTATATATTTGCAAAAAAGTCAACATTTAAGAAATAAATCTGATTATTGTAAATATAATCTGTTAATGCATAAACATAGAGTTTTAAAATATTTTTAAATGCTTTAATTTTGCATAGTTATAAAATCTCTTTAGCAATCTCTCTTCAAATTCAGCTGTATAAGAATTAGTATGTGATTAATATAAATATTTTAAAAATGTGTTCAGTGTTGGGCCTAAAAATTGATACTCATCAACAGATTTTTTTTAGATTTCAAATCACTCATAGTTCTTCTTTTGATGCCAAATAATCTGGTAGTTTATCACTTGCACAACGAAATCCCAGATTTGCTGCAGAACTATCTGGAGTATTTTGGCTCCTTGCAACACAACGATAACGATAACAGTATGACTGAAATTAAAGTGAAAATAGTAATAGGATACTGGTAAAATTTTCTAATGTTTTAGTTTTATACAAAAAAAAGTGTTATCAATATTTTTTGGAAAAAAAACAACACACAAGACAAGTACCAGTAATAAAACTTTACCTTATGACATTGATATGATCCTCCTTTTTTAACTTTATCTGTACCTGAAGATGGCCCAGTCTATTTTTATTTCAAAGAGAAATGTTTCAATAATTAGTGGTATTTAAAATTTCAACAATATCTTGAAAATAATTGTCATACAGTGCAATGAATTCAATTTTCTTTTTATTTAATGTGTCGATGCCTTGTATTTCATTAGTACCTGTAAAATTGGAAAACTTACTGGGTTATTCTGAGGTAGTGAGCTGTGTTTCACTTCCCACCAGTCTTGTGTCCACTCCCATACATTTCCTATTATGTTTTTTAAACCAAACTTATTTTGATCAGGAAAGGCTGTTACCTGAATGTTAAGATTCAAGTTATGATTGTGTATCTCTAGTTGAATCTCTAATAGTAACTTTTTAAAGTACATTCTTTGGGGAAAAATCAATACTTAATAAATCTTAAAACTTTACCATGGTATTGAAGACTTCACATTAATTACATAGTTCTTTACATAGTCTGTATCTTTAACTTTAAGTTCTCCATATATTGCTGAACATACTGATCATATAGCCTCAAAAATGTTGGGGACAGAGAAAGAGAAGAGCGCACATGGGCTTTTATATATTAGGATATAAGACTTGATTTGTAGTAATTTAGAATCATCATACTCCTTTACAATAATAACTTACGGGGCATGTGCCATTATAGCCATCTTCTCCTGTGTTTTCAACTGGAAATTCCCCTTGCCATATATTCATCCAATGTTCTCTTTTTGGATTCTCACTATTACCCCATGGAAATAGCCTAAAATAGATAAATATATATTGTACCTTAAAAACCTCATTACATCTTAAATCAAAAAACAATTGGGGCTATCACATTTAATTTAAAAAACATATCACATTTAATTTAAAAAACAGTTTAAATATTTTATCACCTATTGGCTTTTCCTCCTTTACAAGCATATTCAAATTCAGCTTCTGTAGGTAATCTTTTACCTGACCATGTGCAGAAAGCAACAGCATCATTCCATGAAACATGTAACACTGGATGATCCATTCTGGAACATTTTTTGAAAAAAAAAAGTACAGAAATTGTTATAATTCTTCTAAATTCTGTTTTTTATTTTTTGCACCCATAGATGCAAACAGCTATGTATAACCACCACACTAGTCCTAGAATTCCATTTTAAAGAAGGACTATTCACCTGTATTTAATATTTGAATCTGGTCCTTCTGGGTGGCGCCAATCTGCACCTTCAACCGGCAGCCACCATGGAGCAGCAGCGACCTAAATATAATCTAAATTTAAACTACAACAAAAGTGTCTCCACATTTTAAATGCATTATTAAATATTATAAGAATACATAATATTAGTTTTACTTAAGAGCAAACTCCATTAAAATATTACAATGAACACAATAGAGATAATAATAAATAATATGAACCAACCATTTGAGTGATTTTACTTTTAGTTTCTGTACTTATAAACAGATCCATAACAAATGAATTGCCAAAACGTTCAGCCTGTCATAATAAGTGTTTAATTGATTACTGATACAAGTACTAAAAAGGGAAAAGAAATAAAACTAAAATTGTACAGTACTGCAATAAATGAATAATGTGAGTCTAGTAAAAGGAGCATGATTGACTATTTTTGTCACAATATGTATTTAACTGTTTTGTGTACTATAAAAAAAATTTTTCTAACAAACCTCTGTAATATAATTTTGACTTGTGACAAATCTTTGAAACTCAGCATTGCTCACTTCATACTTGTCTAAGTAAAAAGAATCTAAGGTCACTTGTCTTGATGGCATTTCACCATCTGCAAGAAATACTGGATCATCTGTTCCCATTTCAAAAGATCCCCCTGGAATATATACCATACTATTTGTTCTTGGCAACATGTTGTCACTGAATTCCTGCCCATCTTCAAGATTATTATTAGACTGGTCAACAGATAAGTGATCAATGTTTTGAGTTTGGAAGTTATCATCCTTTTTAGACCTGCTAATTTTGCATCCACAATCACTTTCTTGCTTTAAACTAGAATGCCCATTTTCGTTACCATTTAAATTGTTAATATTGGCACAGTGTTCAGAATAACATTTTGAAATTATAACAGTATTCAAAACCAATAAAATAAACACAGCTTTGTGTACTTCTACAGCCCATGAAGAGTAAGCCATCTTTCTGAAATGATCTGTAATAATAAGTTTAGTAATAAGTAGTATGTATGTAAGTAGGCCTATGCAAACATTTTAATACTTTGAAATTGAATTTTATTTTATATTATAGGCCTAATTATTAATTAATTAATGATTTCATTATAAAATTAATTAACAAAACTAACTTGAATTAAAGGATTTCTTAATTGTTAAGAATTAAGAAAACACTGGGGAATGTGAGCATACATTTTCTAAAGATTTTAAGGAAAAGGTAAGTAGGTCTATGATTGACATTGAATGGAAAGATTACTAATGTAACAATCGATCTACTAGCTGGGCCTATAGCTATCTTTATCTAGGACATAGATAATGTAATTTTATTTTTAAAAAAGGGGAAATCACTCAGTAAAGTAACTAGATCTATTTAGCTGGTGTTCTTAACATTTGTAAACGTAAAACTCTTAGTCTTAACCTGCGTAAACCGTAGATTATCTCTTATTCCTATATAGATATATGCCTAAAGCTTATAATATTTATTCTAGAGTTAGATTTACTTTTCAAATCTATTTTTCTACAAATAGGTTAGAAACTGTATTAAGAATCTAGATTTCAGTCTGTTAGATCTATTTATTTAGTCTAGATATGGCCAGATCAATTTAGTTTTTCAAAGCCATGTTTATTTTTTATTATTTAAAATTGTATTATGCCAAGAGACGAAATAAAATGATTGACTAAGTATTAGTATATTCTAGATCTAGATAGATATATACGCCCATTAATACAAATAAAACTAGATGATTTCGATAAGATCTCAGACTGACTTAGCCTAATGTTTATTTTGTGCAGTATTCTTCGTAGAAGTATAAACATTGTCTAGATTACAAATCTAGATTCCAATTAATTTATTTAGACTGTTTACTAATATAATATTTATTAGATTCTAGTATTAGGCCTCTACTATTTCTGAGTCTACTACCAGATCTACTGTGTTTATTTTAATTTTAATATGCTTTTTTTTAGTTTATTTTTTTAATCTAACACTTCACGCGCATTTTCTGCAATGCCCAGGTTCAGCAGACTGTCTATCCTATCAATTTTATTGAAATAAATAAACTATGGCAGACATTGGTTGGGGAGCTTTGCAAGATTCTGAGGGATTTGGAACATTAGGAGATGATGTAGATGACTACAAATTGTTGACCACAGAAGAGCTTACAAATTTGGTGGAGCCAGCCACCAACAGTGACAGTTGCCCACTAGACCTAGAATCAAACTCTAAATTAAAACTACAACATGCATCCCATGGCATGATTTATGCTAACCAAAAGCAGTTGCTTTGGGACCTGTATGAACAGAAAGGATTAGTGATGGTAATCTAAGTACTAAATGAATAAGTAATATTTATGCTGTAATTGTAATAGTCTCCATTAACTTCATTGGTTTCTTTTATTTTAGATTATATATAATAATAAATGTTACATGTAGTATTTATTAATATTATTTTAATTATTAATATTATAATATTTTGACCTTTTTTTAAATATTATAATTATAATAATATATAAAAAAGGTCAAAACTTAACTATGTTCAATTTTCTCCAGTTGAGGCAGTTTAATTTGATTAAGGAAACTGGGCAATACACTTGAAATGAACAATGAATACACTGATATAAAATCATTTTTGCCCCTGCCAGTATCTCTATGAACTCTATTGTTTAGTTGGGTATCAATTCCAGAAAAAAAGTATAGACCCACTCTCATGAGTCATACAACTTACCACAAAACTAAAAAATAAATCTAGAGTACTGATAGTAGTGATTATAGTAATAAGTCAAGTGTATGCCCACTCTTCTTCATTCATAAGAAGTTTTAAGTTCGTTAAAAATAATCAAATTCTTTGCATAGTTTGAGAAATAATTTTATTAATTGCAACATATTTAGTATATTAAACACCTAGATCTACATAATATAACAGCCTGCAGACTTATAATTATAAAATAAAAATTCAATTTTCTTGACTTTTTGATGACCATGAACTCAATGTTTTACACATTCTCAAAATCTTTGGCTACCCCTATTACCTGGATATAATTAATCTGTGAAATACATTTTACAGATGCAGATGAGGTTTGATGGTGTTTTAGGTTTTCCAGGTGGGTTAGTGGATGAAGGTGAAACACCTGTTGAAGGTATGAATCGTGAAATGCATGAAGAAATAGGCCTTGATCTCACCAAGTATTCATTCAATGAGCAACATCATATAGCTTCTTATTTGAATAAAGCAAAAAATCTTGTTCTTCATTTTTATTTAATGGAAGTAACTGTAGAAGACTTTTCAACACTTGAGTTAAAAACTTTAAATGCTAAAGAGTATGGAATAGAGGTAAGCTTTGGTTTTTTTTAGTATATTTTTTTTACTAATCTATTTAATAATAGTTTTAATTAATGCACCACCAATGTACCAAAAGACATCACTTTAAAACAAGTGCTATAGTATCAAGCAGAGTTGTTAATGAATACACACAAAAAAATCAAATTTATTGACATAGTTTAAGTTTGATTTTTAGAAAATGTATTAAATAAGACAGCTCAACATGTATTAAAATATTGTTTGCTTCAGACATATGGGATTATAAGAGTTCCACTGTTCACTATGGGTGATGGATTAAGAGGTTTCCCAGCATTCCTAGCCAATCAATTTGCAGGCCATTCAAGATGTGAGCTTATTCTTGGGCTATTAACAGCTAAACTTTTTACAGAAAATGAAATGGCTATTGCCTTAAGCTCTTATCGGCAATATGCTGAGAGTTTGAGAAACAAAAAGCTTCTTTAACACATTTTTTAATTTATCACAAAAGTTTACTTAGCCTTGGTGTTATAATCATTTAATGGTTTAATTTAAAAGGGTATAAATGGTGGGATGTTAAGGTTTTTTTTTAATTGAAAAACATAATAAATGGATACAAATGGTGGGATGCTATAGCTGTGTTATGTTTAATATAAAAATTCTGTTAACTTTATCAATATTTCTAAAAAAAATGTAATTCACCATAATGCTCATTGAGGAATTCAGAACATATCAGTAGTGCTCATCCATAAATAACTTCACCCTTTTTGTTACAATTTTTACCTCCCCCTCTCCAACATCACAAAGTCAGATCTCTATTCTTTCTACTAAAATTAAATAACATAACACTTAATTAAGCCCATTAGCCACTTCAAAAAGACATTTTTTTAAAAACCTGTTCCATACTGCTAAATAGTAGTGTGATATCTTTAATGGACAACCCCTACTTTAAAACTAAAAGGTTAACATTTCTTTTGAATTTGTTGAGTTTGTTTCTCAAGGTTTTAATGAGTTACACTTACACTTTGATTACTTAAACTAAACCTCAATGCAGCATAAATATATTTACATATATTTAGCAAGTGACCCCATGTATAAATTATCTGTTTTTCTCAAAAATCAATTTTTAACCAAATCAATGTGAATTTTTTCAAAGATCTGCATTTTATATATTCATTAAAACTTGTTTTATTTTCTCAAAATTGTGTTCAAACTACTTTTACTTTTTATGAGTATATAATAGTGTTATGAATGGTATTGCATGGGTATAAGAGTATGTGTGTTGCTGAATGATTTTGTATTAAAAGACTGACTGTGTGACGAGGTACAAAGAGGGCAAAGAATGTGATATTTGACATTAGCATTATTATTGCTGGGGAAAGGTTAGGGCAGTCTGTGTCATGTTGTGCTGTTGGGTACTCATCCCATCGTCATGAATGTAGTTAAGTCTTTGTATACTTTGTGAACGTCATTTTCCATGTCTATCTGCTGCAATAAACCATGGATTAAAACTATGCAATCATGCCAAGTCATTTGTCTCAGATTGTTATTGCTTTGTTGCAAGTATAATAGAGGACCAAGAATTCACATGAAGATTGTGTTGATGAATCTTTGGTATACTATCAGCCTGTCCTCAAACTCACTTCTTAACAAGTACCTCACAGTGTTACAACTGCAATGTAAATTAATATGTAACTTGTAAGTGAAAATATTATAGAAGTAGAAATGAAGTATAAAGACTGTTACTACTATTACTTCCATTAATTTTAGTCATTAAGCCCTTGGTGGAAAAATGTAAAAATGGAGATTCATTTTACAATTTCAAATCTGTACATGAAGAAAAGCCTCAGAATGCTCTGTGTAAGTTATTAGCACTAAAATATAGATCTAGTAGTATTTCATCAGTGACAAAATTGCTGATTTTATTTTATAAATTGAAATTTTTCTATGAAAAAATTAACTTAAGTAAATTTAAAAGATTTTGCAACAACAACAAGTTTATTTTAATTCTCAACAATTCATTTTACCACATGAATCTTTGGGGATTGGGATCATCAGGCCAATAGAAAGGTCTTTTCACAAACATATAAACTGTAAATACATTTACACAAATATTAAATAATAGTTCAATAACCAATGTTGATAATGAGGGCAGCTTGATGTTTAACCTCAGGATGTAAAATGGAATTATAAAATAACGAAATTCAAGCAGCATTTGAGGTACTAAACATGCTGTAATGCAGAAAAGGGTTGCAAGATGCCACAAAATGCCTCTTTCAATTGTCAGTTTATAAAAAGAATAAATACAATACAAGTATGCAGGAATTAGGGCATACCTTACTACCGGAAATCTTCTAAAAAACTTTGACCATACATAAAATGTATAATGTCTGTTGTCACTTAACAGGTATTTGTGTTCATACGTAAACTTACTAATGAGTAAACTTGATACTAAAACAAACAGCAATAACCTAAATGGATTTTTACAAATAGTTTTAAAAAACGAATTTAATATTGTTAGATTTGTGATATGAAGGACTGAAAGTGCTGATGTAATCAAAGAAAAATAAAAAACTTGAGGAAAATTGAATGAAGCTTTATGATGAGTCCTATCTCCTACAACAACGCCATCATTTAGTATAACAAAAATGATAAAACCACATAAGACGAACAAATACATCCATAATTTTACAAAAGATTTTTTAACTAAAGTTATTAAGCTATACATGTTCAAACAGTATGTCTTAAGAATAGCTTTCAAATAATCAAAATCTTGATTTTTTTCTAAATGCACATTACACTGCATATCACTTTCAATAATTTCAAATTCAGCAATACATAAGCAAAACACAATCCAAATAACATTTGTTTGCCGAAAAACAATTGCAATGACACCTGCAGTTGCTGAAAATCCATACTGTTTCTTAAGACAAAATAAATATGTCAGAAGTGTAAAAAAAGTTGCTCCAGGATCAGTATAATATAGCCATGAAAAAAAGTAAAGGAAAGGGAGAAATCCAAGGACTAAAGAATTGAAGACAATCCGTAGCTCAGCTTTTTCTTGAATCTGAAAATAAATTAAATACTGTTTTTTTTAAAAAGGTATATTTTAACCAACTGACTGCAATTGACATTTTTCACATTGTTTGAAAAATAGTTTCTTTTTAGTTTTTAGGCTTCAGTATTCTTGTAACAGTAATAAATAGGCCTAGAGTATTGTTCCAAAATAACACAATAAATAAATATATGTTAATGAAAGCACATGGGTGGGTTTGATTTTATTCATTACTATTCCTCTTTATGCATTACTACAACTTTCATCCCATTGCCATGAAAATTTGGGATGTTGTGAGAGTGTTACTGGGAAGGTTTCTAATAAAAAAGAATTTTTAAATTAAGAGGGGTAGCACTCAGGCAGGGTGTGATTTCCCATGATCACTGGACTCACATGGATGCAGATAAGGCGAGCTACCTAAAACCAAGTCCAGTGGAGAGGTGTGATTGCAGCCCTTTGCTTCCCAGGGGCCTCAAGGATTAAGTCAAGTAAGTCACTTACTTTTGTACTCAAATGCAACTTTTTGCTCAAGAAATATAAAAGTATGAAGTTTCCAACACAAAAGGCAATATTGCAAGCTCTTAAGTTGTAAGTTGTACAAATATCAGATAAGTTGAAGCCTTGTCCCATTGCAAATGGAAGCAACATGACAAAAGAACTCAGATAAAGCCCTGGTAAAGTTGTTATCATTGGATCCCACTGTAGAGCATAAAACAAAATCTATGTATTAAAATTATGTTAACATTTATACATTAAGATCATGAATCTTAATAATGGTCTTCATATCAAGGGTGCATATGTACATTTTAGACTTCTTTCCCCTTGTCCACATGCTGCCATTTTGTATAAACCGCCACCTCCTTTGTGGACAACCACCAATATTTATTAGATTTCTGAAAGCTTACTTCCAATATTACTAATTCCATACAATTTTATTTAGTGATTTATTTGTTTAAACAATAAACATGTTATTACTTTTGGAAATCGTTTCAAATTATGTTAAAAGTACTCCCCCCCCCCAATCACACATTGTCACATAAAGCTAGACCCACCCCTAAAATGATGTCACAACACATCCTACCCTCAAAATTGCAGTTTAATTTTAATTTCTTTCTAAAATATTGACTAAGCTTGGTCAACATAGATTATATTAATAAATTACAACTGGTATTATAATTTACAAAAACAGATTTCTAAAACACTAAATAATGGGTAAAATTTGGTTTCGAACATTTCTTTGTTATAATGCAAAAGTATTATGTCACAGGCCATACTATCTGAAACCCTCCCCTACATCACATATCTTCACAAAATTAAGAAAAAAAACCTAAAGGCCTAGATCAGGGGTCGGCAACCTTTTGAGTCGGAAGAGCCAAAAGTTACAATTTACAAAATTTCCCAGTTTTAAAGAGCCACTAACATTTTTATTTCAATATTTTGGCATTTGATTAAGATTAGACATATAAATTTGATTTTTTATTTGGAATAAATAGCTTTAAATATGAAATGATATTTATATATTTTTTTTAAATATTAATATTTCTCACAAAACATGTCAAAGAATTTTATCTAGCTCTGCTATGATGAAATTAGTAATCAAACAATATAACTATAGGACTATCCCAATCCACTTTACAAGCCAATAACTAGCCAGGCAGCCTCAACACAACAAACTCCGACTAACTGACTTGGATATCGGTTTGATTTCCGTGTACCGGTCGCTTTTGTCCTTTGGTTCTCACCAGGCTTCCACCCCTCTGAACGCAGGGTAAACTCTTACCCCACCGTCCAGTAGCCAGCTCAAAAGTAGGAAGCTAATAACCAAAACAAACTATGTCACTCACGTCAAATTAATGATTACTGACTGATAGAGAAATGCATTTTGAATAAAATAACATTCCCCATTTAACGATATTTTAAATAAACCGGGAGTGATCTCCCCTAAACTTTCTCGAATATTCTTATATAAAACAACAGGGGATGGTAACTGGGGATATAGTTATGATTTTTAATCCATTTTAAATACTTAAACTTTTAAAAATAGAATAGAATCTCATAAAAAAAACATTGCGCACCAAGCAAACGCCGAATAAAAACGCGTATAATAGTGCGCAATATTATTAGTACTTTAAAAATTTACATTAGTTTTTTGAGAAATCGGAAGTAGCGTAAATTACTCCTTCCAGTCAACGGAAATTACTCAAAATTTAACAGAAGGTAGAGAATTAGATCTTTTACTTACATGTGAAATTTCATTTATCTATCTGAAATAGTACTCAAGTTATAGGCTTTTGAAAAATTCAAAGTAGGAAAAGTACCACTTCCGGTTATCGGAAATCGCTCAAAAGTTGATACGGATCTACGATTTTGATAAAATACTTATATATGAAATTTCATCAACCTAGCTGTAACGGTACTCAAGTTATCGTGTTTACACACGGACAGACAGACAGACAGACAGACACACACACACACACAGACATACGGACAAGATTGCAAAATTATGTTTTTCCGTATCAGTGAGGTGTAAAACGTCGAGATTTGTAAAAATCTCGATTTTTTTTTTTTGCACGATTACAATACTTTCTCTATACTACGTATATACGAGAAAGTAAAAAGTCGACACTTTGGCAGTGGCAAGAATGGAACCGTCATCAACGGCTGTGCGGCTAGGCCTGGTGCCCAAGCTGCGGTCAGCTGTCCGTATACTTTCTAACCCACCTACTCATTGTTCTCTGATGAGTGTTTTTATCATGTTTAAAGTTATTTATATTCATTATATTTTTAATGTTTTAAAAATAAAATAATATAAATAATTAATATTTGTGCATTGAACTGGAGAGCCGCCTCTTGACATCAAAAGAGCCGCATGCGGCTCGCGAGCCACACGTTGCTGACCCCTGGTCTAGATTTATCTACAGACTATTAATGATTCTCTAATCTAGATGAGAGTCTAAAACTCTAGTGACTAGTGTACTAGTTTTAGATCTAAATTCTAACATTTCCTTAAACAGTGGTTCTTAACGTGTATTTGAACCCCCAGATTCGGCGTAGGTTAAGACACACACCCGACTCAACAAATGATTCACAATTTTGTTAGTGCTGATGACACCTAAGTTACTAACTACTAACTCATATGATTTGTGATTTTGTCAGTTCGGACGATAGAACTAACAGTTCAATGACAGTTCAAAAACGATAATTGAATAATTGATAATGCAACATACATTTTAGACTCTTACTTACTTATACTAGTAATAGTAGTATTAGTAATCTTAGACTTAATTTTAATAATTTAATTTTAAATTTAAGCTCAAGGTTAGTACTCTAACTCTGAACTCACAGAGGAAAAATTTCCAGAGCAGTACTGCATCGCTTGAGGCACATGAAAAATCTCATCCATATATGGATCTTCCTGTGCAGTTTGCACATAACGAAAAATTATTACAGTTGCCAGTAAAACAAAACTCAGTGCGAATACATACTGTTGCATTTTAAAACTTGAGTACACAGTACACTAGCCTAGATCTAGATTATTATTCAATTTCCTGTTGTCACGTAGGTTAGTTACAACTTTCAGTTTCACACTTGCCAGATCAGACACTTAAATGTTAAATATCGGCCAACTTTAATCTTTGTAGGGATTGTACCAATATATATTATTCAACTTTAAATTTTGAATTTACATTATTGTGTACGATCGTTTTTATATCCAACCGAATAATGCCAATAATAATAACATTTACGACCAAACTGCTCCCCTAAAGTTTATGGCTGTATGTATTGCAATGTAGCTAGACAATATTTTATGTAGATCTATTATGATTATGTGCGCACTCTCCAATGCTGATTCTAATTTGCGATTGCAAGATTTCCGAAATTCATTGTGAATTCATTGTAAAAAGTTTTTTTTTAAAAAAGCGTAATAACAATACAAATAATTTTCACGTTAAAAACATTGTTAAAGTAAAAAGGCGTTTATTATAGTCACTAATTACAAATGAAAAAAATGGACCAAAAAGTAGTTTGGTATAACATTTCCAAAGCTAGATCTATATTCTATATGCTAAAAGGAATAAAATTAAGGCCTAGAAGCTCAATGATGAAAATATAACGTGATAAAACGTAAACATATTAATGAGCTCCCTATGAAAGGGAATAGATTTTTTAAAAATATTTAATAATAATTTTCCACTTTTAAGTTATTCGTTCGAAATCAGTTAAACATTACTTACTCAGCTGTTATTTCGCATTTCAAAGACTTTTTACTGTTTATAACCTTTATCCGTTATATACTATTTTCAATTTCTTTCTAAATTATGAATAGATTTGGGTCAAGACAGTGTAGATTGTTGATTGTTTTTACCGGCATTAATTTTACTCACTATGCTTAGCGCGCGCGTGTGTGTGTGTGTGTGTATGTGTGGCACCGCAAATCTTGGAATCAGTGTTTCTTCCAGACTTTTTTCTCCGGGGGGGGGGGCACTTTATATTTTCGGGGGTGGGGGGCGGACAACATTTTTCGGGAAGGGGGGGGGGGGCTGACACTGGTAAAAGTATATGTTTTCTATATAAATTCTGGGTAAAACTCCATTTCAGCGTATTTTATTCTCCGTTGCTTGTTTACCTCCAGTTGAGCGTATTTTATTATAACAACCGAAACACACCAAAACATTAGGAAAACACGATTTATTAATTGTATTGTATAATTTTTGTTTTAGCAAATGAATAAAAATGAATATTTAAAAAACACGACTTGTTTATTTGTATTGTATTTTTTTAAAAAGGCATTTGTCTCATGGTGAAACTGATACACTGTTAATTATTCTGTATTATATTTTTGTATTTATGCAATAAATGTACAAACTCTGTGTTTTTTTGTTTGACAATTTCGCCAAAACTGAAAAAAATATTTTTACTATAGAGTTGTATGTTATTTAAATTCATAGTAAATCTACCATCCTTCCAAATATTTTGATATATGTATCAAGTATGATTTTTTCTGTGAGTAAATTTCTGGCTTTTAAAAAAAAATTGACGTGGGGTCGTCCATAAATGACGTCACACTCGTAAGGGAGAGGGGGGTCCGCAATTTTGTGACGGTGTGTGATGAGGGGGAGGGGTTTCAGATGGTGTGACGTCACTTTTTTTGCATTATAAAAAAAGCAATGTTAGAAAAACGAGTTTTAGCCGTTATTTCGGGTTTTAGAAAACGGTTTTAATAAATTGTAATAGGAATTGATCAAAATACTCTATGTTGACAGAGTTCTGACAAGATTTTGTATCGATGTTTTAAGAAAAATTCAACAGAAATTTTGAGGGGGGAGGGTGTAGGCTATGGTGTGACGTCATTTTAGGGGGGGGGGGGTCTGACTTTTTGTGACGACGTGTAACAGAGGGGAGGGGAAGGTAAAAATCATAAAAAAGCGTGTCGTCACAAAAAGCAAGACCCCCCCCCCCCCAAATGACGTAGCACCATCTGAACCCCCGTCCCCTCAACACACACCGTCACAAAATTACGGACCCCCCCCCCTCCCCCTACGAGTGTGACGTCATTTATGGATGACCCCTTAGTTGAAATTGGAACACTTAATTGTACAAAGATTGCATCTCTATTTTTGTAACCAACGAACAAATCACTTCAGTCAGTCTCTTTGTTGTTTTTTTATTCATTTGTTAAAACAAAAATACAATACAAATAAACAAGTCGTGTTTTTTAAACATTCATTTTATTCATTTGTGAAAACAAAAATACAATACAATTAATAAATCGTGTTTTCCTAATGTTTTGGTGTGTTTCGGTTGTTATAATAAAATACGCTCAACTGGAGGTAAACAAGCAATGGAGAATAAAATACGCTAAAATGGAGGTTTACCTAAATTCTGCTTGGAATATATGAAAAACTAGAGTGGGACATCACTCTGAACACTCATTTTTCCGTCTTTTATGGACGATCACTACATCTATATTATTACTGTAAGTTACCTATTCTGACCTACCGGGATGACGTCATAAATGGAGGAAGAGCCGATGAAACTACGATAGGCCTAGCAAATTTATCTTCAATAAAAATAAACAAGAGCCTCTTACTTCCGCCTCAAGATGGCGTCTATAGCTTAAACTGATAAACACACAACAGTTGAACACAGCAGAGCAACGAAATTCAGTCTCTTACATTTCCTGAGTCTTTCGTTAATAATATGGTATGATTAAACTACAACAGATCCTCTAATCATTTAAATAAAACTTGATAAAAGCAAATTTGTCTAGATCTAATTAAACTCTCAGTAAACTAAAAAAAAAGTCTTAAGAAAGAAAATCTAGTGTTACTCAAGTTAACTGTGGTAAGTGTACGAGCTGACCCGCGGCGCATCATACGCCGCTATTTATTTAGTTGTTTTATTTTCCACTTTTCAGTACTTCATAGTTAGTGAATTCGACACTACCCTTACTACCCTCCCTTCTATTTCCCCTTTCCCCACCCCCTCCCCCAATCACAGTGAAAGCAGCTGTCCGTGACGACAGTTTACGGACGACAAAGAAAAGATCAAGCAGAACCTCTTGCCTCTCCTTAGTTTCAAATCGTTTGAAAGCCAAATATCTGCTGCTAATGTCGTTACTAATTCAACCGGCTCTACTACTGTAAACATTCATGGTGAACCCTAGCTCACCAGAATGGTGGAGGTGGTAGCTATTTGCCTAGAGAGTGGGGGAGTAACGGCGTGCCATAACCCTTGCTATTAAGGTCACTGCGCATGCGCAGAACTATCTTTTGCTGACCAGGTGGAGACGCTGGGGCAAAAAATCTTGTTCTGAGTAGTCACTTCGAAAATAAAAACTTAAAAAGCCTAAAAATAATTCAGAAATTTAATATTTTTTAGAATCAATGCTACAGTATAAAAGTAGTTGATAGTTGCAAATCCAGAGAACTTGAAAATAAATTTTTGAGTTTAAGACTTAAGTCAAGAGTTTAATTAATAATTAAGTTAAAGGCTACATTTCTATATTTATTTTCATCAAGCCTAATTTATAATCCGATGTTTCACTTTTGTATGACAAACATGTATTGGCTCTATATGAACTTCATGATTGATAGTTATTTGTTTGCAAAACTTTGTAGATAAAGTTTTTAAATAACATAGGCCCTAATGCTATTTTAAACCAAATGAACGAGTTCTGCCATTTTTGTTTACATTTTGTATGAAATTTATGCTAGCCTATCAAATAGCATGATGTCTTCTTTTATGTCGCCATTACCATGTGAAAACCAAATTGCTAAGCCTTTTTTAAAATTGTGTTTAATAACCGAAAATACTAAAACGCCAAATGCACATACTCTTTTTTATTTTTAAGTCTGAAAAAAGCAAACAGCCAGGATTTTATAACTAGTTCTATAGGCCTATAAATATTTAATGGTCCTCTTGAATAACTCTGAGGCTATTCTAGGTTGGGTCCATTATTCACATTGTCTGACAATTAAATCAATCTAGATCTAGATTCTAGTAGTATTCTAGAATCAATATCTACTACTTCTTAGTACTTCTGAGTCTCTCTTTCCTTTCTAGTCTAGAGTCTCTACTGCTCTCTATCATCTGTCATATTTTCAAAACAAAAGAAAATTGAAAAGAGGGTAAAAAAAAGTAGATTATTTATTAAAATGATTAGGCCAAAAGATTACTTTGGCCTATTTACTTTATTTAGTCTATAACTTTGTTTAACTTTAGCTTTTCTTTATCTTTCCTGGCAATTCGGCCTTTGACCTCACTATGCTATTAATTTTAACTATTTTTTTAAACACCTTACATATTACATAGTAATATGTTATTGTTGGAAGTTTTAAATTATTTTAACAAAATCACACGTTGAATCTGCTTTTTTTCCCCCAGGTATATTGACTGTAAAAACCATGTCTAAAAAGGACAGAAGACGAGTGTTGGCCCAGATATGGGGAACACCTACAAGTCATGACATTGATATGGTTGATGAGGGTGACCAAATTGTTGTATTCTCCAACTACCGTGGTATTATTAATTGGTGGATGGAAATTTTTAAGGTACACTAGATGACCCAGTTTCCTGTATTGACTCATAAACCACTCTCAACCTTCCTCTATACCACCCTTTCACATGCACAAATTCCTGATCATACACTCTTGACATACCACTTACTATGTCAAATAACTTATTTTGATATCATTATTACTGGTAAAGATTTAACTAAACTTTCATATTAATACATTGTAAGTTTCAGTTAAACTATTATATAATGTAACACATGTCTGCCTAGCCCCACTTTAACTCCTCAACCATAAGCATCATGCAACCCACAATCATACCTAAACTTCTGCTTATTCAATATGGGCATCCATTTATGATAAAAGTAGGCCAAAATAAAATTGATATTTTTGTGGTGGGGGAAGGGGGTGTTGTTGGCTTAGTGGGACATCCACAGATCAATTGTAACTTAAGCTTACTAATGTGAACAATGAAAACAAATTTCAATAAAATTATTTAATGATTCAACCTATTCAATGCAAAATATATACATTATATAACAAAACAAAATTTTTTTTAGGCCAAATTGACTTTGAGTCTGAAAATATTCAACTTTAAAAATTCTGTAACTCAATCATGCCCAATACAAATTGTGAAAATGTAACAATATCATATATGGCGAATTTACTCAACTTTTCATATTGAAAATTAATTTGATTGTTGAAACATAATAGAAATAACAAATGAATAGGCCTATATAATTCAAGTTATAGCTAAAGAAAAGAGCATTATAATGCAGTAAAGTTTTGAATGGAGATACTAGTGTTTTTTATGTGTAGGAAAGCCAAGTTATAATTAAAATTTAGGGATTACCTATTTAACTATTTAGAAAGCTCGAATGGATGAAAGTGAAAGCAATTTACTTTTAAAATGCAGATTATTCTAGTTTATTTATTACTCACTTGGTCAGGCCTATTACCCAAATATCAAGTGCAGGGAAAAAGGAGATGTTACTAAGATCAAACCAACTACAGGTGTGACTATTAAATTAAACAAAACAACCAAGCTGATGAGAGTCAGTGGTAAAAATCACTGGCCATGGTTTGTAGATACCTTTGAAAAATTGTTAGATATTGGAAATGGAGATGCTGTTGAATTGCCAAGTGATGGAGCGTCAGCAGTTTCTGAAAACTCAGTTACCAGATATCTTCAGCTTAATAAAGACGATGAAGAGGTAAGAATAATGCCCTCTTTTTACTTGCTGTTACTGTAATAATTGTATAGAATGAATATATTGGAACAAACATTGTGAAAATTACTTTGTTACTGGTAAATACTCCTCCCTTGACAGGTTCAAGACTTATTGGATCGTATCCCTGATGGTGGAGGTATAATGCATCATGAGTTTATCATGCGTTTGTGGAAAAGCTTGTTAGATGATTGGTTTGGGGTTGGTGCTGCTGTTTATATTGTTACCCCACGCATAGACTCTGAGAGACTTTTCATCATTATGCTTTTAATGATAAGAAATAAAGGAACAGGTTTTACAGTAAGTATTTCGTGTTTGTATTATTAAGTTGTTTGTTTACTGTAGTTATGTGCCATGTTACACATCTCAATATTTATTGTTTTTATAAATGCAATACCTGTAGTGTAACTCATAATGGTCCATGGGCACATTAAATTAGAAATGATGCTGTATTGTGTATGTAGCTAATCAGCAGAAAACTTATTTCTGTCCAGCAATACAGACTTTTATTTTAATGGCAGGTTACCTTAATGACCCCAACTAAGCAAGATGGTGAAAGGTTTGACAAAATAATGGAGAAAACCAAAAGAAGATTGAAAGAAGTGAAGACAGCTCAAGATTCCCGACTGGTTTCAGATGTGAAACTTCAGTGGGTCATGGACACACTGACCATTCAGCATGATGAGTTTTCTACTAATTTTATTGCAGCACACAAAGATGAGGAAGGTGAAGTACTGACAACAACAGCACACTTTCACAAAGCCCACTTTCACCATCAACAGAAAGATAATGTTTGTTATAATAGACTAAGCTCACATGACTTACGAAAAAATTATTTACTGCCTCTAAACATTGGTAACAATGTGTTTTAGAGTTATTTTTATTTTGTACAGTTTTCTTTTAGGTAGGTCATTCTTAAAATGTAAATAATAAATATTATTTGTTCCCTTAATAAAAGAGTAGACGTATTAGAAAATGTTACTTCAATACTGATAAATTGTTTTGTTAAATAATTTTACAGAAAATAAAATTTACTTTAGTTAGTTAATGTTCACATTGATATGATGTAAAAATTAAAAATCAAAGTATTTAATACGTATTTGTGGATTTTTAAAAATAAGTACCCAAATTCATAAAGTTTGATGTAGTTGATGTGAACTGTTGCAAGTTTAAATAATTTTTGCCAGAACTTTTACTGAATTCATTGAATAGCATAATTTAATAAGTAATTGAAACAGAGACCTTCCTAATTTTATACTGGTTGTAATTATATATTAAATTTTTTTACAAATGAAAATTGTGGTATCTGTCTCTAACTTGTTAGACAGATATGTAAATCAGACATGCCATTTTAAACAGTTTATGTGTATTGTATTTATTGATGTATTACTCTGTTGAAGTATTTATGTGTCTTGTGTTTTAAAAGGCTGTACATTTATCTCTAATTGTTTTAAACTTCAGTATTTTTACCTCTTTTACTTTCTTTGGTGGGCTGTATCTATCATATAGCGGTGCAGGTATTGGACGTTTCAGGCTGGAAACTTTGTATCTGTTTTCAGCTGCTACTTTGTATTAATTTAAAAACTGTAGGCCGTATAACTTTTTTATTAAAAATATGTAAGTAAAAACTGAAAACTGCAAGTCATATCTATAAAATAAGATGCTAGTATTAGCATTTAACAACCTACTCTGCCCAGGAAATATTACACATTTTATATTCTAGTAAACTTTCATATATTACTGGTATTTAAAAAAATTAGTCAATAAAAAGTTAGGCTACAATAAATTTGATTTTAAAATGAACAATTTTATGCAGTAACCCTGTCAACAAAAGCCCAATTATTTCTAAGCCTAAAAAGGCACCAGATAGTGGCAGACATTTCTTTAATAAAAAATCTAAAACCTGCTATCAGCTGACCTCTACTCTCTCTTTATATATTTTCTGTTATTTTAGTTTGACACATTCACCATTTGATAGTTTTAGTGAAAATTTCAATGAAGTTAAATTGTTTATTTTTTAGGTTGCACTAAACATATCCCAGGTTAATAGAATAAGTGTGTCATTAAAATAGTTAAATAGTATAGTCATAAGAAAATTGCCCACTGAATAAATTTGCCTAGATACTTCAAACCTTGCACCAACAATGAGCCATATTGTCTTGCTTTATTTATTTCACAATAGACTGACCAGAAGGGGAAGTAATAGATCTAAATGTTACTTAAATAAAAATCTCTTACCAGATTATTGGCCTCAAATGTCTTTAGATGATCAACTCATCAATATTTAGTTTATAAGTTTTAATTTTTGTTCTTTTTAATTGCCCTAATGTAAAGCCCTAGCTTCATCACCCACTTGCCATACGGTTAAATGCCTTAATATTGTATGTTGGTGGGTCTAAGTCTGCTATGTGATGGTCAGGTGTAACACTTGTTTTGTGAATACATTTAAATTTTATAAAATTGTTTCTCATTTGTGCCTTGAGTAATTTCAATATTCAATCATTATGGGCTGAGAATCTTTTATCTGCATTGCTTTGAAAAATTTTCAGTTAAAGATTTTTTATGGTGAGGTTTACTGGTGTTTTTAAAAAACTCATTGATAAAACATTCTCAACCAATTTAGATTTTTAAATATGTGCAATAGCAAACAGAACCATTTTAACATTCCAGAATATGTTGTATTGGGATTATGTGTTTGATGTTTTCCTATTGTGACTTTAAGCATTCAGTTTTTGCATTCCACTGTAGTTTAGTTTTATATTTTTAAAAATTGCTAATTTGTGATCACATAGAGATTAAACAGTTACTTTTCTTTTGCCAAACTCAACAGCTTAAGAACAAAAAGCTGTACAGAGGTTTAAGTACCTGTTTATATAGTAGTTGTGTACATGGGCTGAAGTTACTGTGAACATGACCACTGTTATAATATATATTTTATTGTAAAATCTGCAATCCACAACAAGCAGTTGATTTCACTGCCCCATCTTTTGTCATCTATTTATGCAGTTTAATTGGCCTGAGTAAAATCCAGGTTTTTGATTAATGTACTTTAATGATTAGAGGTGGCAAACTACAAAAGATTTTAAGACTTTTTTAATAACTTGCTCTATTTTTTTAAAGATTTCAAAAAGTTCCAAATTTACAATAAATTAAAGGTACATATGTAAATTTTATTTCATGTCTTGTGTGTTTCTTCCAGACCTTCCCACTATTATAAAGAATGCTCTAGTAGTTAGATGGCATTTTGACCAAATGACAAAAGAAGGTCAATATTAATTGTAGTTATGTTTTATTCACCGTCAAATATGGTGTTTTAAACATAGAATATAGAGCTTAATGGATGAAATGTGAACAATGAATGCATCATGTGTTTATAAAATCCAACAAAAAAGCACTTTAAGTTTAAGAATTATGGAAACTAACAAGTTTTAAGCTGTGAATTTTTTTCTGACAGGATAAATAGGTTTATACATTTTTCTAAAATGAGACTTAACCTAAAAAACATTTTTTAAATATTTTCTATAGGTTGAATTAATTATTCATTATATGAAATAGAAGGAACAATAGGAGTATTTAATGTTCAACTGCATAATTTTAATTAGCATTGCTGCTTGCTGTAAGTTGTAGTTTCTAAAGTCAGGTTATCAAAGTTGTGCTAGATTATACTTGTTGAAATTAAAGACATTTTCAATGCAGCACTAAAAACATGCTACAAATAGCTTTACACAAGGGAAAGCTATTACACCCTGAAGGACCTGACCAAAAAAAAGTTAAATAATACAAGCTCTCTTTAATAAACATTGTAAGTCAGCTCCCATCAAATGACAAGTGAAGAACAAGACCCACAACATGTAAAATATTAAGCTTTTAAAACTTCTTTACATATCTATTGCATTGTTTCCAGGTTGATTATCCAGAGATAAACAATTTTGTTTTAGATATGAATACAAGCCTTGCATGTAGGTTTATTTAACAGTTGGATAAGTGTAGGAACAGAAATCGACAGAAAGCCAATGAAGTTAAGCACCAACTTCTAAAACTGTTAGAATTGTAAGGTTGCCCCTTAAAAGAAAAATCCCAAGAAAAAAGTTTGGACTCAAGCACATCAACTGAAAGAATAAGAGCAGCACAATCAGTTAAAATGACAATAAATTAAGGCAGAAAAAACAGAAATATTGACAGTTTTTGTCTTCTCTGTGATAGCTTGGTACTTACACACTCACACTGTCATTGCTATTTACAGAGGTAACAATTATTTACAAATAGATCTTTACTCTGTTCTACACATCTATATAATTAGTAAGAAAATCAAATCCAATTTAAATGCGAATTGTGACCAAGTATTTCAAGCTATTACCTTTGTATCTATATAAATTGTCAGCACAATGAGATATAGATTAAATGTAGCCCTTGTTGGTTCAAAATTGACTAGATTTAGACTTGTGACTTTTTATCATCTTAACAAGGGATTAGCAGCTGGCTTGGGTGTCCACACTCAAAAACCAGTTACCCGCTACTACAGTGACACAATTTAAAAAAATTAAATTTACCTGGATTTTTTTAGACAATACATTAATTATACAAATCATTTTAATATACATTACAAAGGATTAGACTTTTCATGAATTATTACCATATATATTCAGTACAAATGTGATTTACATAATGCATAAGAAATTTTTATGAGACATACAATCATTGTCAAGCCATATAGCCATATTTACATTAAATAAGATTTCATGAACCTTTGTTATTATTATGCTTAACAATCAGTTAATCAGCTGTAACCAAATTTCCATTAAGATCTTCTCAAGCAGACAGATCTAATATTTTATTGGAATTATCAAATGATTCTCTACAGTGCAAATAAAATAATACTGACAAGAACTAAAAAATTATAGTTTTTTGCCCTGCAGGCAATCTACTTTTTACAATTTTCTTTCACATCAACCCTTTGAAGGAAAGGTGTACAACTGTATGATCCAGTAATACTAAAAAAATTCAATAAGATATGTATAATTAACAATATCCACAAACTTTACAGCAACTATCAGTATGAATACAAAGGTGAAGTGGTATAAATAGATTCTATCATAATCTGGTGTTTTCCTATCCCAATGATGAGGAAATCTGGACTAAGCACAGATATTAAGGAATGATGTATTTTTTCTACACTTATTGTATAAATATAATTTACTAATGGCAATGAATCAGGAAATTAAAGTATAGAAATATATCTTAAAACATAAGTCACAGCCTGTGTACCCAAAAAATAAAACAATGCAATATGTAAAGTAGAACTAGGTAAATGGCATTTAAAATAGAATACAAAAATCTGGTAAAAGACAATTTTTTTTTAGTAAGAATCATACACAAAAGTACACCAATACTCTAAAATAACAAAAAACCTGACAATCAACATAACTTTTTAGAAACTATTATTTTCCTGAATTCTGAAATTTTATATTTTAATATGATGCTTACCAGCAGATATTATAAGTCATCAAACTGCTAATTACTGAATAGAACAGTCAACAGTTAGGATAATTTATACAAATTATTAGGAAATAATTACAGAACTAATTAGATAATAGTTCACATAAGAGAATTAAACACATTTTAATGTAACTAGTGTTTGTTGGAAAAAAAAAATCAATGCTTTTATGGTTTGCAGGAGTATATTTTAATAGGGTTAAACCATTATTGTAATCAGATTAGTAAGAAAGAAATGTGACTTCTTATTGAATGGGACAACGACCAATGTGTGAATCTATGGTTTAATTCTGCCAGCAAAACACTAACAATTTAAAAAAAATATTATCCACTGCCAATCAAAGAATAAATATTTATTTTTCTGAATAGGATTTAAAATTTTGATGGAATTCTTGAACTTGACTATTTAAAATTAGGCTTTCATATTCACATCTGAAGTAGCCTTATGTCAATAACTAATCATCAACAACTTTAAGGAAGATACATATAGACAAAGATTTGTACTCAATTCTGACACAGAAATTATATGCTTCAATGCCTATATTGATATTTTTCTATACAAAAATAGTAAGCAGCATGTAGTTAATTTCTAATTAAACATAGTTAGAAAAGGAGATTCATTATGGAGTTGGGGTGAAATAATATGTCCCTTAGCTAACAGACAAAATGTTGTAGTATAAACTGCATTTTAATTACTAAGAGCTTTAAAAACTTGAAGAAATGTAGCAAATTTAAAAACAGCTCACCAAACTGAGATTATTAAAATGTTTAATGGATTTTAAATGCTCAACTCCCAAAGATAGAAAGATTTAAGCACTAGTAAATACATTGGGAGAAATTTGTTGAGACTTATTTTCTTATGAAAATCAAACAGTACTTTTTTTTAAATTTAAAGAGTATTTGACTGGCCAAGTGAACATAAAAAAGCAGACCTACACTGAGATCATAAGGTTCATTAATGGGTTCCAATCCACCAATGTTTATCACAGATCTGCTCCAATTTTTAAGAAGCAGAAATAGTTACAAGCCTCTGTAAGTCTTTTTTGTTAGCTCTCAATAATAACTGATAATATAAATAAACCATGTTCTGTTAAAAATAAATAATGGAAATGACATTGACTTTTCTCCATTCATGACTTTGTTTTTAATTGGTTTTAAATAAACATTTTTTTCTTACTTGATTCCTGACTTAGCCTAAAATTGTTGTTAAATAATTGGGTGTTTTATTAACCAAAGAATTTTTTTTCCTTCCAAATAATCAGCTTTTTAAAATAAATGAATTCTTTGAATAACAGACCCATTTTTTTTCAAAAATTTTTTTAAAAGTACTGCTGCTTTAATTATTTGCTTCAAATTATTGGGTAACTATAAAAACTGAAGTTCATTAAATAATTTATCTAAATTAATTTTTTAAAATCCATATTACTTGAGGATAAAATAAACAAAGAAAGACATGGTAGATATCTATATTAATGACTTCACACTTCTGCCAAACCACAGTCGTTGTAAAGGTCCTAAAAGTAACTTTACATGTTATCCAGTTCATAACTTTTTAGTAGTAAATGATAAATACTATAAGTTAACAAAATGGATGAAAATGGTTATGACATGTGATGGTCATCAACAATACTCCTGTATTTATGTACAATAATATTTATAATAAATATATCTCTGACGAGGTTCTGATGCTTATTTACATTTTCAGCCAGAGATCATGTGGATTTGACTATTTCATACACACAAATCATATATTCCGAAACATACAACGCTTGTTTTTTTAGCAGAAATGCACACCAACACACAGAAATAGACTAGAACCTGAAAATCCTTGTAAATCATATAATTGGACTAGAATTGTACTGGAGTTGATTCAGATCTAAAAGATCAGGTTTTTTTTTTAGAAGTGCACTTGCTTTCCCGTTTCTTCAGTAGCTCTAGTGAATGCACATTCAGTGCCTTTTGCAGACCAGAATAAATTATGTCAACAAAAATGACATTCTAGATTTAAAAAACACAAAATTTGTGATTGTTCTGTAGAATTTTAAAAAGTCAGTACAAACTGGCCTAGTAGTTTCCACCGGTGAAGAAAAATTTAGGCGTAAAGTGACTATTTATAGGAGTTTTAGGTGAGGCACACATTTGCTTGAAATCTAAATCAAAAGAGTCTGTTCTGTGAATGGTAGGTTCAGATTTGCTACGCTTTATTTTTGGTATTGATGAGTATAATGCTTCTAGTGATGCAAGAAGCTGAAAAATAAAGTATAACAGCTCATGGGTGGCCAAAAATATGTAAATATTAATTGAACAAAATAAATTTTTAAAAGAGTTGTTGAGTTTATAAATAGCGCATAAATAAAGACTGAGTTTAACTAATTGTAGTGTATTGGAGTATGTTTCAGCTAGTGAAAGATTTCATTATATTTATTTTACCTGCGGAAAGAGTGGTCTGTCATCTCTGTCAAATTGAAGACAATCTTGCATGTATCGCTTAAGTTGCTTAGGTGTGTCTGTACGACATCGAGACAAATCTGGCCTTAAGTAGCCTTTGCCCACCATAAATAAAATCTGGATAATATATAGATTTCCCGATGAATGTGCATATTTTTAAAAATAAACAACATGAACTAATTAACAATTGAAATGTGTCCAACTCGCTGCATAGCATCTTGTAGACTTGCCATTTTTAGATTTTTATCAATAACTCTTGGTTAATGGATGAACTATAACCCTATTTTGTGATAAAAACAATCTGGTTGTACTCCCGAATAATGGGACAGCATAGTAGAGCCTTCACTGCTAACCCTATAGTCTTGAGTTGTTTACCTAGCTCGGATGGGTACCTTACACAAGTTAAGGAAAGTAAAGCTACTAGGTATAGTGCTGACAACACTATCTCTACATATGCTAAGGTCAAAATAACAGGTGAACTCTATTTCACCTATCCCAAGGACCATAAGATTCAAAACAGTACATTCCTTTTTTTTTAAATTTTACTCAATAAGTTATTTGCTATTAAACTAATATAAAAATAATAGTTTTAAATAAAAATAAATATTAAATAAACAGATACTCACTTGATCCTTATTGTTAATATTGGAGTAAGGTAAGGACCCAGTCATTAATTCGTATAACACAACACCAAAGGCGTAAACATCAGATTGGAATGTATATGGATTTTGTTCTTTCATCCTGATGACTTCAGGTGCCTGAAAGAAATTTCAACTCAATAGATAAAAAAGAATTAAACCTAATATCAGTCAAACTATCAATATAAGATGACCAAGATTTGCTGCTATATTAAAATTTACTATACTGTATAAATGTAATTTTATTTTTACCATCCATAATATAGACCCTGAAGGTTGCTGAAACATATGAGACCCACTCCACCTTGTTTTAACAGTAGCTAAGCCAAAGTCTCCTATTTTAACGGTCATATTTTCTGTACACACTTCCGTTAAAAAGATGTCTATTGAATTGGTAAAGGAAGCATTTAAAAGAAATATCAGGGACTAGATTTTTCAATTCAGATATAAGAAATATGAAACCTACCTCACAGCAATCTGCTCACAACACAAACACTACACTTATAAGTAAAAGGATACTATTTGATTTAAGATCTCGATGAATTATCGACTTTGCATGCAGGTAACTGTTAATAAAAAAAATATATAACTGAAAGCGTGTTATTACATTTTATGATTATTGTCAAGAGAGCTCAAGTATATTGTTGAATTTTAAGTGAATGAATATATCACAAAAAATAAAATAATAGCGGACTTACTCCATTCCCTGCGCAGTTTGTTTAGCAATCATGGTAAGCTGATCCATGCGAAATTTCGTTTCCTGTACATGTAAATGTTTATACAAGCTATGTCCATCACACCACTGTGTTACTATTGCCAAGTGAGGTTTAGATACCAGACCCATAAACAATAAAATATTTAAATGTCTTGTTTTTCTATGGAGCAAAAAAAAGTACCAATTAATTCATTATACATAAAATTTTACAAAATTGTTTTTTAATTTAGTTACAATTTTAAAAAAAAACAACATTTTTATATAAACAAGATCTTAAAATTGAGGTGTAAAGATTTAATTGTTTATTTTCTGAAAACTGCTTAAATATAATTAGTCATCATCTTAATATGTAATTGGCTTTCTTCATCCTCTAAACTTAATTTCATGCATTTATTAAAGAAAGCAAGTTTGTATATTTTTTACTTTCACTTAATTTTTTTTTCTTCTTATGCATGTTAACCAATGGTAGATGAAAATAAAATTCTATTTAGTGTGCATTATTAGTTTCCCATATTATAGGCTTCTACCAAAACTATTTGGTCTTGAAAGTATTGCCCAAAATGTATTCCTACCTGAGTACACCAACTTCATTTTTGAAAGCTTGCATTTGAGCAGGAGTAGGATCAGTTACATTCAATTTTTTTACTGCTACTGGCCCATGCCAATGAGCTTTGAAGACAGTTCCAAATGAGCCTGAGCCAATTTGACGGTCATACATGATCTCACTATTTGGAATTTCCCAATCTTCATTTGAGTCTCTCCTTGCTCGCTTAACAAAAATAAGTTCAGGTTATTTTAAATTAGACACTGATAAGTTTATTCAAATGCTGGAGAAAGAATTTTGTTTACCATTCTTTTTCCTGGATCTGTTTCCACAGATTTGGCTCTAGGGCGAACATGTTTGGTAGCTATAGTTGGAGAGGAATGAGCACTTTTAGTAGGGCTACCAGCTGGTGACTGTGAGGGTAAGGTGAGGGTCTGAGACTGCTGACCTGTAAGCATATTTATGTGATAGTCAAATCAATTACTTATGCATGTTGTACTTTACAAACAAATATTGTTTTTTTTTACATGTTAACATGTAGCCAAAATACATTTAAAGTATTGAAAGTAATTTCTCATTACATACTAAAGTGTTATATATTGATAAGGACTAAACTTGAGCAAAGATAATTATCTGATTATACAAATAACAGTTTTAACATAACAAGTAATGAAATAGCCTAATTATCCATGTCAAATTATTTTATAAAATTATTATATCTGAATTATTAGTAAAATGGGCCTCAGGGAAATAGTAGCCATCCAGTTTTAAGAAACATTTGGAAGCAAACTGATTAATCCTGGAACATGCCTATATATTTATAAGTTAGTAGATGTATTAATGAATAATCCATGCTTGAATCAGATGTAATTCGCCATCTGAATATACAAAATCTCCATGCCTCATAAATAGGTGTGGAGGTGTGAAGGTTTTGTATAGTTAAAGAAAAATAAAAGCAGAAACAATTTTCTGTAGCAATGCCTTTTTGTCCATAATTTTTAGAAGAGTTTTTTTATTTTTTATTTTTGAGCTAAGACCTTCATTCCAAATTACATTTCAAAGACAATTATAAATTATTTCCAAATTTGTAGGCATCTTGTTACATCACACACATAGATTTTAATAATGAAATAGAAAATCATAATTTGACCAACATGACAAAAACTGTGTCAAATTTATCTAACCTAGAGAAAAATCAGATGCTATAAAGGTTATCAATAACACAATTATATTTTAACAACCTATAGAAATAATGTTACTGCCTACAAATACCAACCATTAACAAAAAAAGTTTCATCAAGAGATGAACTGTGTCCACTTGCTATTATAAATAACATTTAGTAGCCGTAGTATGTTTGTGGGATAAGAATAAGTTCACACTATAAACATAACCCCAGCCAGTCACGACAAACTTTGTATGAGAGATAATGGTGCACTGGGAGACTATACAACCAAAACTAACAGAAAATGGAATTGTATGCTAAAGAAGCTCAATGTCAATCACTGGATCAGAAAAGTATCCAAACCAGTTTTGAAAACAAGTTTAAAAAGTTTATTACAGTTTTAATTTAATTTTTTAATGTAACTTAGTTACCTATACATACTTTATAATGAACTCATTATTTATCACTTTGTACAAGAAAGGCAAGATGTGTATAACTTTAATTAGTCTGACAAACCACATTTTTATTAATAAAAGAAATTTGGTTAAAAAGCATCTAATTAGTACAAAACACATTGTTTGTGCCACTTTTCATAAGTACATGGTTAAATTATGTTTTCCACAGTCAACTTAGTTCATGCTCAGAGATATTTTAGATTTATTAAAATGTCAGAAACTACTAGGTTTTTAAAAATGCCATGTCATGCCTTTATCCTGAATACCTTTGTTTTGAGATAATGAAGGATTTTTTGTAAAGGAAGCACTGCTATCACTAGCATGGCGTTTGTCCTTATAGAAACTATAACGATAGCTTGGTAATATATCTGCAATAGTATTATGCATAATGTAAGCAACTAAAATCCTGCCAACCTTTGCTTCAAAATATCTTTAAAAAATCCTATTCTAATATTTGAAACAAGTATTAGTATAAACAATAACTTACTTGCATGAGTATTCTGAAGATCTCTAAAGCGTCTTAAATATTCCTGTAAAAAAAATTTTTTTTTAAATCTTATCACTTGACATGAAAATTTTGATTAGACTCATACTTATGTTATTTTTTTATCCAATCACACACCCACAAACAAAAAGAAAAAAATTCAACAAAAATTTATTCATCTTTTGGGTTTTTTTGTTGTTGAATTGGAAATAGCATAATATACTTCTTCTGGCAACCAAAAATCACTCAAAATTTGACAGAAACCAGTGAATTGGTTCGTGACTTATAAAGATTTCGATTTGTTGGTTTTTTTTCTTCGTGATTACAATACTCCCTACATGCTCTGTATTCGCGAAAGTAAAAAACCAAAGTGTATTAAAATTCACTTTTAGTATTGGAAAAGTTGAATATTTTGATTTTTAAAAAAAAAATATTTGTCCTGCATATTTGGTTAGTAAAATCTAGCTTGGAATCCGAATCAAATTAAATAAGATAAATATATTTACCGACTGAGACATATCTCCACTGTCAACTATATTAGCACAAACATTAGGTGCGGATGTAGACCGCTCTCTATGACCTAATTGTGGAGCTGGAGAACGACTAACATGGCCTCCTCCTTTTGATGAAGATTGACCTTGCCTCCTACTAGGTGTTCCTGTTCCTTGACTATCAGATACATATCTGAAAATGAAAAAACAATTTAATGTCTCCACTATTTTAACCTTTTAAAGTACAATAGCCCCACTTGAAGAATATTATTCAACTAATTTATTTTTCTAGAATTACTTTAATCAGGCACAAATATTTATCCCATTTAAAAAGTTAATCTATAAAAATGGATACTCAATTTCAAATTATTTTCTGGCTGGTGGCCACCAGAATTTTAATACTCACTGATGAACTAGTTCACGAGATGAATCCCTCATGCTACGTAAGTACATTTCTAAATCGCCTTGACAGTGGCGCGGTACTTTATCTTCACAGCGTTGGTGAAACCTCAATCCACAAGTTTGACATCGAATACTTTGAAAAAGTAGATTGCGGCATATATCACAGAAAGTCAACGAAAAATAAGTCTTTCGACCCTGTAGATAACAAAAAAATCATAATTAAATAAATAGAATTTTTATAATCGAGAATCGTAAGGTGCAGGTATGGGATTGTAAGGAGCATTAATAATTAATAACCGAAAAGCCTTTGACAACAAAGTCTGTGTGCATGTTCTTGCGTCTTTGTTACACCTGACTTGAAATGACAATACACCATACAATTCATGCTTTGGAACAATATCCGTGTATTGAAAATCAAGCCATTGAGGAATGGGCCCAGTTACTGATCTTTTAAAGCCTAACTACGACCCACTAGTTACTATATCATGCATTTGTGTACTAAATATTAAACATAGGGGATGCTACAATAACCCTACTCAATGTTCAAACATCCTCTATCATAATAATTTAACTAACACATTTTTAAGAATTGACTATATATCTGTAAATGTAACATTTATGAAAACTTACATAATTGTGGGATAAAACAACAGCCCTTGGCATAGATCTTGTGATGCTGTTTTCATCATCAATTTCCATTAGTTCAACAGATACTTCTTGACCAGCAAGCTCACCCATATCGGTATTCCATGTAAGCTGAATTCTGTTGATCAAAATATTCTTAGAACAAATGATTTACATAACTATATGTAATACGATTCCTTTTAGATTTAATAAAAAGGATTTCTCTTAAAATTGCAACAAAAACTGAAGAGATGGGAGACAGAAGAGATGACTGGAAATAAATAGAAAATGTATCAGCAGTTGAAAGAGATGAGGATGGCACTGAGTAATTGTTAAGTGTGCACAACAATCAACATATTAAATTAAAAATTATCTTTGAAGAAAGCGTGTAATTGATAAGTGAACTGTACTGGGGTTTCAAGTTTATGCGATTACTGATGTGCTTCATACTGTGCAACCAGATATAAGTGTATTTTATTTTATACACTTTCTAGATACTTATTTAATCAAAATATTCTATAATTAAATTTTTTCAGAATTGGTGTTGATGCTAAACCATTACGCCAACAACTCAAGAAGCTGAACAAAAAAGCACAAGCAGAAAGAAATGGTTGAAGCAGGCAGGGTCACTATTTTATCTTTTAAGATGCTTCAAAAATTACTTCTCAATAATTATAACCTTTGCTAACTAAAATAGTGATTCAGTATTCAGTAAAATATTCATCAAAAATTTATTTCAATCAAACCGTGATATCATTTTGAATGAATAATCCTATAAGGGAACTCAATTTTAAGCTGACTAAATTTGCACTTTTAGTGTTCAGAATGGATTATAATTACTTTTGATTAACTGTCAACATAAATGTGATGTGCATACAAAAAGTATGTGCGTAGAGAAGATTGGAGAATGTACAAACCAACTTATTTCAAGGACATTATCCTTTAGAATATAGGTAGTGAGGATTGGAGGATGTACCAACTTATTTCTAGGAAGTTATACTTTATTCAGCACAAAAAAGCTTTGCCACCTAGTTTTATTTTATAGTAACTTTTTAAATTTGCTTATTGATATTCAACATTTACCTTGTTTTATGTCTAAATACTTGACATTTTGATGCATCTAGCTGTCTTCTTTTCATTGCCTTCATTAAACCTTCTTTTAAGGTTGTTCCTGGTTTGGCAACAACCTAAAATAATTTTTTTCAAAACTCAGTATAATTAAAATGAAATATGCTACTTATGGTTACATTTTTATTAAACTACTATTAGGAACAAAAACATTTTTGATTACAGCACACTTAAGTTCTTACATTTAAAAAATAAAACTTACTGTAGTAACCATGCTATTAGGTAAGTAAGCCTTTATATGAGCATTTGCTGAACGAGGTCCTAACTGTGGACTTCTCTGTCCAGCAGAAAGTGATCGAAGGTTATTATTGCTGTTGTTTGGGGTAAGTGGAGGTCCTGGGGATAAGAGAGGTTCTTCCTGCATGTGTACTGCTCTTTCATGAGGTGGTGTTAAAGGTGGAGAATAGCCTCCCATGCTAATTTGATCTTGAAGTTTTTGCTCTTTTAGTTGATACTCGTGTATTTTATTTGCAAGCTCTTCATATTCCTATTAAATGGTAAAAGTTTAATATAACTTAATGTTGCAACATCTAGTAATTTGTATATTTTATTAACTAGAAAATAAGAACAATTTTTTAAGACAAAATTATCTTACCTGCACATAGATTGATGGTGGATGCTGATGTTTACCAAATTCTTCATTCATAGCCTCAAGTTTTTTACGTGTTGCTTTAATAACACGTTGAATATTTTCAATCTACAACAGCAAGGGTCATTAATAATTAATTTTTATTTCTAAAATACAAGTTTAATCAATAACAACTCATACTTAAAATAAAGCCCCATAGACCTATTAAAAGACTTGACACAGACCAAAAACTAAATGCATAATTGTGCAACAATTAATGTAGCTCAGTATCTAATTGTAAAGATTCCTCTTTAGTCTTTAGACCTAACAATCCATTTGGCAGATAAAGTGGAGTTCACATGCTTCTTGACCTTGGCATTTGAAGAGATAATGTGGTCAACACTATGCCCAGCTGAGTATCTAATTAAGAAGTCTACAAAATGTATTTTTAGAAAATCTTTTTGTTAAGAGACTTTAAAATGCACTTGAGTAATAAAATAAAGGCCGATTCTAGTCGGAATAAGATACGCATGCGCAATGGAGAGAAACTACGACTTAGCTGCGATGTTTTCGATGGTACTGCGCATGCGTGTGTTTACAACCGCAGAACCCTAATACCAACCGTAATCCTATCCTTAACCCTATCCCTAATCCTATCCCTAGCCCTAATCCTATCCCTAACCCTATCCCTAATCCTACCCCTAACCCTCATTCTAGCCCTAACCCTAGCCATAGGTCACTGCGCATGCACAGAACTATCTATTGCCGAAAAATCTTATTCCGAGTAGACACTTCGTAAAATAAAATGATTACTTTTAATTCATTTGAAAATTTGTCAGTTTTAACTAGAGGAATTTCCATTTTTTTTCCCAGGTAAAACCAGAAAATTAAAAAAAATTGAGTATCAAATAAAAAATTATTATGCTACATAAATGTCTTAATAAGGAGTCATCCATTTATGACGTTGAGGGGGGTGTTTCGGGTCAATGGGGATGTCCACATATTGAATTAAAGAACAAAATATTTCCATTTCCTAAGAAAAAAGCAATTTTTTTTTAAGCGGGAGGGGGTGCGGGTGTAATTCATGGTATTTCAAGTTTATTTTTAAAAATTTCAAAAAATTGTAACTAACTCATTTATCTTTATTTTGTGTCAAAACCTAAGGTTATGTAGATCTAGCCATTTTTTTTCAAGTAAAAAAAACACAAAATTTCAAACGCATTTAAAATTTGCTCGCTTGTTCAGGTGTAGGGGCCTATAGTGCCAACGCAAAAGGGGAAGAGGTGATTTATGGAAACACGTGTTAAGTTGAGTAAAAGAAATGACGTCACATTGATTAGTTGAATTTACCCTAACCCATATAGTCGTTGATAGCTAGACAGCAACAAATGACAGTAAAAAGTTCAGTCTACAGCATCCTTAATTTTAAAAAAAGATGCATGACTGCCTGCAATCTCTGACCCTTTATAACAACGAAGTGACTACTCGGAAAAAGATTTTTCGCCCCAAAGTCTCCACCTAGTCAGCAAAAGATAGTTCTGCGCATTATGGGTAGGATTAGGCCTTAGGGTTGGGGCTAGGGTTCTGTGGTTGTAAACACACGCATGTGCAGTACCATCAAACATCGCCGCGAAGGCAAGTCGTAGTTTCTCTCCAATGCGCATCTTTTTCCGGCTAGCATCAGCCTTATAACAAATACTGGTTTATTATTCAGTTATCTACCTATAGGCCTAATATTTGACACAAATATATGACAATATACTATTATACTTCTATTAAAGCCTTAACAATGATGCAACTTTTTTTACCATTATTAGCCTAGGCTGATTTTATGCACCTAAATTCTAAAAGTAGTGAATTTAGAGTAAACTCAAAAGACTGGTGTACAAAAAAAATCCATCCACTAGTCACTAGACTAGGCCTATTGATTTACATTTTACATGGAGGAAACTACCAAATAAGGTTGCGTTCAATTATTTTTTTTATACTGAATACTCGTGTGGAAATAGAAAGGTCGTACGTGTAACCCTCTATTAAAACAAAAATAAGTTCGTTGAGCGAAAGAAAGTATTGAAGAAAAACTGGACCACAACACTCAACAGTAGCAAAACATAGCTTTTTGTGGTGACCATGCAATGATGAGATTGGTAATAGTCTGCACATTTAGATGCAGTAATTACTTATTACCTCCTCCTGAAGATTTCCTGATATATTTGCATCTTCCCCACTCGACATTATGTTAAAATTCGGTATGTCTCCGTTCATACCTGGTTGCTGAACAACCGCCATATTACCTACATTGATGGATTATGTCACGTGACCTCTTAAATTATCACAGACTCTCGCGTCAGTTATCCAACTTGGCGAGAATGCGACTGCTGGGGCCCAATGTTGATATCTAAATATACGAAATCCCTTATTTCTTTTTTAAAATATCATTTTTTTTTTACTTCAGACAAGATCTGGGTCTATAGATCTAGAATCTATATAGAAATAGTAGCATCTTACGAAATACTATTTTTAGTTATTAACATAAAAACAGGTCCAAGTTTTGCTACTGGCTAGATACACTACCTACACTGGTTACATCTTCAAATCATTATTGATAGTTATTAGTTATTATATTGACTCTATTAAATTACAAAGAAAGTCATTCTATAATGCATTGCTGACCTCTCTTTAAATCAGATGTAGATTTTTTGTTTTAAGGTATCTAAGTAATTTTTTAAAAATTATAATCTAGAACATCATTGCAAAAGGTATAGATCTATATAGAGCAGGGGTCGGCAACCTGCGGCTCGCGAGCCGCATGCGGCTCTTTTGATATCAAGATGCGGCTCTCCAGCTCCTTGAACAAATACTAATAATCTTAATAAAAAAAAAAAATATTTGAAATAAAAAAATGTTAGTGGCTCTTTAAAACCAGGGAAATATTGAAAATTGTAACTTTTGGCTCTTCCGCTTCAAAAGGTTGCCGACCCCTGATATAGAGTAGTCTTATTTTATGTTTGTCTTTCTCTCTGTTTATCTTTTTTGCATTACTACACCATTAAAACGATCACCAAGAAAATTTTGGGAAGTTTTTGAGGTAACTTCAGCAGAGGTTTCTGCTATGGATCTAGATCTATAATCTATTTGTGCTTGACGCTCAGAATCGAAAAATGAAGGGATATAACTACGCTTAGAATATTTTGCAAAAATATTGATCTGTTGTTTCCCTTTGTTAATTATGCAAAAACGCGAAAACGTTTTTGTACCCATGCAGTAAATATGTCATTGTGTAGTTGGGCGCCTAAGTTTTAACCCATTGCTACATTAGCATCTGGAGTCCACTGATTTAGTGCCTTGCACTGGTCGTCAGGGATATTACCCGAATCAACATTTAAGCTGAACCAGGGGCGTCCTTATGTAGTAAAGTTAAGTAGAGATATGGCGCCTTGGCAGTTGGTTGATCTTGAGCCAACGGGTTCTCACATGAGCGCTACAGGCTACATGGCGTCTACACTTATTTTAAATAGTCATACACTATGGATAGGGTAAGTGCGTTGTGTGACCCGGACTCTCTTATGAGCACTAATAAGTTACCAAATTTAAAAAAAAAAAAAAACTTTTTAGTGAATTTTATGATTTTTTCATTTGTGATTTGTGAACATAGTAAAAGCCTTTTTCTTCAGAATTTTTTTTTAATATGAGATTTTCATATAGATCTAGATCAGGGGTCTCCAAACTACGGCCAGCGGGCCGGATACGGCCCGCAAGGTCCTTTTATCCGGCCCGCGGAGATCTTTTTGTCCACGGAAAAAATGTTTGTTGGAGGTGGCTGAGGAACTTTGCTCAGAAAATTCAAAACGATCTGAAAATGTAGCTTTGGGTGCAAATACCATTGCCCACCATGTTGCAGACATTGATGAAAACATCTTGAAACAGTGAAACAGTGAAAAACGCAAGCAATTAGTTTCGCCAATTTTCAATTGCAATGGGTGAGGAGGGGAGGGGTTGTCTGCGCCACCCCAAAGAGATGCCTGGAAGAGACTGGCCCCCGAACTGATATTTGATAGTTAATGTGGCCCTTGGGCTGAAAAGTTTGGAGACCCCTGATCTAGATCTACATGTTTATCTCACCCAGAGGCGTAGCGATGGGGGGGGGGGCAGGGGGGGGACATATGTCCCCGGTCGCCGACCTTAGGGGGCGCCAAAATGGGTTGTAAAAACAAATTAAAATGTCATTTTAGCTGTATTTTTGCAGTTTGAGGGGGGTGCAAATCGAAAAGTTGAGGGGGGGGGGTGCAAATCTAGTTTGAAGGGGGGGGTGCAAATTGAAAATTTGCTCCCGAGGGGGCGCCAAATTGAAAGTTTGCTCCCGAGGGGGCGCCAAATTGAAAGTTTGTCCCCGGGCGCCGGGAAAGGTCGCTACGCCTCTGATCCCACCAGTCCTAACTGTTTATGTAATATCCATAGGCCTACTAACAGATAAAGCTGTCTAGTTTTCCCCGCGTACCCTAATTTTGAAGCTATTAATAAAAACCGCGGAACACTTACTACGCGTTTTCTCTAAATAGAAACTCGATCGCAAAAGCAAAACAAAGAACGGTCTGAATATCTGTATCATCAACCCAATAGATTCAGAATAATAATAATAAATAATAAATGAATTGAAGTGGACAAAAGCGTGTTTAAAAATACAGACAGACAGACTTTTAGTGTGAGATATTTAAGATAAATTATTCTTTCAATTTGAACAGTGAAGCCATACCATTTTATTAACTTATAAATTATCAAAAAGGGTAAATTTATGGACATTATTTTCTAGAAATACACCGTAAAATAAAATATCCTAATATTGGAACCCGGAAGATTAACATTTCAAATACACTATTGTTTTTAAAAAGCTATTATTTTTGTCCTCAACTTACATTTGCAAAAGTATTTGTGTAGTTAGAATCGCTGATGTCTGATTTAAAACCATGCATCAAACCTTCATCTCCGATTTAAATTCAGTTTGACTTCATTTTTATCAGGTCACTCACTCACTTTCTTTTCTTATCAAAACTGTTACTTTACTTAACTTTACAGTCTTTATTAGTAACTCAGTCTTTACTGTTACTGTGTTAGTGACTGTTAGGTTACTGAATACTGAACACTCTCACAGAGACTGTGTTATGCCTAAAAGTAAATAATACTAAATATTAAAAAGTTAACAGATAATAGATACGTTATAGTTTGAGTTATGAGGGCATACACTTTTGACTTTTACAGATTGAGTTTAAGTACTAAAATACTACTAAGTAGTAAGTAGTAGGCCTAAAAGTATTCTAGCTAGCTAGTACACCTAGAGATCTAGATCTAGTAGTTTTAGTAGACAGTCTTAGTCTAGTGGTCTAGTCTAGTAGCTAGTGGCTGTTTCTACCCTAGCCCATTCAGATCTTCTACACTTCTACTTTTTGAACTCAGGACTGTTTGATTTAGCAACCATAAGCTTTACCAGCGCTACCAGTGGTCAACCTTGCCAACCCTCAGCCCCTAATCTAATCTTAGCTAACTCCTAATTCTAGGGATTATTAATCACATTACACTATTGAAATAGCAAACCTGTAGAATACTTTTCCTTTTGCCATAGCAGAGACTTACCCCACAATGACAAAAGGACGGTGTAACTAATCACAACACAAATCACTAGTAATTAACCAATATCGCCTATAAATGTTAAGACACTATCTTTTAAACCTTGGTCTGGCTAGGTCAATGTATTGAGTCAAAATAGTAACTTGATTTTGTGTCTGGCTTTAAAAATGTAGGCCACTTAATATTTTTTTTCTTTTCTTCTGCATGCATTTTATATTATACTCTTTGTTTACAGACAGCAAAGTCCTATCAAGTGTTAGTTAACTTGTGTTACTCTAAGCCAGTTAAAGTTGTCGTCACTTAATTCTTTCCTTAACAAGAAGAGTAGGACAGGTAGTCTGCTAATAAAACAGTAATACACCTTTAAGAAGTCAGAAATGTCCAAAGACATTAAAAAGTACATCAAAGAATTTATAAGAAATGTTGAAACCTTAGAGAATGAGGAAGATACAGAGGGAAATGGCTTTAACAGAGAATATCGGGTAATTTACACTTAAATTCTTTTTGCACACACACAATTTTTAAAATAACTCATTTCAGTGAATAAACTTTAAATACAAATTTTATATTTAAAAAAAAACCAAATCAAATACAGCTCATTTTCTTTCTTATAAATTCAGATGATACATGAAATACAGTTAAAAAATCGGAAAGAAAATGCTTTTACAATGGATGCTGGGAAAAATGAAAATAACGTAAAAAAGAACCGGTATAAAGATATCTTACCTTGTGAGTGGTGTTTTCTTTGTATTCTATCTTAGGATTTGATATATTTTATTTATCTTAGCAAATTTATTCTTTAAAAATATTTACAAATAGAGCTATTTATATCTTGTTCACACTACATTTTTTTTTCTGTTGCTTTTCCTTACTAAAAAAAATCTATATTTAACACATTTATTTAGTATTAGCCATTTACTTACAGCATAACAATCTGATCTATATAATTGGCACTCTAATCACATCACTTTGATCATTCATTTTTTTTTTGCTAGTCGCAAAACAAAATAATAGAATTATTTTGTTTAAAATTTTTCAAAAATAATCTTTCATGCACTTCTCCAATAAATGTCAGATGACGAGCATAGAGTTGTGCTGAGTACTCTGGAAGGTGAAAAAGATTCTGACTACATCAATGCTAGCAAACTAATGGTTAGTTTTCTTTTTTATCAGTGTCATTACTTATATTGTCAGATGTGCCAGAAAGTCTGGTTAACTCTCAATTTTATTTTTATTTATTTTTTATTTCAAAGGGTGTTAAAGGTACAGGTGGCTATATTGCCAGTCAAGGACCACTGGCGACTACAGTTAGTGACTTTTGGAGGATGATTTGGGAAAATAATGTGGAGATTATCTTCATGGCCTGTCGAATTGTTGAACTGGGAAAGGTAAGAAAAGAGTTCATTTCTTATCTTCTGTTTACACCCTAAAGCTGTCACCATTACTTCTAAATACTGTAGATCTAGTTACTATTCTGTTTTGTTGAATGTTGTTTTTTTTTTAATAAAACATGTTGAAATAATTGTTTCCACTACTTCTCATCGCTAAACTGTTGATTTATTTTTAGATCAAGTGCAAACAGTACTGGAATGACGTTGGCAAATCTGAAGAATTCCTGGACATATCTGTTTTTACTGTAAGCTTCTCTGTAGTCATCATGTAATCAACCATTATAAATTACTGTGTAGGTTTTTCAATTTTAAAAAATAAGAAATTGATCCTAATTTTGTTTCTCCTGATGGAAATAGTGGGGTATGGCTAAAATGGAAATATCAATTGTTTTAAAATATGTAACACTTAAAAATTCTTTACAATGTCAATTAAAAAACATTTAATCTTTATGTTATTTTATCATGTAGGAATCTGAAGAAGAAATAGCTTCAGATTTTATTCAACGAAAGTTACATGTAACAAGAGACGGCAAGACCAGACATGTGACCCAGTTTCACTATTCTGGCTGGCCAGATCATGGCATACCTGATGACCCTGCTCATATACGGGACTTAATTGGCATCATGAGGCGCACCAGAGTTAATGATGAAGCCCCACTTCTTGTTCATTGCAGGTGTGTACTTTAAGTAAACCACTGGTCATATGGCATGCCTGCTTAATGCGTTAACAGTCCAAGACTAACTTATGTAACTTTGGTAAATCATACTTAGTTGCAATGTATGAGTATGTCGCTTACTATTGGACTAGTTGTAAAACAATTTTAGACAATGCAGTTCATTCTTAAATTTCCTATTTTTTTCCTGGTTGTATTTCACTCTTTAACAATTTCCCAATTACATCAGTAATAATTTCTTTGTTTCTGTATTGACCAGTGCTGGATGTGGAAGAACTGGTGCTATCATTGCAATTGATTTTGTGTGGACACTACTAGAAGAAGGGGTAAGATTAATTACATTAATTTTCTGCATCTTTAACTGGTTGGAGGGACTTATAGTATTATATAAAAAGCATGTTAAATTCTTGTCAGATAGAAGTTTCAATTAAAAAGTTTAAAAATTATAAAGGAAACGTTGCCAACATTGTCAAAACCATCAGTTATTTTTTGTCTTACCACTTATGTATTTGTATTAAATGAACAGTTTAAATGGAGAGACAATAATTTTTTCAAAATGTTATCAAGTGAAAAATCTTCAGGTTCAGTTTTAATGAATTTATTTCTTAGAAGTTTGATGCCACCTTCAGTTTGTACGAGCTCATCTGCAACTTTAGAGAGCAAAGAATGTCCATAGTTCAAACAGCTGTAAGTTGGTGTTAAAAAATATTTTAAAGCCTTGGAAAAATAGAGATCAGTTAAGTTTTACTATGATTTAGAACTAAAAACACTTGGTCAGCCAAAGATTTGTTTAATTATCCTGCATAAGTTAAAATCTTAGTTTCAACTTGTCTTTAATTAAACTAACATTGGTAGCATTCACTTTGGCTGTCTTTAATAATCCTCAGAAGGGAAATCATTATGTTAACTCACAGTGTGTTTGTTGAAAATCATTGGATACTTTTTGAGGGTTTGAAGTATTAGGGAAGATGTTTCTTTTTATGGATCCCAGATTGATCCCATATTTACATTGTGCTATTACTACTTACATAGCTTTGAAAACAGCATTGACTACACTTGTGTTGTATTCACAATAAAATGTTGTTTTTTTTTGCAGGAACAATATGAACTTGTTAATCAAGTTTTAAAATCTTTATGTGAAGAATGGTTAGGGAAAATGGCTAAACATACTTATGTCAATGTTGAAGTTGCACCGGTAATTATTTTTATTGAGGATTTTTTTTCCATTCAAATTTAGGTTTATGTTTATATGCATGAAAAATATTTATTTACTGATTACTCCAGATTTTTATATAAAATTGCAACACTTCAAACAATTTTGATTTTATGAACTTTCCATTGGTTCTTTTATTACAGGAGTATGATAATGTGAATAATGGTCCACGTAAGTAGTTTTTTTGTAGTTTTTTTTTATTAGCTTGAGAATGTTTATTGGTAATGGGATATACTTTAGCTGGTTCATTTTAGACACTAGCTGTAGATGTTTGCACTTTATGATAGAAATAGAATTTACTTCTCAGCTCCAGAGGAAACCCCATATGAAGAGTTTGAGCCAGGAAAACTCACTGCATCGCCTGACAAGGAAATGCCAAAAGAAGCTTTAACTCTAAGTGCTGCCAACAATAGGTCTTATGAGGAAGTGGTCATACAAGAACAGGTGCCCAGTGAAAATGCACCAGCACCTCCAACACCAAAACACACAACAATCATACAAATTGGCCAAGCCACTAAGACTGAGTCCACGCATGGGACAGGTGGTAAGAATGTGTTCGAAGCTTCTCCTCCTCCTTCTCCCAAGAGCTCTGATCCTGAGATAGATACCCCACCTCTGCTTAAAGCCAGCAATGATGAGAATCACGAGACAAGCTTGACTCCTCCCACTGTTAGCTCTGACCCATCCCACCCTTCAGCAAGCAGCTTGACTCCTCCCAGTGTTAGCTCTGACCCATCCCACCCTTCAGCAAGCAGCTTGACTCCTCCCACTGTTAGCTCTGACCCATCCCACCCCCCAGCAAGCAGCTTGACTCCTCCCAGTGTTAGCTCTGACCCATCCCACCCCCCAGCAAGCAGCTTGACTCCTCCCAGTGTTAGCTCTACCCCATCCCACCCACCAACCGGCATTACCAAAAGTCCAAGTCTTCCATTGAGTAACTCAACCTCTACTGAGAAATCCAGTTCCAATCGTAAATCTTTCACATTACCACAAGACTGTGTCACTAGACTGTAGCTTACCTAATAATCTCATTGGTCTGTTAGAATTGTTATACAATAATATTGTCTGTGTAGATATACTTTAGACCTGTACTTTATCAGATTCATTCAATTATAAAACCAAGTAGAGCTAGTTTCAACTTTTTAAATCTCCAAATATTTCTTGAGCGCATGACATCAGTTGTATTAGGTACTAAAATGTATCTGTAGATTTCTTTATCTTTGCTAAGCCTGCTATTGCTAAGCTTTATTAACAACCAATAGCATATCCTTTTTTTCTAATTAAAATCATGCGAGTACAATAAATTTTTCTTGTAAAAATATCAGCTAAAGTCAAAGGTGGTTTAAATCTAAACAAATTAATAAAAACACTGCAATGTGTTATATATCCAAAATAAAGCAAGAAAAATACCAGTAAGCTTGCTACTGAATAAAATTTAAGTTTTGTTTTAAAGAATTCTTCTGTCTAAAGTTTTTTGCCTTCCTTGCCAATTTTCTGCAAAAGTTGTCATACATGTTTCTTACTCTCAGAGATACATAATATTTAGTATTCAAAAAAAAAAAGAAGGTGAAATATTGAACCCCAGCAAATGAATGAAATTTTACTATTGATTGAATCACCCACGTGTTCCCCACTAGACTTGAAATGTGATAACTTGTCAAATTGTTTCTTGTGTTTGTCAGACCTGGAAACACAATGTTTAAGCATTTATATTAATAGAACATAAAAGATATAAAGGTTTATACAACTTTTTATTTAGATCACAAGCAAGAATTTTTTTGTCCTTGACTTTACACACACATGTAACAATATTTACTTTATCTGGTGATAGTGATTGAAGGATTATTTTTAATTATTTTTAAAATGCAATACAGTTTTTCTATCACCTAAGTTTCTTGCAAATTCATCCCATTTCACTTTGCATTGCATTTCAATTAGTTTCCTTGAAGCTTTGTAATTTTTTTCAAAATTCCATATGCAAGTTTACAAAGTAATAAATGTGTAAAGATGCAACATTTTTTGTTACAAGTGTAGTCAATGTACTATAACTGATCAGGATGTTAATGCATGATTCATGGTGGAAATTCTTTTTGATAACCTCATATGAACAACTTACAGTACTTAAAGGCTTTATCTTGATATTGTCTCATTGTATTCAAACTTGGATGTATCTTAACTAGAGGTGCTAATTGCTTGTAGAAAATGGTTGGTCTGGGTTGTTCCTATTACTCTATTTAATACTATTGATATTTTTGTATGAAGATATTTATCAACCTTTTGTATACATATGTTGAAGTTTTATATTACTGATAGATCGACTCTTCTCCTCAGTTGTCTAATTCATTTGTATCCAGATTTTTTTTAAAAATCTCATTTTTATTGATTGTGTTCTCTCAAAACAGGCGTCAAATGTTTACTTGAATAGTTGTATTAGAGTTGTTTTGGTTTACTTTATACAAGTTAGTACAACTCTTTTAAGCTTACACTTTTGCTAGTCAAGTTTTTTCTGTACATTTTTCTCATAGGTCACTCTATTGCTTTCTACAAATTTGTGTAAAAACAATTCATTTCTAATATTCAAGATTGTCTTGTCCGACGTTTTACTAATTTTAAAATATGCATTTTATTTTTGTTTTCTAAGTGGTTTTTTTTCTCCATCAAGCTTGACAAATACCTGCTATGGAAGGCCATAGAATTTCTTTGAAAAAATCAATGATTTACTTAACATTACAAAAACATTGGAAGTTAAAGACATTTGAAGTGATGTAGGTTTGAAAGCAATAATTTTAAAATGTATTTAAAAGGTCACATTAATTCTTCAGAAAAAGGCATTGAATGGTTAGTTTGATCTGTAATATGTTGTCTGTAGCAAAAATGTATTGCTTGGATTAAGAAACAGCACTTGATTTTGTAACCTTGAGATGATTTCTTAGTATCTGAGATTTTAAGATGTCAATGTGTTACACTACTTTCTTAAACTTTGTGTACTTGATGCCAGCTTTTGATTACATGTTGAATTTTGTGCAATACCATTTTTTGTTGAGTTGATAACTTGATGGTTATGATATAATGCAGGTAGGGTCTTGTTGTAAAGCCAACTAACATAATCACTGCATGTTCCAGCCCACCTTTTGAAAGGTTTAAATTAACACACAATTGTTTACGTAAAATGTGAAAATTTATTGCTATTGATTTTAAGGATGTTATGTGTATAATGATGTGTGGGTATTCAACCTGAGTTGTGTGTTGGTGTGTAGTTTGTTAAATTACTTGCAAGATGGCAACGTGTTTTCAAATGTTAAATTACTTGCAAGATGGCAACGTGTTTTAAATTAAACGCAGATTGTTGTGTGTACTTTAAATTTTAAAAAACAACTAGGTATTGTAACCATACCAATTTGTCTTTGCTTACTTACACTTTAGCTCTGATCAAATACAAAAAATCAAAATCCACTTCATTACAAATAAAACTGCCATTATAAAAAAGCATAATTTATTTATTATTTTAAAAAATTGCTTATGAAATTCATTCCAGTAGCTCAGAAATTTTTTCAAAGCCAACATTCTGACAGGTTTGGATTGTTGTGATCCCATTGGCTCAATTTTTCCCCTTTATTTTCATTGTGATTGTAATAATGGCTGGAACGCTTTCAATACCTTCCGCATATCATATAAAATCTACCTATTGTTTTTATATCTTCAACTTGTCATTAATTCAAATATTTTGTTTTTTAACAGTTTATGTTAGTTTATGTAGTTTACTCTATTGTTGTAAATCAGTCATCTTAATTTGTATCAGTTCAAATATTCAACTGAATGCTATTTAACGGCAGAACTTTTCAAGCCTTGAAGGTTTCTCATGATGCAGCTTGTGTGTTATCAATGTTAGTCAAAAGATCTCTAGAAGGGAGAGCACTCCTTAAAAACAGGATCAAATCTTACACTGTTAACATTTATCCTCCCTAGTACATCACGAGATAAATGTTGTTACTGCTAAAAATAATATTCAGATTTCTGGTCATTTTGTTTTCTTAAATCAAACTTTTATCTTACTTATATTTATAATCAAGGATAAAATATTTGCTCTTAATTGTTTTTTTGTAATCAGTTATTGTTTTAGATAATGTAAATATATAAATATTTAATCAACATGATAAAATTATAGAGCTCAGTTGTATCATAGCTTCTGTTCTTAACTGTTACATGGTGCTTCAAATACTCAGGAAAACTTGAGAAAAAAGCAAAACTGTGTCACCTAAACAATTAACTTTTCTAAAGGGAGAGTTCTCCAGATATGTTACTATAGAGTATATGACTAGAAGATTTAACACTGTAAAATTAGGTAGTTGGTCATAAATTGTTTTTATCTCAATTCAGACATGAAAAAGTTGTTTTATATTCTTTTTTCTATATTTTATAGAACTTTTAGAATTGAAATGCTCTCTTTTAATTCAGTGCTTCATATTGAGATTTGGTGTGGTCAAGACCTCCCCTTACTATTTTAGTTATTCTGAAATCCTGACCATATTTTTTATTTTCAAGCCTATTAAGGCAGAAATCCAATTAGCTTAATTCCCATTTTTATTCTCACCCTTTTATCATTTCCATTTCTTTTTAGAATGTTAAAAAGAATCTAATAGTTAAGATGCTTTTTAGTGAATTTTGTTGATAAAAGAATTCTGCTGCATTTTCCAAGCTGCAAATTCTGACAGAGATTACAAACTAGATTATTTTAAAGGAAAAAAGTAATTTTGGCAAGATAAAAACATAGTTCAATAGGATAATGTTGAGACTTTTTACTCTAGAGCAAATAAACTTGTAAGGGGTGTTCTGTTCTATTGATCTATGGCCATATGACAAGAGTAAAATAGTTTAGATCTAGTGTAATAATTAGTTTTATTTAATTGAAAAAGCATTCGCTGGTTGGTTTGGTGCTGTTTTTAACATTGTGTGTCCTAATCAATTGTAACTTCACTCACTTTTGTATATTGAAATAGAGAATAAATTTTTTTCATTGTTATCCTTGACTCTTTTAGTTATTTCTTACTTTTTGAGTTCTTTGTTGCAATTAGCATTTCACATGAAGGATTCATACAACATTGCACAAAAGCTTCTTGTGATTTCTGAGCTTGTTTGCTGACAGCAAATGTCTGAACTCTGACAGGATGCCAATTATTTCCTTGGTATACTTGAAAAATATGCTCACTCTTGTTATTACTTTTGAAATTAGTTTTATGTTTTGTACTGATACCAAAAATACATTTCAGGTATGCTAAGATTTTATATGGTAATACAAACCAAATGGTCCATTTTTTAAACAATTTTCTGCCGAGTAGCCAGCTTGACTTTCTGTTTTGTATCTACTCTGCGTTTGGTTTTAAAACTAAACTTTTTGTGTTTCCTATACCCCATACTCGCATTTGTAATACTTAGCATTAGCAGTGTAGCAATTCTAGAGTTTAAAATAACCAATACTCAGCTCAAGGTATAGCCTCTAACTTTTCTTGCTGAACCTACTGTCACAATGTAAATTGTTATAAATATTTGAACTTTTATTTAAAATGTGACAGGACAAAAGCCACCGCCTAACCCGAAACCCTCATCAGTTCCACCTTCAGTTGTTGGACCGCTTGGGGATGTCTATACTGCGGTCAAAGTCACTGGACGTAGTTTACGTAAAGATTCTGACACCTCAGTTGATGAAGCAGTAAAGAAAGTCTTTCCTGAACCCAGACGTAGTGCTAGCATTGTCTCTGCCGATCCAAAAATCCCACTTAAAAGAAATATCTCAAATGAAGCCACAAGAGAACAAGGAGATACAAGTCACTACTCGCAGATAGAGATCACAAAGAAGGACAGACGTTACTCAGTTGGAAGCAAATCAACTGTGGTGAGTATTAACACTTTGGGGGGGGGGGGGGGGTTTAGGGTTGATAGTTGAAAAAAAAGAACATATTTTTAAAAGGCAAGTTTTATGTAAATTTCATCTTGCTGTTTCTTTACGTTAATTCAATTTGTTTTTCAGCTGAATGGAAAGATTCCAGGTAAAAATTTACAAAAATATATTTTTTTAATCCCTCAACATATTTGCTTTTTTCATAATTGACTGTATCTCAGTCTTTACTGTAACACATCTCTACAGCATTTTAGTTTTTACTTCAGTACCATACATTTTAAATTTACGCATTTCTTTAAAATTGACAAAAATAAATGCTATCATTTTAAAGTAGACTGAGTTTAAAATATGAACAAATTAGCAGGTTTCAGTTTAAACATTTTTTGAAACCAGCCCAAAATGTCACATTGTCCTTAAAGTTTCTTGTTGCCCTGTAAAAAATCTATAAATAATTTTCAGGATTTCATGAGCGACTGCCTAAAGTACAAGGTCCAGTGTCTTTCCCAGCAGCATGGTATCATTAGGACCCTGTTGGTGATTTATGACCATATTGGTGATTGTTTGACCAAACTGACCACATGAGTAACTTCATGACAATCTTGCAGCACCTACTGATAAAAGGAATGTTGTTTCCAAATCATCATGTCTTCCATTTTAAAGAAAAACAAATTCAGCAAATTGGCCAATTCCTATTTATTGATTGCAATGTAGATATGGGTGGTTTGTCTAAGTTGGGTTTTTTTTTGGCTCTGTTTACAGGCGGTAAACAGCCAAAAATGTATTTAAATTTATGTTACAAATTGTACTGTGATCAAATGTAATTATCTTGAATTAAATAATTTTTAAAATTGTAATGGATTGGAAATAAACTATTAAAATTAAACTCGTGATAATTTTTTTTTTAATCTTTCATAATTTTGTAAGCAGTGCCAATACTTAAACACAGCATGGTATGTCTTCTGATTTTATGTATTCCAGATTTTCTACCTCATTTTATTGCACAACCTTTATTAATTAGCTTGACTGCATTTGGTCACTGAAAAAAGTTTATTTTCCTTTAAAAAATAAGTTTTATAATAAAATGGTTTTTAAAATGAAGTACAACAAGGATACGGATGGCAAACAAATCCCTTTAACATAAACAATCAAACAATGTTTTTAGCTGCATCCACACCACAATAGGAGAAACATTTGGAGAATTCAGACTAGCATGCAGTACAAGCTAATTTAACATGGTCCCTAATAAAATATCCTTAATAATGTTATTATTCTTGTACAAAAAACGTTATTGGATAAAAGTTCCACTCAGAAAGAGTATTTAATGGTTTAGAAAAGCAGGGTGAAAAGTTTGTATCATGAATTGTTTTTAAAGAGGGGGGGGGGGGGGAATAATTTAGAGACATCCATTAACCTTTTCAAGGAAGGAATTTTCAAATTTTCACATGCAATTATGCTTAAAGTATATGGTGACTAAGACACAGGTTCACTGTCATACTCATCTCTTTTTTTTACTTGTGTTGTTTCTAACATAATAATAGTCTAGGCCTACTCTTAAATTAGATTGATTTTTTTTTTAATTAAAGAGCACAGTTTTATTATGATGGCTTGAGTCACTCAGCTATGAGGAGACTTAATACAATGCTCACGAATACATTACTTATACAAATTAAAACTATTAAAAGAAGTAATTAGCCCATCAAAGTCAAAAATACGTAAAGTTGATATTCTTAAATTAAGTTGGGGTGTTGTTATATCTTGAATGTATTGATATTGTGGTATAAGCCTAGCTTATTGAGGATCAAAATATCTGATACTGATAGCCACCCCTAGATTCCCATTAGCTATTTCATACTCTAATTTGTTACAATAATGTCAACCTACCCAATTAGGACTTATGGGGCAAAATCAAACAAATTTTAAAAAATGGTTTCAAAAACAACATAAGAAAAAAGCTTTATTGTGTTTAGTTTTAATGTTAAGGTGGTAACTAATTGGTCAATACTATCATAGCATACTGGTGAAAAATAATCCCAGGTAGCATGTCTTAGATGACACTATTAATGACAGTCCATCAAATCTAGTGGCCTGTCTGTCACTACATTCACAGATGGTTTTGTAACAAGTCATGAACAAGACAAGACATTTGAATAATTTCAATTTATTAGTTAGTCATCCACGTCAGACATAAATCCACGTGCAGGTTGCGCCAGTAACAGCTACATCGTGACTATAAAGCTGAACAAATTTGCCAAACAAAATTAGAAGAAACAAAAATTTGCCTTAAAAAAATAGCTAATCATAAAATCAGATATTTGAATAAAGTAGAAAAAGTGTGGCATATCTGATCACTGCATTTTCTCTAATGAGTTTTACAAGGTTTCAACTCAAATTCTAGATCCAGCCCTAACTGTTACTTCCTCATATCAAATAAACTTAGCGTGGAATAATGACCATGTGACCCTGGACCTGAATGAAAACATAGAGAAAATGCAGTGTTGTGTGATGAAGGAACAAACAAAACTATCTTACACCAATCACAATGGTGGTCTAATGCTGCAGTGTGGTTGTCAGTAGATGGGATCCAACTCAAATCTTTCTCTCCATGCTTTGAGATTATCAGGCCTTTATTTTTTTTTAGGTATTCACAATCAAATGATACTTGAGCATTGATGTTTGGAGGGGAGTTGACAACAGATACAAGCACATGGAACATAAAGCAGAGCAAACACCTGGTGTGGAAACCATTGCTTGAGCAATTGGAAACATACAATATTAAGTCATCACACACATACATCATTACTAGAATCTGCTTGGTCATCCAATTTGAAATAATTTTTTTCTGTCCAGTCATTGATTGCTAGTAGAAAAATGGCTTCTCTAATGGAAGACCACTACATTCAAGAGATCTAACCTGCCAATGCCAAAACACCTGACTAGTTTTGATTTGATTGGATGGAATCTTAAATAACTATACAAATAATATTGAAAAAAAAAAGAACGGGAATATTTGGAATATGACTGTTAGTATGACTGGAGGGAATAATAATAGCATGCTGGTGCTACTGGAGGGAAATCAATTTTACGGGACTAACAAATAAGACAGAGGTAGACAGAAAACACATCATTTTAGTATTACAATACTCTTCAATACATTAAGTGGAGCATTGACAAATGTACCTGGGTCAAGATTGTGCTATTTTTCACAAATTGTATTTTGCCCTAGCTGATGTTTTAAATTCATATATATTATATCATTGTAAACAAAATGACTGTCATTGGGAAGAATACACAGGCATGTCTTTCAATGTCAATCTTTTACTGCCAAACTTTCTCACAAGATCATTTTCGCTATACAACTTTGGAATCTTACCCAAACTTATTCTATTTATAGAACTACATTATTTTATAGTGAATACTAAATCATTTCCTAGTTTCATCGCAAATCAGTGATGTTTGTCTTCTTGCCAAATATGGAAACTAACTGTGTCTCATAGTGATCTATATTTCTCTTCATGATGTCCATACAGGGTCCCATTAGTCGCTCAAATGCGTGGACATCCAACACTGTCAAACATAAAAAAGATAGTTCATTTCAATTAGGCCTACTGCTTAGTTGTGTAATGATGTTGATAAAGTAGGAACTGACAAAGTATAAAGTATGTCAAACATTTCTAAAAATAGAATGTTAGAAATATGATTTGGTATCAATAAGAAATTTTATGAATGATAATGTTTATAAATTAGTACATTATTTATATTATCAAAAATCTGTTTCGTACTTTATATAACTTAATATTGCCAATATGTTGAGTTTAGAAATTAAAAAGATGGACTTTCCCTAATTAAGTGAGAGCACCTCATGGATAGGATCATTAGGGATCATGCACATTTTATAACAACTGAGGACAACTTTTTTAACCACCATAGCTATTAATGACCAGTCCTACCCTGAGATTAAACTAGATATCCAGATATATACCCCCCCTCCTTCCTTTCAAAAGGACAATGGAAAAACAACAAAAATGGGAGAAGGATATATGTTAAATAAAAGACCTGGTAATAGTTTTGATGCACACATTTTAAAATTAATTTGACCTTAAGTTATGCAAGTCTTTAGGAAATAAAGGAAGCAGGTAAGTAGAGAGCAAGTGAAGCCAACACTAACTGACTGCATTATAGAAAAGTAAAGGAAATGTTTACCTGCACACTTCACAGTTCCAATGGCATATACAGAGGCTGCACGAGGCTTATTAGTCACCAATGCCAATTCTGAAAATACAAAAAACACATGCATTCATGAAGGATAAAATTATTTATAGCTTGGAAATCTTGCAACGGTCAAACATTGATAGTGAATCATCCAACTGATTGTCAGAATTTAAAATGTGATGTATTTTTCATACCTCCAAAATATCCTCCAGGGCCTAGTTTGTTGATTTCAATTTCTTCTGTAGCAGATGGATCAGCCTGAGGTTGAAACAAATTTTTTCATCCATGATACGCACATTAGTATTATTTGAATGACTTGGTTAATCTTTTCTACCTTACTCAAACAATGTGAAAACTAGATTACAATTAATGACAAGAGTGTGTTGTAACTGAAATTAACTGGAATCTCCCAATGTCTAGGTCTAAAGTTAGTCTAGCACACTAGCTGTAAAGATGTATAGAAAACTTCACTGGCTAGCTAAACATATATGCCCTGACTAAGTTCACGGAACTGAGATATGCTCACGATTGCTGACACATAGTCAGGCATGGATGAAATCGCAAAGTATATAGTTCATAAGTTATAACTAAAATATAAATAAATAGATAAGTCGTTATTGAATTTCCCATGATGCTTTTTCCCTAATTAAATCTGCTTTCACTTTAATACAAATTAAAATAAGATAAATGGTTAACTTATTACTGGAGCTGCTAAACTAAAAGCAAAAATAATGTGTATTATGATAACTGTTAGTGTGGCTAATAGTTAGAACTGAAAAAAGAAATCTAGAACAAAAAAAATATGAAAGATTTCAAACATAGGGTAAATATTTTCCCATTAGTAGTGGATCATGTCTAATGCAATCAATCAAGAGGCTAGCATTACATCAAGAAACTGATATTGTAGCATTTCAAATATATGAACTTCATTTATAAAAGAGTGATTGCTGTCAACATGCAACATTTCAGTTGTTTGAATAAGATAAGAATGTGTTTAGAGAAACTAGACTAACATTCACTGCTGCTACTAACATACACACAAACACACATCTCTAGTTGGTTATCCTCACAGTCCAGACATTCTCTGGTGCTAATTGTATCATTGTTGTATCAGATCACACAGCAAGCACTAAGATTATCCTCACAGTCCAGACTAACATTCTCTGGTGCTAATTGTATCATTGTTGTATCAGATCACACAGCAAGCACTAAGATTATCCTCACAGTCCAGACTAACATTCTCTGGTGCTAATTGTATCATTGTTGTATCAGATCACACAACAAGCACTCAAAGATTATCCTCACAGTCCAGACATTCTCTGGTGCTAATTGTATCATTGTTGTATCAGATCACACAATAAGCACTCTAAGATTATCCTCACAGTCCAGACATTCTCTGGTGCTAATTGTATCATTGTTGTATCTCAATCACTCAAAGATTATCCTCACAGTCCAGACTAACATTCTCTGGTGCTAATTGTATCATTGTTGTATCTCAATCACTCAAAGATTATCCTCACAGTCCAGACTAACATTCTCTGGTGCTAATTGTATCATTGTTGTATCTCAATCACTCAAAGATTATCCTCACAGTCCAGACTAACATTCTCTGGTGCTAATTGTATCATTGTTGTATCACAGCAAGCACTCAGATTATTTTCACAGACCTACCCTAAACATTCCACTATAGTACTGTCTCAGAATCTACTAAAAAGCAAACTCAAATAGAAAAACAGAATGCAAAAATAGGCAAACAAAAAAAAATATCAACTCTATTAATAATCTTACCCCTTTGCCCTGAAATAGAAAGATAGGAAATTACATCACAACTAAAACAATAATGTGAAATATTATCAGCATCCAATGGACAAACAGTTTTACAAAACCATTTTTTTTTTTACAAATAAGTATATTAAAATTATTATGTGTAATTTTAACACAATAACAGGAAAATAAAAATTGAACGAAAATTCAACTCCAATTCATGATCTTACCCCTTTGTTCTGAAACAAGAGATTTGAAATTTCTTTACTCAAAAGGTAATATAGCAAGAAAAGCGTTTGTCCAATAGGCATAAATTATGATAAATAGTGTTCATTTTAAAAGTTGTCAGTGCTACTAAAAAAAGTTTGCTAAATGGTGCCAGTATGACAGTGTAAGCAAATACAAAGGTCAATTAAAATTACAGGTCAAATAAATAGATACATTTCCACAGACTAAAAACAGATTTGTTGTTCTTTTTTCTAACAGCATGTCCTTAGTTCACAATGTGTGTGGGAGGGTTGGATTTCATCCATTCATTACTTTAAAGGGAGAAGAATTGTTAAAATATGCAAGCAGCAGGATTAGGGGATAGTTCAATAGCCAAAAAACAATGCACAGAGCTTAAGAATAAACTGTCATTAACTTGAGTATAGAACAATTACAATAACATGTTTATTTAAACCATTTAAAAAAAAACTCAAATCAAGTATTCAGTGTTCAATGATTGGATCAGAACAAATCCATGTCACTTGGGGGAAACAAACTAATTTGTTGGTGGGCCTACAAACAGTGGAATAACCAATAAATGGAACACTACATTTTACTTAAAGAGGTACAAAAAAGAAATAGTTCGGAATAACACAAACAAAAATATTATGAGTAATTACTAATAGCTTTCATTCAAAGTGTAAACCTGAGTGTGCCAAAGAAAATCTCAAAATGTATTTTTTTAAAACATGTATCCCAAGTGTAAATCTAGAGATATATTTTTAAAAAACATGTATCCCAAGTGGAAATCTAGAGATATATTTTAAAAAAACATGTATCCCAAGTGGAAATCTAGAGATATATTTTTAAAAAACATGTATCCCAAGTGGAAATCTAGAGATGAATCCAAGAATATTTATACCAAGTGGAAATCTAGAAATGAATTAAAAAATATTTATAATCAAGTGGAAATCTAGAAATGAATCCAAAACCTTTTATACCAGGTGAAGAATCTAGAAATGTAACCAACAGCTCACCCCGATGAAACTCAAGAAATGCTAAATTGTCTTGTTTCTAGCCATATCAACGACAGACCTTTCTTGGGGAAATCTGCAGTCATGATTAGCAGAATGTTGCTAACTTTAGACATGACTGAGTGCCAGAGCCTATTGGCACACAGGTTGAAGGATAATAGTTTCTTTTGCATGTTTAGCTAAAATAATACAACAAAGAAAGCTTTGTTTAATAGCAAATTATAAAATTTGTCTTTACAAAACTAGTCAAGTGATATTGCGGTAAAAACATATAGTAGGACATCAAATAAAAAATTCAATGATAAAAAGTTTGTTGTAGGCCTGTATCATTAAAAAAGTAGTTTTGGAATAAACTTATGTATTTATTTTTAATTTCTGTAACAGATGATGTGGTTTAGAAATACTGAATCATTATTTGATAAAGTATATTTTCAAGTAGATGTTTTTTTAAAGATGTGATATAGCTAAGTGGGGTCTGTCAAACTGTGTACAGTAAAGATAAGCTATCACCTCGTTTGGTTTACAACAATCATTGAAAAGACATGCACTTTGTTACAGCACAATAGTGAGGTCACAGGGCAGAGAACAGCCTTGACCTTTCTTACCTTATTGAGCATGGCAATTCTGACTTGACCTTCCTCCACAAAATACATGCAATCAGCTTTATCCCCCTGTGGAAATAACCACCAAGAACATCAGCACTGGTCAACACAGCAAATTGAGCTACAGCATAAAGTCAGGTAAACATTTGATTTATTGCAATGGTAACAAAATAACATACCACTAAACAAGGTGGCTACATTTGTCATCTAGTGAACTATACTTCTTTATATGGCCAAGACTGTATGTGTAGTTGTTAGTTCACCCTAAAATCTTGTTATCTGTATTTTATCCTACATAACTAAGTGTGCATGTGTTGCTAGCCTAACCTCAGACATAAAGAATAAATGCTGTTGCTAGATGAAATAAAAGAACTTTTCTACACAAGATGTGTCCTCCTGGTGGCCTCTAATGAAGGCAGGACACAGCAACATCATGGTGCCATTTGTTTACCTGATTAATGATCCTCTCGCCATCAGAGAACTGCTGGGAAGTCAGAGCATCACACACATTCATACGTTCATACATCTGCAATGGGAAATGGTGCTCATTAGTAGTTTTACTCAATAGGAAACAAGGTGCTAAATTTCAAGTTTAAAGAATAACTTTCAAGAGCAATGGTGATAAGTATACAGGAATTGAAGGGTTTTTACTGTGCAAATGATATATACCATATTCAATTATCCTTTTATTTGTTTGATAGCCACTGGGATAGAGAACAATCCATGTTTTAGCTACAGGGACTGAGAGTGTGTACAGTCAATGTTTTAGCTACAGGGACTGAGAGTGTCAGGTCCATGTTTTACATACAGGGACTGAGAGTGGGTTACATCCATGTTTTAACAACAGGGACTGAGAGTGTCAAGTCCATGTATTAACTACAGGGACTGAGAGTGTCAAGTCCATGTATTAACTACAGGGACTGAGAGTGTCAAGTCCATGTATTAACTACAGGGACTGAGAGTGTCAAGTCCATGTTTTAACTACAGGGACTGAGAGTGTCAAGTCCATGTTTTAACTACAGGGACTGAGAGTGTCAAGTCCATGTATTAACTACAGGGACTGAGAGTGTCAAGTCCATGTTTTAGCTACAGGGACTGAGAGTGTCAAGTCCATGTTTTAGCTACTGGGGCTGAAATAGTGATTATGTACACCACCACCCCCCCCCCCCCCGACACATCTGAACTGTGACCGTTGTTGCTTTATAACACAGTCCCAACACACACCAGCCGAGATGTGTGTAGCCCCGACACATCTGAACCGCGATCTCCGCCGACGCGTGCTGATTGCTGGCCAGTCAGCCGACGACCTGAGCCGACCTCATGTTAGCTTCTAGCGCTCCTAACGCCCCATTCCCTGGAGGAAAACGAGACCAGATAGTACAAGAGGCTGAAACAAAACGCCAAATGATCGAAATCAAAGTGGTGGGAGGCGAGAGGGGAGCGAATCAAGTGGGACCTAATGAATGTGCGTCACAACACAGCGGGAAGACGGACGCATTGATTCGGGGGACAATGGCGCGGCCTCCAACATTTCGACTTTCTTCCCTCTTCCTTCTCGAATATACCGATAACGATGATAATTAGCAGTCATTATCTTAAAATAGACTAAAAATATTGTTCAACCCAATTTTTTACACCAATAAATTGATTTTTAAAAAGGTGAAGAAAGCCATTATTTCAGTTGAATCGTCTTGGTGTTTTTGATGCAAGATGAACTTGAAATAAGTCTAAGTAAGGTATATCTACTTTCAGTTGTAAAGTGAACTACATCTACTTGCATCTCTAAAGTGAGCTATATATGCTTTCAGTCGTAAAATGAGCTACATCTACTTTCATCTGTATAGTGAACTACATCTACTTGCATCTCTAAAGTGAGCTATATATGCTTTCAGTCGTAAAATGAGCTACATCTACTTTCATCTGTATAGTGAGCTACATCTACTTGCAGCTGTAGAATACGACAGACCGTGATCGTATGTGTCTATAACAGGGGCGTAGCGAGGGGGGGCGGGGGTGCGGACCGCACCGGGTGACACCATTTAGGGGGTTGACACCAAGGCAAAAAATAGCAAAATACATAGAGAAAAACTCGAGGGGGGTGCAAATCGAAAGTTTGAGGGGGGGGGGGGGGGGTGCAAATCGAAAACTCGAGGGGGGGGGGGTGCAAATCGAAAGTTTGAGGGGGGAGGTGCAAATCGAAAACTCGAGGTGGGGGGTGCAAATCGAAAGTTTGAGGGGGGGTGCAAATCGAAAATTTGAAAGTTTGTCACTGGGAAGGGTCTCTATGCCTCTGGGGGGGGGGGGGGTGACACCATTAAGTGCCGCACCGGGTGACACCCGACCTCGCTACGCCACTGGTCTATAACCACATGTGGGTAACCACGGTGTCATGTAAGGCCAAGCCCGTTTGTTTCTATGCTGTGGACAGCTGTTTCAAATGTTTACCAACATCATCGAAACATAGCTATGGGTTTGATGTCAAGAACACGACATCCAATCAACTCCACATATTTGATGGAAAGCTGCTGAAGCCTCTCTAGCTATTTCCTAGTATTTTAGTTTTCTCGCTTAAGTAAACCCCGGTTATTTTGAATGAGGCGCACAGCGTTTTAAATTATTTTTTATCCAACAATCTAGGAGAAAGTTGAAGGTACAAATCCTCTAAACTGTCGAGATCTACATTCTTATCTCTCGGGATATTGTATAACCATGGTATTTGTCATGTAAACTCGACATAAAGAAAATGTTTTTATTTTTCATGCGTTACGTAGAAATGTTCTACAGACAATAAAGCTGCTAAATGTACAAACATGTTGATCTGAGTCTAGAATGGATGGCTATTTGATTGGACGGGACAGAGAAGGATGCTGTCGATATATAACAGCTCGTCCCCAACAATGACCTTGACCTAAAGAGATGACATTAAGCGAGATTTGTAAAGCAAGCCCCGTGGCCATGCCACGTGACGCACGCAGGCTCGCCAGATTGGTTCAAAGTTGACAGCAAATTTCTTTTACCTGATAGACCTATTGGCCACTGCAACCATTCACTAGCTTCAACAAACTAGATTGCTACTAGACTAGAACAGCTAGTAAGAAGAAATACAATTTTGCAAACAATACTTGAACACTCGCTGATGGATAAAAAGAAATGCAACAAGCTGTTTCTGATTACCCTCGTTTTTACCATGTTCCCCTATGAACACGGCAAGTTAACCTTAGACCAACGTTAACTCCCCAATGTGTATAGAACACGGCAAGTTAACCTTAGACCAACGTTAACTCCCCAATGTGTATAGAACACGGCAAGTTAACCATAGACCAACGTTAACTCCCCAATGTGTATAGAACACGGCAAGTTAACCTTAGACCAACGTTAACTCCCCAATGTGTATAGAACACGGCAAGTTAACCTTAGACCAACGTTAACTCCCCAATGTGTATAGAACACGGCAAGTTAACCTTAGACCAACGTTAACTCCCCAATGTGTATAGAACACGGCAAGTTAACCTTAGACCAACGTTAACTCCCCAATGTGTATAGAACACGGCAAGTTAACCTTAGACCAACGTTAACTCCCCAATGTGTATAGAACACGGCAAGTTAACCTTAGACCAACGTTAACTCCCCAATGTGTATAGAACACGGCAAGTTAACCTTAGACCAACGTTAACTCCCCAATGTGTAGAGAACACGGCAAGTTAACCTTAGACCAACGTTAACTCCCCAATGTGTATAGAACAGTCAACACCGAAACGCCTCCCAAGAGGGAACGAGTGGACAAACTAAGCGCTGGATCCACAGTTTCAGGATAATGAAGGATTAAGTAAAGCGGTCAACCATTTTTTCCTTGGCAACAGCGTGTTGAAAGAACTAAAAAGATCGTCCGCAGCAGCTGTAGTGTTCATCTTCTACGTTCAACCAGTGTCTATGGGAGACTTTACTCACTATTTTGTTCGCGGTCTGGTTTACAGAAGTTGTTTAGTCCAGGGTAGTTAATTAGCCTATGGACATGGTTTAGCCTAGGGCAGTTAATTAGCCTATGGACATGGGTTAGCCTAGGGCAGTTAATTAGCCTATAGACATGGGTTAGCCTAGGGCAGTTAATTAGCCTATGGACATGGGTTAGCCTAGGGCAGTTAATTAGCCTATGGACATGGGTTAGCCTAGGGCAGTTAATTAGCCTATGGACATGGGTTAGCCTAGGGCAGTTAATTAGCCTATGGCCATGGGTTAGCCTAGGGCAGTTAATTAGCCTATGGACATGGGTTAGCCTAGGGCAGTTAATTAGCCTATGGACATGGGTTAGCCTAGGGCAGTTAATTAACCTATGGACATGGGTTAGCCTAGGGCAGTTAATTAACCTATGGACATGGGTTAGCATAGGGCAGTTAATTAGCCTATGGACATGGGTTAGCCTAGTGAAGTTAATTAGCCTATGGACATGGGTTAGCCTTGGGCAGTTAATTAACCTATGGACATGGGTTAGCATAGGGCAGTTAATTAGCCTATGTATGTGGGTTAGCCTTGGGAAGTAAATCAGCCTACGGACGTAAGTTAGCCAAGGGAAGTTAATTAGCCTAAGGAAGTTAATTAGCCTATGGGCGTGGGTTAGCGTAGTGAAGTTAATTAGTCTATGGAAGTGGGTTAACCTATGGACGTGGATAAGTCTAGGGAAGTTGGCTAGTCACAACAAATGCGAGTCATTTTTAGAGAGAAGTGAGAGAAATTAACCCTAACGCTTGCCGTGGAAGGATTGAATCAAGGAAAGTTGTAAACCCCAAGTATGTGACGCCTCTGTTAGGGAGGGATTGACTCACGAGCCATCAGTATGTGACGCCTCTGTTAGGGAGGGATTGACTCACGGGCCATCAGTATGTGACGCCTCTGTTAGGGAGGGATTGACTCACGAGCCATCAGTATGTGAGGCCTCTGTTAGGAAGGGATTGACTCACGAGCCATCAGTATGTGAGGCCTCTGTTAAAGAGGGATTGACTCACGAACCATCAGTATGTAACGCCTCTGTTAGGGAGGGATTGACTCACGAGCCATCAGTATGTGACGCCTGTTAGGGAGGGATTGACTCACGACACGAGCCAGCAGTATGTGACGCCTGTTAGGGAGGGATATACTCACGAGCCATCAGTATGTGACGCCTCTGTTAGGGAGGGATAGACTCACGAGCCATCAGTATGTGACGCCTCTGTTAGGGAGGGATTGACTCACGAGTCATCAGTATGTGACGCCTCTGTTAGGGAGGGATTGACTCACGAACCATCAGTATGTAACGCCTCTGTTAGGGAGGGATTGACTCACGAGCCATCAGTATGTGACGCCTGTTAGGGAGGGATTGACTCACGACACGAGCCAGCAGTATGTGACGCCTGTTAGGGAGGGATATACTCACGAGCCATCAGTATGTGACGCCTCTGTTAGGGAGGGATAGACTCACGAGCCATCAGTATGTGACGCCTCTGTTAGGGAGGGATTGACTCACGAGTCATCAGTATGTGACGCCTCTGTTAG